CAGCTCCCCGCTGAGTTTGATGACCTGGTCGCGAATGATTTTGTTGAGGAAGATGTTGTTCAGCCGGGCTATTATGGCTGATCCTTCCTTTGTACAGAGTAGCGCCAGGCCAAAGTGCAAGACCGAGCAAGGACTCCCTTGCAGCACATGGAAATGAAAAATAGTAACCCCAACTGACTTTCATATTTTTCAGAGGGGTAGAAACATAGAAACCACCAACCAGCTACTGTCTCCCAGGAATGTTATCATTTTTCTGAATATTCATTTTGGGAGCCCAGTCTCCAGGGTTTCTCTGAAAATTGAGTACCTGCAAATTTGATAAAATTCAGACGCAGATCATATTTTCAGATTTTTTTGTTGGCCATACTCATACATTACATCCATTTAATCATATTATAACTCCCATTCCATCCCTATTGTATCCCTATCGCCGTTTGTTCATTCCCCATTTTCAAGACATCTATGAAAAGCCTCATCGAAAGTTTCGCAGAGAAATCTCTAAAAATCGTGATCCATTTTTCCAACATCTTCCGAAAGCACCATCTCTGGGGGTGGATTCGCGAGGATCTCTTGGAATCGCTGAAGAAGCCGAAGCTTCTGCAGCCGAACCCGAAGGTGGCTGGGAGAGATGTCGCTGGCTTGATTTTTGAAACTCAGCCGGAAAGCCCTAGTTTTTTTTTCTTGAAATCATGTTTTTATGATATGGGAATTTAAAGAGTAAAAGTTCCCTCAATGATGTTCTTTTGCAATTTTAAGTGGAATGCTTTGAAAACTGGGTGGTTTGTCAATTTGTGTTCCCGAAAACATGAGATTTCGCCGTTGGTAGTTCACACTTCTGGCAACTTTCCAGGTGAATCGGTAACCCCTGGGTTTCCACCGGTGTCAGCCTAGGTGCGCCCGTGCCTGCCATCCAGGTCACTGGGTGGGAGTGAAGCTTCCGAACTTTTTCCAAACATTGGGCCGTTTTGGGACACACCCAGATATCATAATAATGTGTCCAGATATCATACTATCTAAAAATGATCTGGGATTATATAAAATAACTATAACTAAAACTAATATAATAATACCACTTTTAGTTACCATCTGGTTATGACTAACATAGCCATGGAAAATCACCATTTTTAAGAACGGTAAACCTCAATTTCTATGGGCCATCTATACCATGGCTATGTTAGTCATAACCAGGGGGTAGTATAATCCCAGATCATTTTTACAATCCCAGGTCTCAACAAAAACCCTTGAAAAAATGCTGCTGTAACTTTCACGTGAGTTAGTTATGCCCCCATTTTAAAAAAGCGGTCCTGGCGGGGATATCCCTTTTCGAACATTGACGGTTGGCCATTTTTTGGGCCATGGCTCGTTCGAACAAACCAGGTGCTAAACATGATTGCCGTGTGTTGGTTCGTTCGCCTGTAAAACAACCATGTATATCATGTATGATAGGATGGTAAAGCTCAAAAGATCTCTGGTGTCTTTTGATCATGAAATCACCAACAGCAACTGTCGTAGATTCGAAGTCCAATAGTTGCTTGCTATTCGCCTAGATGGTGAAGCATATCTGGACCGTGAGTTTTTGGCAAGGCCATGGCCGATGAAGATCCTGCGGAGTTGTCAGAGGAGTTCCCCGGGGGCCTTAAGGGTTGACCAACTCCATCAATCCGCTGAAGAAAGTTCGATGATTTTATCCTCTGGTAAACTAACATAGCTATTGAAAATGGCCATTTATAGTGGATTTTCCCATTAAAAATGGTGATTTTCCATAGCTATGTTAGTTTACCAGAGGGTAGCGCTGTAAACCTCGGGGATTTCCCAGGTATGTTTGATCGGAAAATTTGACCTTCTTGGAGCTGACCTGGCTGTAAGTTGGGCAACTGGACAGTGCTAGACCCGCTATTTAAGAAATGGGTTTGTCTGAAAATAGGGTATATTCCCAATTATAGCCATTTAATAGGGATAATGATCATTAACCATTGGGTTTAGGGGTACACTATTTTCAGACACACCCAAATGTTCTTGAAACAATAACCATCCTGATTGGTGTCATATTAGACATATTATGACCAGTTTTTCACCAAAGAAAACATGAATCTCCAGCGATTGGTACTACTGGGCCACCACTAGTTTTATGAAATGGTGCACTAGAATCCATGGCAAAATGGCAAACACCCTAGCTCTGGGATGTTTTTTGGATATATGATATATATATATAACATGATATAACCCATTATAACCTTACATGAACATGGGTCGACATTGGGCACGCAAGAAATCAAAGTTGCGGAGTTGAGATCTGACAGGGGGCTGCCCAGGAGGTGGCTGTGAATGGTGGGAGAAGCCCAGAGTGGTTGGCGTTTTTGCCTCCCATGTTTCGCAGTTAGATGGACATATTCACTGGACACCGTCATGTTCGTAGGCAAACAATTATATGTATATAATATTATATATTTATATATATATGCATACATGTTGATTTATCGGGAAAATTGTACTTGTCATTTCAACATCTTAAATGTTGACACCGGAGGAATAAACCCTGGTTGATCGACACTGGGGGTTCCGGGGGTTGTCTCAAAATACTGACGTCAATTGCTACCAGGGATCTCCTCAAATATGTAGCCTTGGACGATTGGATGATGGGAAAATCTACACGAAAACGGAACACCTTTTGCTTGGGGGCAAAAACTCTGTTTTCCGGATGGTTGCTGCAAGGTTTCCCTTCAATCAATCTGTGGAATGCAACATCCATGTTATGCAATTGGTTATATATATACATATCTGGATGAAGTATACCGACCTCAATATGACATCACTGGAAGAATGATTTATAAGAGATCATCTCCAAATGGTCTTATTTCAGGCAGTTTCAAGTCAGTCAATTACTGTATCATATTTCAGCCATATATAATCATATATATATATCCCATTATATCACACTAAAATCCCATTAATATCCAGCTAAAACCCATTCATATCCCATGAAAACTCACATTAAATTCCCATTTCACCATCATTTCGTGTCCTAAACATGTTCGATTTCAGCAGGGAGGCCGTTTGAAGCCTTTCTGAATCGTCCAAGGGGCAGCGGAAAAGAAGAAATCGAAGAAGAAGAAAAAGAAGAACAAGAAGGACTCGCAACAAAAATGCTTTGTCTGAACATGGCAATGGGAAATCCGCTGTATAGCTGGGGGTTTATAATGGTTTATAGCTGTAAATGGAATTAAGATGGGATTATTATCTGGGTTTATAGCTGGGTTTTATCATCTGGATGTGGGTCAAAATGGAAGACCATTAATGGGACCACAGATGTGAATGTCTAGTTTAGTATTCACCATCCAATTATTGGGGTACCTAATTTTGACCCATACCCAAATGGTTTGTCTGAACATGGCTTAAATTTGTGAGTCCTAATTTTCAATTTTCGTTTTTTTTTTTTTTTCGCTTCTGGATTTATGGCATTATTGATGATAAGCCATTTGTTTTTTTGCAATGTTTCACCCATACAGTAATCGTTCCATTTTTTCGCAACCATCAAAAAGATCGAATTTGGCAAAATGCTTCAACTAGTGACTTAGATTACACATATTACCCTCTGGTAAACTAACATAGCAATGGAACATCACCATTTTTAATGGGAAAATCCACTATAAATCACCATTTTCAATAGCTATGTTAAATTACCAGAGGGTACACGTTTCCGCATCTATAATTGGAGTTACGAAAAACCGTTGAGATTGTGGATGCCGGAGTCTCTGAATATGCTGGATACGCGGATACGCAATTTTGCCTCTGGTAATGACTAACAGTTCTCTATCGAAAATGGTCATAGAAATAGTTGATTTATATCAAACATGATGATTTTCATATGTTTCATGGGAAAAATGGATAAAAATGGCAATATTCATGGGCAATATTCTTAAAAAATGATGATTTTCCGTAGCTACCGGCTGAAAGGAGGATGGGCTCGAAGATGCAGCTTCAGCACCGCAGGTGCCACAGGTGCCACAGGTGCCATGGACGGTCAAAAACGTGGGGAGACGCAAGCCATCATTGTGTCAGGATACGCATGGGATATAATTCATGGGATATGCATATAATTGTATATATATACACAATTCTATGTATATATATATGATTGTATATATATATATGTATATATGTATATATAAATCATCGCCCATGATAATTTGATTCCCGCAGAATGTACATATCTTTACCCCCAAAAAATGGAGGGGTGTGTTTTCCGAAGCCACGAGGTGCTGAGCGCGCACTTTTCCAAGACGCGCTTTGCGGGGCTGCACTCGGACTCGGAGGAGGAACAGGAGAGATGAAGGTCTGGGTAAATCATTTTGGATATAGATATGTATGCCCTCTGGTAAACATACCAAAGACTATGGAAAATCACCATTTTCAATGGGTAAATCCACTATTTCTATGGCCATTTCCAATAGCTATGTTTGTTTACCAGAGGGTACCCGTTTATATTTCCATGATACTCCTGTTATCTCTATATATATATAATTTATATATAACAGGAGTATCATGGAATATAGTGGGATTGCAATTGGATTTAATGGATTTGATGGGATTATAATGGGATGTTGAGGGGATTTAATGGGATTATATTGGAATTTAACCAATACAAATTGTGGTATAAGGGGATCTCATGGGGATCTGATGGGATATATACATATATATATACCCAACAATATGATGGATGGGTTTGTCTGAAAAGAGGATGCCCCCAAATTCCTATGGTTAATGATCGGTTGAGTTCGATTAAAACTGCCGTGTTGACGGTATGCTCAAACATTTCCCAGCATATTTCCACATGTACGCTCCGGTAATCAAACGTGGCAATGGGAAATCCGCTGTAAATGGGGGTTTATAATGGTTTCTAGCTGTAAATGGAATTAAGCTGGGATTATTATCTGGGTTTCTAGCTGGGTTTTATCATCTATCAACAGGCAATTTTCCATGGCGCCACGTTCCTGATTGCGTCAGGAGCAGAAAGCTGTTGGACCTGTTGGACCTGTGGGACCTGTCGGCAAGGCAAGGACCGTTCGGATCCTGATGGCCAACACGGATTCCAACCATTGGAGTAACCTTGGCCAAGGAATGTCTTGGCTGAAGTTTCTGATTGGCATACGTATGTGTATATAATATATATACATACATGTGTGTAGATCTGTAATGATCTGTGTGCATACACACAGGTATTTTTTTCCAAGAGGCACAATGTTGCAATTCGCAGCGGCCTATGCTCTGTGAATTCAATGCCAACTTGTCAAGGCAGATAACAGTGGCATGCAAAAAACCACCACATCCAAGTGACGTGACATCAACCGAACCAGGAAAACCAAAGAAAGACAAACAACAAACACAAAACAAACACAAACAAAACCAAAGAACATCAAATGGCGTGGTCAGGCCCAATGAAAGTACCAAAATCTCTACTAACCATTTGCTGACACTGCTGCAGAAAATGTGCATCGACTTGGATCTGTTCAGCAGTGTCAAAGCAGCTCATCGCAGTAACTGTACATTGTGCAAGTGCTGCGCAAAAGGCAGGAGGGTACTCCTTGAGTTGGGTAGTTTTGAAAACACCATCCTGATTCCTGCCGATGTTGGAATTGCGCGGCAGGTCAGGTGTGATTCGCCAACTACAAATATCATGCTTGATTGATGGTAAATTGACCGCAAGCAGTTCGGTGGGTTTTGGGCTATCAGCTCCAAGCAAACCCTGAGCTAACTTCACACGTTCAGCTCCAGGAAGGGTGAGAATCAACTGGACTAACGGCAATTTCCAAATGGAAGGAAAATCATCCCCTTCTGGCTCCGCAGGGTGTTCCACAATCCCTGTCATTCCCTGTACAGCAAGAGAGAGGATCGATTCGAGGCAAAATCCTAGCAAGACATTACCGTCAATCACTTGGTCAAGTTCTCGTAGGGCAAGTTCAGGAAGGCCCCACAAATGCTCCGCTGAGCGCACTGGGCGTGGAAAGCGGCGCCGAGGATCAAGCTGGTCGTTGCAGGGTTGCACAGCCCTGGCTTTCGACCATGTGGCACATGGGGGACCCCCCAGGAATCCGTGAACCCATCCTTGCTGGATGCCAGCAATCCAAAATGCTTGCACCTGCGGGTCGCTCAGGTCGCCATACTTCTTGTCGATAATGATGTCGAGTGACACGACGTGGAGTAGGAAACCATCAGACTTCTCGCACATCTTATCAACGTACCACTGATAATCCCCAACACGCCTTCTGCCAGCAAATGCGTGGAGGATGATCCGATCTTTCCCAATTGGTCGCGGAGCTGAAATGCTTGGTTGCCATGGTTGATCTTCTTGAAGAAGTGTGCTGCTCCATCTGTCGAAATGAGCTAGCTCATCATCTGGGCCACTCGTGCCAATCGCTGGCCTGTCAAGAAAGTCCCATGCATCAACTCGCTGGAGCGTCACAACCGCTGCACGCAAACTCGGGGCATCAAGGCGGAGCATATCAGCAAATTCATCATCCACACTTTCTAAGAAAACCTCCAGAGTCGCTAAGCACTGCGTCCAAGAAATTGGCAACGCCTGAATGGTTTTTCTCAAAATCTTGTCAATGCCATCATCTGACTCCCGATCTGCTAACGCATCGACCAAATTGAGAATGAGGTCCGTGCACTCAACTCGGAGATCTCGCGGATGGATTGGCTCCCTGCTCGCTCCTTGTGTTTGTTGTGGCGGCAGTGCTCCGTCGTGGCATCGGTCCCCTTGTCGTGATTCAACGGAACCAATGCCAGGCCTCAATGGGAAAAGATGACCACGTGCCCAAAGATCACGTCTGCAAGTGCCAATGTTGCGGATATGCAGTTGCATTTTCGTGAGCGTGTGAAATTCTTTTTGACAGCAGGGACACCATGTGTCATCAAAAAGTCTTCTGATGGGAGCAGTGTGGCCATGACATCGAAAGAAATGCGCTCCTTCTCCTCCTTTAGTTTTGCAGCGCAGTTGGCATTGCATGCAACCAAAAACTCCAGGATCACGTTGGGGTTTAATGTACACTGGCTCAGCATGCACTAGACCACCTGCTTCTTGCAAAATTGTAAAGGATCTGCGATGCAACTTCACAACACACAACTGGTTCTTCCTCTGAAGGATGGCATGTCTGACAGCACGATTGATGAGTCTCTTCCAGAAACTTCGGTGGTGGCGCATCAAATAAAGCCATTGCTCAAAGTGAACTGCAGGGTCCCTGAGTTCAGACGACCTGCAAAGTTGCTTCCACATCCAGATCAAATCGTCTTGCACAAGGCTGATCCATTGCTGATCTTGTGAGAGGAGTCCCCACTCGGCATGCGCGCCGCAGTGAATCAAGATGCCAAGATATCTGAGTCGCGCACGTCGCAGTAGTTCTGTGGGTGTCGGCAAGCCAAGAAAATCACAAATCTCATCATCATTCCAGCCATTGTGTTTATGCGGCACCCATTTGATCAGTCGTTTGTAAAGTTTGATGATTCCAACATGGATGTGATGGCGATCCGCAACCGTACAGAAGCACCATGATTCAGATCCATATGTGAGGGCACTGCAAACAATGGACTCAAACATTTGCGTTCGGGTTTGCTGGGCAAGCGTCGGGTTGCAATAGAGGACCTTCCTCTGCTGAGTAAATGTCTGATGTGCAACTGCGAGTCGTTGCTTGGCCTCTTGTCGTTGATCTCCTCCATGATGAATGATACCGCCCAAATGCTTGTAGCGGGTCACAACTTGGATTTGATAAGAACCATGCTCACCCACAATGGGAAACAAGCGACGACCATGGGCTCCATAGAATCGCTGTCGCAACTGTCTGGATTTGCGTCCACGAAGGGCGAGGAGAAGCTCAGTTTTCCCAGCCGCAAGGTTGGGGGACATGGCAAAATTCACGCAATGATCCAGCAAAAGCCCTGCAAGAATGCCAACTTTGCGCACTGCCTCCTCAGCTGAACTTCCCGCAATTGGTATGGCTAAATCATCCATCCAACATGGGCCGAGAAATGGCCGTTGCGGTACAGCTGGATCGGCCTGCCCGTGGACTGCAAAAGGATCGTCAAACCCTTGTTGTGGAAAGGCTTCCAAGAGGCCCAAATCAATGCATTTTTGCTCCAACGAGCGCAACACACGGGCCCAAAGATACCCAAAAATGGTATCTGCGAAGCAGTCGCCTGGGCGGCTTCCTGCAGTGGTCCGACACACGTCGTTGTCTTGCCCATCAACGACAAACCACGTGTCCGTGTGTATTGCCGTGATACAATTGCGCAGGATTGGTGGCAGGGCCGCTTGTTGGAGCGCACAAGGGTCACGGAGATGTTGATGGAGGTCCTCCATGATGGAAGGTGGTAGCCCAAGCCTTTTCGCAACATCGGCAATGTCGTGGTCATCCCAACGATTTTGCATTGCCAGCGGGCGAAGTACTCGATAGAAAGCTTCCTTGAGATCAAGGAAAATGATGCAACATGAACGATTCAGCTTCTTTTGCAAACGCAAAAATGCACGCAGATGGTGGATGCCCAGGTAGACAGGGATACCTGGCCGTCCGCCAAGCTGTTGATTTTGTAAGAACGTCTCGTAGAAGCTGGACTGAGTCATCCTCAATGTTCGATGCAAACATTTTCCGATTTGTGAGGAAACTAAAAGGCTGCGGTATGATGCGCAATCATCCACCTCTCCTTTCCCTTTGTAGGCTGCAGTGAGACGGCCACCCTTATGAGGGATGGCCTCTTGCCCGTGGAGCGTCATTTTGAGAAGTTGTGAGAATGTGGCACGCGCAAATTGGCCAACATTGTATTTGCATGCTTCCGGCGGAATGGAGTCCATGCCAACAGCGCGACCAATGCGAACATGAGAATACGCACGTTCCAAGTCACAGAGCGTTGGTAGCATCTCTAAACTCAAGTCAAACTGCTGCTGACGAAAGTGCTGCAAGTTGTCAATCCAACCATCTCTGAGATCTTGGTGTGTCATTCTTCGTCCTCCTTCCATGTTGCAAAAGAATTCTGCCCATCGGTCACAACGCTGGCTGCTTGACTCGCAGTGCGTGCCATCACTCTTCTTCAACACTGGGAAAGGCTTCTTTTTGATCTTTTTCGGATTCGTAGGTCCTTGGAGTTTATGGATGGCTTGCAGAATCTGTCCAGCACTAGCATCGCGTGGCATCTGTTCAAGTCTGCTGCGGAGTAAGGTCGCCTTTGCCTTGCACAAACGGACTTTCAATTGCTGAGCGACACTGTGGAGTTGCGCCATGCAGCGCACAGTGCAACATGCCAGGGTGGCAGAATAGCTTCTGACAGAGTCCGCATGCTGCTGGTTCTCTATCTTTTGTGTCCATGCACCCCAAATTTGAAACATCAGCTCTACTTTCTTTCGACGCTGGGTTTCTCGGAGGGCTTTTCGATAGCGAAGTTTCAACGCTCGCAATGCACAGATTTCATCATCAATGTAGGGTTTCTTGGGACCTTGGCCTCGGCTCGGATGTTGCTTGTCCAATGCTGTGATGACGAACTCGTTGAAATGGTCCACATGTTGCTCAATGTCTTGAGTCCAACGTGGGACTTGATAGTGCATCATGTCAGCCTGCAAACTCGAGCGGCAGAGGTCCGCTCTCTCAAAACCTTTCTTTGGAGATCTGGGCTGCCAGCGTTGTTGACAGAGTCCTTGCCAGTGAAGTTGAACTCCCACCAACTCATGATCGATGTGCGTCAGACCAAGGTCGAAGTTCTCATCCACAATGGAGAACTCGCAAGCCAATCGCAAAGACTGCGGTATTGCAACATGATCAATGCGACATTGCAATTCACCTGATGGCGATGTCCAAGTAGTATGCTTACCAACATGAGCAAGAAAGGTCGATGGCAGGCAAAGTTCTTGTTCCTCCAAAAACGCTCGTAACATGGGCGTGCTGACACTTGGAACATCTTCGTGAGGGCCAACAATGAGGTCATCGCATACACCTGCAGCAGCATTTGCATCAAGAAGGGCAAACAGATACTGGTTGGCACTAGCTCTGTGCTTCGTGCAAAGCTCTCCGCGAGAATGCCACCATTGCTCTCTGTCGGAGAGTGTCTGTCCACTTTGTGGGCCGTGACCAACTAAAATCAAAGCAGTCAGAAATGGTGCATCAATGGAGACCAAAAGTATGCGAGGATCAGCATGTCGGACTGTGAAGTGCCTGCGATGGAAAAACTGTGGTTTACCCATCACGCAAGCATACGGCTGTCTCAGATTGATCCAAAGCTCAGTGCCATGGTGTCCCTTGCAAGCCCCTGATGCTATGCGAACAACATCTCCTGCTGTTGAAAAACTCTGAGGACTTCGCGCTTCTTGGATGCCCAAGATGTTGAGGCATATATCACGAAATTGTTGGCGTAGGTAGTCAACCTTGCCTCCGTGTCCTTCTGGTCCCGCAGACAATGAGAGAACATTGACAGTCGCAAGACTGAGCATGAGGGTAACTTCCACCTCCTTCACAGTTGCAGGAGAAATCTGAGGACCTGGTCTGCCTTTGCTGGGCAATGTTGGGGCATGTGCATCAAAGCCTTGTTGCGTGAGTTGTGGCATTCCAGCTTCCGTTGCAAATACCATCCAAAGATGCGGCATGACATGCCGCCATCGACGGACATCAAATGTCTTCGGTCTCGGTAGGTAAAAGCTCTTGTCACGTTCAGCTTTTGCCGCAAAATCGACAAAGTCGTTCCATGGGTCTTGTGAATGACCTTTCACATGGTTGACTCCCAGTCTCTGTCCGTATAGACAAGCTTCAAGTGCTTGAAACGCACTGCGCAGCATGATGAAAGGTTGCTGGTAGTCATTGGTGCTGAGACTTCCAGAGGCTTGACCACATGAGGTTGAAGAATCTGAGCAGAAAACTGTCGGCGTGTCCAAATTGATTGACAAACGCCAAATTGCTGCCCAAAATAGAGCCTCCTTTTCAGACGCATCGGAGCCTATTCTGTCTGTGCCAAGGAAGAACCTGCTGGTGGGATCATAGTGCACTGGCTGTGCTTGCCATCCAATAAGCCGAATTGTCTTGCTGCCCTCTGAATAGCTTTCTCCCAGTGCAACAAATGCCCAAGTATCTGGCGATCCTTGCTCATCAGAGAGTGCTGGTGGTTGATGTCGTAGATGGCTCATCGATGATCCATCAGTATAGATCACTATCCTTTCAACATCTTGCACTCTGCAGTTTGTCGACCAGTCAAAGTGTGGGGCCATCGCCGTCGAGGGCGGGATTTGCAGGCCTTCAAACGTCGTGCAAAGTGGGAATTCTTCGCTTGAAAAGAAGGTGGCTAAAGTGTCCAACTCGACTCCAAGTCGAAGTTTGCATGGTCCACATTCAGCAGGAAGTTCATCACGGCAGAAACTGGGTTTGGGCTGTTGCCTCAGGTCTACCGGAATGCGATCTGGCCAAGGTGTTGGTTGTCGCAAGTTCAAACGTCCTGGGTCAAGTGTGGATACTTGGTGCGCAAAAATAACCTTGAAGACATCAGGCAGACACTGAGTGATCGCTTGGATGGTAGTTTTGAAGTATCCCAAGCTGTGAAGAATCTTCATGCAATCCAGTTCTTGCAGTACCTCACCTTTGTGGGAGTGCAAAATTGCCGCGTTGGGATCTGTACCATCACTGGTGCCAAAGATGTAGTGCTGAATACTATCATCAGGGATGCGATCTCGAGACAAGCAGAGAAACTCATGATGTCCTGCAAATTGAAAGACAAAGCAATCGTGGCCCCAATTCTTGAGCTCATCGACAATCTTGTTTTCAGTGGGCTCACCATAGATCTCTACAATGGAAGGCACCTTAGAATTGGAGTCACCAGCACGCAGGCGAACCGCATATGATGGGACATCGTCAGGTTTTTGGCTCTCTTCACTTTCTTCAACCAGTGCATCTTCGAGACAAATATTTCGCTTTTGAGTCTTTGTTTGAAGAAGTATGGGTCCTTGTTGTGGCACCGAAGAGGCAGCAGCATTCGGTAAGTAGTCAGCAAGGCGAAATTGCCAAATCTGAAGCGAAATACCATAGCCACTTCTTCCAGCTAGAGGTTGGCCACGACGAAGTGGGAGCTGGAGGTACCATGCAACAAATCCATGTGATGGTATGGGCGCAAGACAGTGAGTTTCATGTCCAACAACTCGCAAGATATTGTCAGCAAGTATGTGCTCATGCGTTGTGACAGCGATGTTGTAGTGCAGGCTCGGGCGCTCAGGCCTTGCTTCGTAGACATTCACTAAACTTGTGACCCAATCATCTCTCTCATGTTGCACAAGAAGTACATGCGCTGCTACCTCATTCGCGACACGTGGAGGCTTTGGATGAACCACATAAAAGTCAATGCTGCTTCTTGCATCAACGAATTCAATCCAGAGTCTCCGCAGTTCATCTTCCCATTGCCAGTAATTGGCAAAGAGCTGTTTTTGTCTGCTGTTGCGACAGTGTGGGTTCTGCCATCTGTGATCGACAAACCAAGTCTCAATCATGCAGGAAGGTTCTTCTTCATCCCAAACCGCAGCATGTTGGTTCCATTGGGTAAAAAGGTCAATCACAAACTCATTGGCACCAAAGAGATTGACCTGTCCCGGTTGAAAGGGTGCTGCGTTGTGATTGAATTGAAATCCCAGAGCTTCACGCGGTTGCGCAGAATGATTCATATCAATCGCACATTGTGTAGCAGAGTGATAAGGGCCCTGATGCAGAACAAATGCAGTGTGCAAGGTGATCTCCTTCTGCATGAGTGAAAACGCTTCCTCTCTGAAGGACCCTCCAGTGGGAGGCAGCTGTATCACAACATTTGTTGCACTCTCTAAGATTTCAGGATCGTGGATTGCGAAAGGAAATTGCTTCCACGTCACTCGACACTGTCCTTGCGGCTGCAAGGTCTGCAATCTGGCCAGGTGAATGATGCTACCACGCGTTTGCATCGCCTCGTCTGAGTGTGCCGAATGCGTGATCTGTCCTCTCCTCTGATCAGTGCTTGTTTCATCAATGACAGAGATAACAAATCCAACGTGGTCAGGCTGTTGACCTTGTTCAATAATGACATGAGCCTGTGTGCATTCCAATTCACTGCAAGGTGGGTGTGGCGTTACAACGCTCAGTGAAAGGCTTTGATCATGCCTGATGACATCTTGCCAAACCTCAATGATGTGCGTCCTCCACTCATCTGGGTGATCAGAGAGTCTCACAGAACGGGATTCTCTGCAGGTCTGTTGTTCAAGATGGTGAAGATACCATGTCGTGATGTAGGCGATTCGGCCTTCTTCTTCACACTCCACAAGGTCAGCTTCATCCACCAGTCGCGAGAGTCTTTGAAGTTGGCCGGTAGCAAAGTCAGCCCTCGGTGACGGCCAGACCGGCCGTCTTCGTGCTTGATCTTCTCTCCGGTCATCCCCTCTACCTGCAGGTCTCGGGCTGTCACCATCAGTTAGGTCAGTCTTGAGTTCCTTGATGGCAATGTGGACATCGTTTTGTTGAGCAAAATGAGTGAAGACTTCGACAGTGTTCTGCATCAATGAGAGGTGGGCATGGTCACTTCTCTGATGACAGGCATTGGGAGCCACTTCCAACACACCCCTTGCAATCGCGATTGCAGTCTGAGTGTCGAGCTCCGGATCCTCAGGGGGTGGTATTTGAATCCTGATGTAATCACCGTGGGCAACGACATGCAAAGTGTTGTCACGCCATTCCCAAAGTCGATGATTTTTGTGCACAATGCAACGATCTTGCTGAGTCTGGCAATAATCATCAAGATGTTGCAAAGTCAGGATGTGCGATCTGTGAAGCTGTGCGTTGACTCTCATTACCTGTCTGCTGGTTGCTGCAGGAATAGGTAAACCAGATGCCAGGGGATGGAAGTGGACAATCGTGTCCACAAGGACGAGTTTCTCATCCGAACCCGCTGGTACATCATGTATTGATTGGAGAATAACAGCTTCCTCAGAGATCTCATGGATGTCCGGTGGCACTACGGCAAGTCGATGGAAAGTTCGGATTTGGCTGCGCGGCAGTCTCAAAGCATGAATAATACCATCGAGAATGGTCGTGTATGTGGACCATGTGGCAAAGCAATGCTCATCTCTGGCATGAAGACGATAAACCAGAATACTTTTGTCAGCACTGTGGATGCTGGCTTCACTTGCGGAATCATGTGGATCCGCGTCAGGAGGCTCATACGGCGGCTGTCCCCCCGGTGTTCCTGGTTGTTCATTCACATAATCCATGGCATCATCAGCTTGGCATGAACTCTGGGAATGGGAGGCCACTTGCTGGTTGACTTCCCCATGATGTTGATGGTCGCTCGCAGCAGCTGTGATTGGCCACTCTGTCTGGATATGTAGGACAAAAGAATGTCCTGCTCTCATGAAATGCAATTGGCGATGGTCACAGGGGATTTCATTCCAACCAAAGGTGAGCAAACAGCGATGATTGATAGCGTTGCACCAATGCATGCAATCTGCCGCATCGACAATTTCAAATCCAGAAATCATTGGGCCAAAAGACGCCGCAACAGCAAATGAAAATTGTTGCGCTGAGCTTCCAGAATAATGCGTCGTGACAATACCAGGTAGGCGGTGTATCCATGTACCTTGTGACAAAATGATGTCAGCATGCGTGGGCTGTGGCAAAGAACCTCTGTAAGGGTCGGGAAAAGCGACATTGAAGTCAACTTCTTCATCAGGCCGTATGTGGTCCCTCCACGCACCTCTAAGGTCAGGATCCCATCGTCTCCAGTCTTCATGAAATTCGAGGATGCGATATTCAAGGTTGCGTTGTTGATGAACATGATGGATGTACCAAGTACGTACTCTGAAAACATCCTCTGCGTCCAGATCTGTGAAGGCTCCATGTCGTTCCGCCAATTCAAGAAGGTCATGTATGAATGGTGGTGCATGAACAGGATCTGGAATCACATCTGGATCTGGCTCCTGTTGTCCCATCTCTTGACGCATTTCGGATGGTATAGGGTTCTGCCATTGATCAGTGATGCGATACTTGGCAATGGGGCATTGAGGACTGGAGATACACACGGCCAAACTTGACAGCGGATCAACATCAGTCCTACTCGAAAAGCTGTGGAGACTCTGGAAAATGGTTGGCAAAGGCCCGCCAAAGTCAACTTGAGCAACTGCATGATATGGAATTGAAAAATTTGACATCAAAATTGTCGTGTCATCACCAACCAGAACATCAACATCATCATGAAAGCGCACTCTGCCATGACAATGAGGTGGATAAGGAAAATGATCACGAAGTGAAGGAACTGATTGTCGCACGATGCCTTCATAGGTCCCAAGCTCAAAAGACAATTGTCTGGCGCTTTCAACAGCTCCCCATTCTGTCATAAAGGCCGGCTCAAAGGTAATTGGGTGGGTCCATTTGGCAACAAGCAATTCATTGGGCAAAATGCACACTTCCTCTACTGGCTTCAGGTTGAAGTACGTTGACGTCACTTGCAACCAGCCTAACCAAAAGGCTTGCCATGTTCTGCGGCTTCTCCTTGGAGTGGCGCATGCATGGTTGAATCTTCTTCTGCAGGATGGCGTCTGCGAGGTCGCTTCGCCAGATGAACTTCGTCTTCTGACACGATCGACATCGCCTGCTGCTGAAGGTTGACCAGGGACTTGAGGTCTTCCATCGTGTCTGTGATCTTCTGTGCTGATCCAGACGCAGCAGTTGTGATTTCTCCGATCTCCTCGTCCGAAATCTCCTGCACTTCTCCTGCTGTCTCGTGAGCTTTGGCTGACGACACTTTGGCTTCCAGAAAGGCTTCTTTGGAAGTGGATATTTGCTCGGACAGCTTCTTCTCCTGAGCTGCAAATTGGGCTGCATATTCTTGCCACAATTTGACGGCATCTGACAAAAAATTCTTCCAATTGTTGTGCAGTTGCGCTCTGGCCATCAAAGAATCTTCGTAAGCCTTGCGCACGTGACCCAAATGGGTCGCTGCCGCATGAAGGTTCCTGGTGGCTGTAGCTCCATCCTTCACTCCTTCCTTCATGGCTGTTCGGCCACGTCTTGCTTCAGCATGGACAGGAGCTCTGGCGAAATCTGCTCTGACGTTGGTGGTATGGAAGTTGCTTTGGGCATCGTTGGCATCGCAAAGCCTGCGCCCATGACCGAAGTCAGTGGCTGTGCCGCTTGCATTTGTAGAGGCGGCCCAGCTGTGCTGGCCTGCCATGGTGTGCTTGGCGGCGGCAATGGTGCTTGTGTCCCACCGGTTGGGAAAGGAGGCTGCATCAAATGCATCGATTGCATTGGCTGCATGCCCCAATTCATCATGGGCATGGTTGCCGGCATCTGACCTGGAGGTCCCATGGGTGCACCTGACATCGGGTGCATAGGCATCATGGGTCCCTGCGGCTGCGGCTGATTGCCCCTTGGAGTGCCATGAGGGGTCTTGTTCCCTTTGGCACTTTTGGACCTCGATTTCCTTCTCGGCGTCTTGGGACGATTGTGAGAAGATTGATCCCATGACTGCTCCCATTGAGAATAGCCTTGCTGAGATCCCTGCCAGGGCGCAGCGTATGTATTTTGCTCCGCTGTCCATTGTTGGGACTTTGCACCATGGACGTAAGTCCTGTCGATGACTAAATGCCATGGCATCTGACATGTCGTGCAGTGCAACGCTGAGTGCTACCTCAGCTGTCTGCAGCTTGAACATCTCCACGGCGGATTGCTCGTAGACGACATTGCTGATCTGATTCTCGCAATGAAATGGCTGTCCTTGGAATGATGGGAACTGAGAGTCGATGCAAGTTGCTTCAGCTGACTCCTTGTCAAGGAGATAAAACCTCTTTGAAAGAGATGCCACTGTAGCCTTGCTCTTGCTCGTTTCCGACGTTGAGATCTGCGGATAGTATTGTTCGCCGTGGTCAAAGTCAGTCAAGAGAATGTAGCCCTCTACAAAGGTTTCCTCAGAGACAATGCCAATGGCGTGTGCAGTGCAAATCAGGTCCACCTTGATCAGAATCGTTGCCAAAACAAGGAAGAACAAAATTGCCTGGCACATACACAAAAACCGAGTTCTTGTCCAGGTAAAAAGGCCACCCAGGATTGATGACGGTGCTGGGACACCGAATGCAAAGGTGTTGCCTGTCTTTCGATCAGGCAGAGCACGTTCCGATGGTCCAGGGGCTTGCCAGTTCAGACCAAACGAAAGTTGCAACGAAAATGGCCCGCGGAATCAGGACAGGATTCCGCTAAGGTTAAGGACGGAAGCGGGTGTGGGCCCTTGCGATCCGAAACCTTACACACAGGTATATGTGTATATATTATATAATTTTGTCGGCCTCTGGAATTCTTAGAGTTTTCAGTTGTCGAAAGGTATGCGCCAACAGCAAGTACTCCGCAGCGACCTTACAGCAATTAATATATTATGTATATAAGCTCTACAAGCGGACTCAGGCTTTAGCTAACACATCTAACACACCAGCCACTTCAAACTTGAGCGAAATTGGCACCTGGCAGGCCAAAGCCAAGCCAAAAGCCAAAGCCAAAGAAGCGAAAACAACCCCTGCTGCCACCCCAGCGCCAGTGGCGAAAGTGCCGCCACCCCCTGCAGCTGCCAAAGTACCACCGGCAATGGCGAAAGTGCCACCACCCGTGGCGGCAGTGCCATCGGCCGCGGCAAAAGCGCTGCCTGCGGGGAAAATGCCCCCGCCCACCGCAGCTGTGAAAGTGCCACCGTCCGTGGTAGCAGCGAAAGTGGCACCTGTGCAACCTGTACAACCTCTGCAACAGATGCCGCGACCCGTTCCAACGCAAGTGGCAGAAGCAAAGAAAGCACCCGAAGGAAATAGATCTGGCGCGCTGAATGGCATCAATGGCGAGGTCAAACAGTCGGTGAACTCAGGCCTTGGTCGGGTCGTGTGGTCAGCAGGCTGGATGTGTCCAAAACCACCTACGCTGTATGTGTTGACAGACCTTCAAGCCATCGATGATGGATGCTGCTTGAAGCAAAATCGCAACGGCCTCCTCATTGAGAAGTGAAGCAATTCTGCTTGTTCATTCTGATTTCACTCTCTTGAACTCCCTTTCTTGACCTACCACTACAGATGGTCGCGGGTCCCCATTAAGTATAAGATGGTTCCCGGAGTTGCGTTGGTTTATGTTACCCCCATGAAGTAGTTCTTGATATATCATAATATCTAAGATTTAAACCCAACAGTTATAACGGAGTATCTTAGACTTAGATCCCAACTTAGCCAACCGAATCCCATGAAATCTCCATAGTTTGTCGAAATTCTCAGAACACGCCACCTCCCCCTTGTCGATTCTGGCCTTGGTCATGTACGAATCCTAAGGTCTTTCAAGGCACCACCAGGAGTGGCTGTGAAGTTGGCTGGCCCAGCTGAGATTCGGTCGCTTCGGTATTGACTAGTGATTTGGTTTATATCATTTTATATTCGCCATTGTTTTTCAACTAGTTGATAGACACTACAAAAGATATGATCCACAATAGACCCATTATAGATCCATGATATGCCCTTCTACATCCTTCTACCCTCTGGTAATTTAACAGTTTGCTATTGAAAATGGCTATTTATAGTTGATTTATCGTTGATTTGCCTTTAAACATGGTGATTCCCCACCTGCCAGGTGAGGGTTGTTAGATTTTATGTCAGTTGCCTCCTCCTGCCTCGTCCTCCTCCTCCTCCTCTCCTCCTCTCCTCCTCCTCCTGCTCAACCGCGACCCTCGACGCACAGTGGTCTCTGTCGGACCTCAACCACGACCATCCACGCCCAGTGTTCCCTGCCGGACCTCAACCACGACCATCCCCGCCCAGTGTTCCCTGCCGGACCTCAACCGCGGGTATCCCCGCCCAGTGTTCCCTGCCGGACCTCAACCGCGAGTATCCACGCCAAGTGTTCCCTGCCGGACCTCAACCGCGACTTCCAGATCGCAGTGGGCACTGCCGGACCTCAACTGCGACTTCCAGATCGCAGTGGGCACTGCCGGACCTCAACGGGAAGAAAGTCAGAAAAGATGTCAGATAGAATGTCAGAAGATATGTCAGATAGAATGCCAGAAAGAATGTCAGAAAGAATGTCAGAAGATATGCCAGACAGAATGTCAGAAGATATGCCAGAAAGAATGTCAGAAGATATGCCAGATAGAATGTCAGAAGATATGCCAGATAAAATGCCATGAGATATGCCAGATAGAATGCCAGAGGATACGCCAGATAGAATGCCAGAAGATATACCAGATAAAATGCCAGAAGATATGCCAGATAGAATGCCAGAAGGTATGCCAAATAGAATGCCAGATACAATGTCAGATAGAATGCCACAAAATATGCCAGATAGAATTAGAATCCCAGAAGATTTGCAGATAATATGCCAGAAGATATGCCAGATAGAATGCCAGAAGATTTGCCAGAAGATTTGCCAGATAGAATGCCAGATAGAATGCCAGATAGATATGCCAGAAGATATGCCAGATAGAATGGCAGATAGAATGCCAGATAGAATGCCAGGAGATATGTCAGAATATATGCCAGAAGATATGCCAGATAGAATGCCAGATAGAATGCCAGATAGAATGCCAGAAGATATGCCAGATAGAATGCCAGAAGATATGCCAGATAGAATGCCAGAAGATTTGCCAGATAAAATGACAGAAGATATGCCAGAACATATGCCGGAAGATATGCCAGATAGAATGCCAAATAGAATGTCAGAAGATATGTCAGATAGAATGCCAGAAGATTTGCCAGTAAGAAAATGTATAAATGTCATGGTGGGGATCACACGAAGTAAAGTAATTTTCAATAGCTTTTGGTATGTAAAGTGTAAACTGACCCAACTTCGCTCAGGCCAGCCCCGCCCAAGGCTCGGCTTTGATGCTCAAAACCCCGAGAATTGAGGCTCTAGAGTTGTTTTTAAGTGGCTGTGTTCTATGTCTTTCATGATATTTTTATATGTTTTTATGGTGTTTCAATGTCCAAAATCCAAGTTTCTGCTGGTTGCATTCCCAAAAAACCGATAGTTCTAATAACCACATCCTTGCAGTTCAGTTTCCGAATTTGGGGTAAAACAAATCACGCATGTTTTGGCATAAAATCAAGCCGCCAAGCCAAACTTCCCACCAATGGACTGGAACAAAGTCACAGAAATCCATGATTTTTGCAAATTTTACCTATGAAATCACAGATAGAGTGTCCGACGTAAGAAACACACCACTGGATTGATTTGAAAACGACGTCGGAAACATTGGCACATTCCCAGTTTTTTCACCCAAACTGGGCATCCGTAGAATTTCAATCCATCAGATCCCATTCTTGGAATCAGATGAAATTCTGAAGAGATCCACTGAACTTCTGGGGAAACTCTAAATCTACTGGTGAATGATTCCCTGCATTCAGGCCAAAGCAAAGGCCAGGAAAAAAACCGCGGGACTGGGTCGAGATGTTTTTGTTTTTACAGGGGACCATTCAGAAGAATGTGAGGCTTTCCTAAAATGAGGGTACCCCAAGTTATCCGAAATTGCTTATGATCAATGGGAAACCGTTATGCTTTGGGGCACTTTTTTTTTGTGTTTTGCAGAATTTTCACAGTGAAGTTTTCAGGCTTTTTGGAAAAAATCTGAAGGGCTACATCCTGGAGGTTTACAATCTAGAGCCATTTTTCTGTAGTGAAGTTACTTGGACTCCAGGGGATAGGTATCCTCTTCATGCATTTGCAGAACAATTGTCAAAATTCACGTCTTCCCGCCTCAAGAATTTAAAGGCGTCTAGCCCAACTCTTCCAGATGTACCGCATGAGCCTTTTCCCGATCGAGCCGTGCTCTTTGATGCTCCGTGGCTAACGACAAAGGGGCGCTCCTCAGCAGACCAATACCACCGCACAGGTGCTTATGATGTTTTTGAGAATGAGGGCAGTTTGTTTTTTGCAATGCCCCGGACGCTGGCTCGCTTTGACAGAGCCACGGACGAATGGATTTTCACAGAAGATACCAACGTCTCTGCCCCCCCTGCAGAAACTGCTTCCCAGCTGGCTCAGCTATGCAATGCATCCGGCGCTGAAGCCATGCAAGCGGCTCTCTCAGACTTGGATTTAAGCTTGGACCCATGTCATCTCGATAATTTGCTTCGGCTGCTGAATTCTTCCGTCCTAGTGGCTTACGGGCCAGAAGCTTCCAAATTCTGGCGTCGCCAGCCGCTCTGTGACCAGGCTGCTGCCCCACACACACAGGGACTATGCCACTTCTGCCACGCCTTTTCGTTGCATTGTTCTTGCGAGCATCTCCATGTTGCTTTTCTGCATCTGAAATTGATTTCCTTGCAAGAACCTCAATTTCCAAAGCGACAACGAAAAGCCAATCCTCTGCAGGATCCCGCGCATATTTTACTACCAGCTCATCCTCGCAAAGCTGCGTCATCTGTTCCTGCTGCTCGGAACACCACTCTCTCTTTCAAGTGGGGGCAAACTTCACGATTCCTTGCTGCCAACCAGGCTGACACTTGGGCTGAGCATTTTCGCCAGGAATGCATTGATGTCCACATGATTGCTGCCATGAGTGTCCCGGATCTCAAATCTGTGCTTCAACCTGTTCCAGCTGGTGTTTTGTACCGTCTTCATGATGCGGCCCCGCAGTGGCTGGAAGAGGTGCCAGCGTGTGTTTCAGCCAGCCTCTTATAGATTTCTGCTTCTAGCCTCCTCTATGCCAGGACAGCAGCAGAGCGCCAATGGAAGACCAGGCGGACGTCAACTTTAAAAGCGCCTTGTAATCTTTCATTGTTGGCTTCGGCTGTCTAAGGGGAACGAAGCAGAGCCGATGCAAGACGAGGCTCGTTTTGTGAAGGCTGCGCTTCCAAACTTGTGACATCTTGTGACGTGCTTTTCTTGTCTATGCCTCAGGCCTCGTTGCCCGTTGCGGCTTCTGCCAGCTCAGTTCGATGCACAGATATGCGTCTTTGCGTTGGTCTTGTTTTCACTGCGTCTTTGGACTCAAGGCTGCCCATGCTCCCCAGCCTGAAGTTGCAATCTTAGTTCTGCTGTTAGTTGTTTTTTGGGGGCATTGAATCTTCATAAGGTACTTCCAGCAGACGTCTGGCCCAAAGGCTTTACACGTTGCATATATTATGCACATGCTGCTCTTCTCTTTCGATGCGCAGTTAGTTGTTTTTTGGGGCATTGAATCTTCATAAGGTACTTCCAGCAGATGTCCGGCCCTCAGGCTTTACTGCACGTTGTCACACGCGCATGCTGTCCTTCTCTTTTGCTTGCAACTGCGCGCAAATATTCCACAGTCGTTGCGAAACTACCGCTGAGGCTCCTGAGGCAAGACGTCGCGATGCGAAACGTGTCAGGCGCTCAGTAGCTCAATCCAATCATTTTTGCGTCGGTTGCTCTTCTTGAATAGTGCTGCTTCCAATATGAGGTGAACTCTCTCCTGCGCCTGGGCGATCACGGCCTCTTGAACAAGCCTTTGAGCCGTGGCCTCAGCAATTTGCATAGCGTTGTGTGTGTTTGCATCTACGCACGCGATCTTTCTCGCTCCTCAGTCAGGCGAGCTGGACAAACGCCTTACCTGACGTTGCGACTGCAGCGCATCAGAAAAATAAGAGCGGCTGCGAAACTCCTAACCTTTCGAAATCCGGAAACAACCAGATGCAAATATTTGTCAATCAGATCTTCTGACAATACATCACAACAAGCCCTAAAACACTGCTAACCCTTTCTATTTTCATGTCCTTCGCTGCTCATCTCAACATCATCCCCTGCCAAACACCACACCACGACAAGCTTTAGCATTTCTAACGTGCTATAACACAGCTAAACCTTCCTATTTTCATGTCCTTCACTGCTCATCTCAATATCATCCCCTGCCAAACACCACACCACGACAAGCTTTAACACTTCTAACACCTTGCGGGGGGATGCGCTGCGCCCTCCCCCCTGCACCCCCCTCCAGCTTTCTATTTTCATGTCCTTCACTGCTCATCTCAACAGCATCCCCTGCCAAATACCACACCACGACAAGCTTTAACACTTCTAACACCTTGCACCCCCCTCCAGCTTTCTATTTTCATGTCCCTCACTGCTCATCTCAACATCATCCCCTGCCAAACACCACACCACGACAAGCTTTAACACTTCTAACGCCTTGCACCCCCCTCCAGCTTTCTATTTTCATGTCCTTCACTGCTCATCTCAACATCATCCCCTGCCAAACACCACACCACGACAAGCTTTAACACTTCTAACGCCTTGCTGGGGGAGGCGCTGCACCCTCCCCCCTGCACCCCCCTCCCGCTTTCTATTTTCATGCTCTACACTGCTCTTTTCAAACATTTTCGATTTTTCATGTCCTTCACTGCTCATCTCAACATCATCCCCTGCCGAATACCACGCTCAACATCATCACAACACACTTTAGCATTTCACCCTGCACCCTCCTCCCGCTTTCTATTTTCATGCTCTACATTGCCCATAGAAGCATTTTGGATTTTTCATAGCGCCTGCACCCCGATAAGGAAAAACACGTATCAAAAAAAACACTTTCTGTATCAACAAAAAATACAGCTTAATTTTTTTGATCTCGTGTCTGTGAGGTCGTTGATGGTCGTTGCATCTAGGCAGTTTAGGTTTCACCCACACAGGCCATGATTTGGTGATTTATTTTTTTTTGATCTTTTTATTTTTTTTGATCTTTTTTTTATATTTTTTTTGATACCTTTTAATTCCCCACCTGCCAGGTGAGGGTTGTTAGATTTTATGTCAGTTGCCTCCTCCTCCTCCTGCCTCGTCCTCCTCTCGTCCTCCTCTCCTCCTCCTCCTCTCCTCCTCGTCCTCCTCGTCCTCCTTGTCATCCTTGTCGTCCGTCCTCGTCGTCCTCGTCGTCCTCGTCCTCCTCGTCCAACTGCGACCCGCGATCCACAGTGTTCTCTGCCGGACCTCAACCACGACCATCCACGCCCAGTGTTCCCTGCCGGACCTCAACCACGACCATCCCCGCCCAGTGTTCCCTGCCGGACCTCAACCACGACCATCCACGCCCAGTGTTCCCTGCCGGACCTCAACCGCGAGTATCCACGCCAAGTGTTCCCTGCCGGACCTTATATAGGAAGATAAAATGTCAGATAGAGTGCCAGAAGATTTGCCAGGTAGAATGCCAGAAAATATGCCAGAAGATATGCCAGATAGATATGCCACAAGATATTCCAGAAGATATGCCAGATAGAATGCCAGATAGAATGCCAGAAGATATGTCAGAATATATGCCAGAAGAAATGCCAGATAGAATGCCAGATAGAATGCCAGAAGATATGTCAGATAGAACGCCAGAAGATATGCCAGATAGAATGCGAGAAGATTTGCCAGATAGAATGCCAGAAGATATGCCAGAAGATATGCCAGATAGAATGCCAAATAGAATGTCAGAAGATATGTCAGATAGAATGCCAGAAGATGTGCCAGTAAGAACATGTATAAATGTCATGGTGGGGATCACACGAAGTAAAGTAACTTTTTTTTGATACCCCACTCGGACTCCAGGGATGGTCAGCCACTCCTTGGATCCAGGGATTTACTGTAGATACGGATGGGAAACCCCCTTGGGTGGCTGACCATAGACCTGCATGAGCTTGGATCCAGGGCCCCTTAAAGCTTCAAGGCCTTATATATATATATATAGATATATATACACGTACATACATAAAGGAACCCCCCCCCAATAGACCCAGGAGTTGTTCTCTTGAAGATTTGATTCTCGAAGTCTCCCTCGTGATTTACATACATTTACTCTGATTTCACAACTTTTCCGCACCATTTCCACAAGACATTACGGACACCTGGGAATTCCACGTAGTTTTCACCACTGCAGGCAGTGCCCATGGGGATGAATCCTTTGCCGCAGCAGATCAGACCAAAGGTGTCGCAGACTTTCCGCCCGGCTTCGTTGGGACTGGAGAGTTGGAGAGTTGGGACTGGCTCCAAAAAACCAAGAAACCAACTCTGGACTGGAGAGCGGATCCAGAAAAAAATGAAAAAAACTGATATGAACTGGCAGAAATTGTTGGAAGGTCATCAAGAATATCAAGAATCAATGAACATGGTCGCAAATTTGGGCCATCCAAGGAACAACTTGCTGGAACAACGGAAACAATTTGGTTCGAAAAATCCCCGTGCCAGGCGTCAGTTTCGAATGGTTGGAACTTTTGACCCGGCATGAGTTGGGAGATGTTGGGAGTGTCAAGTGCCGGAGAATATGATATTAGTTGATGTTATATGTTGCTTCATATGCTACCAATTCTTGGAGGTTTCCTGTTGATTGATGAATTGCTAGATCTTGGTAGCCAGGTGAAGGCCACACCGTTGCTGCTTGGGGTAAATGATCCCTGCCATCTGTGGTGTTTTTATTCCCCGCCACCGTGGAATTCACCAAGTTATTTAAGTCAACTTAGCATAACTTAGCTATCGAAAACGGGCGTCTCACACCTACCTTTGTTAGTGGCTTTATTCATAGAGCGTCGAAAAACGTGGATACAACTGAAGACTGACTGGCAGCGAATCGACCCACCCCAACATGATCCAATGAGAGCCCGCACTTGCCAGCCTTCAAGCTTGACTATGCACTATGCTGAGCGGCCGGTGGAGAAAGTGTTCCTCGAGCAACTTCAGCCCCTACTGTACTTCATCAGTCTTGTAGGAAATGGATCTGCAATTTCTGGGTGTAGATTGGAAAATTCCGGTCAATCCTAACCCCGAACCAATCAACTACAAGGTGAAGGCCCCCAGATATAAGTTGGCTTCTAAACCCCATGAAAACTGCTTCGTTGTATTGTATCTCCCATATGCCATAGACTACACCAAATTATGTGCGTCAAGTTAGCTATCGAAAACGAGGTATGGTTCAAAGTTGGGTACCCCAAGAATTTGTTGAATGCCAAACATCTGTCAATCTGTCCAAAAAAAATGGGCTTCCAGACTCCATTTTGTGACCCATAGCCATATGGGGGTTTCCTGATATAGGGGTACCCCTAAATCATCCATTTATAGATGGATTTTCCATAAACCATCCAGCTATTGGGTACCACCAATTTAGGAACCCCCCATATCTACCAGGTAACCGTTACAACCCCCGTTATTTGTGGTACCAAGGACCACCTCGATCGACGATGATGTGGACCCTGACCTGCAGCCAGGGACCTGGGACACCTGGGACCGAAAAGGACGCGATACCAGGTAGAGAAGAAGCATATAGATACTGTGAATGGCACGTATGTCGTATGTAGGTATTATATGGCTTTCAAATGTTGCAAAAAGGATGCAAATAGGAGGCCGTGACTCTGAATGCAGCAAATAGTGGATTTTGGGAGGGCGGCAGGGGGGGAGGAAGGGGGATGGGCTACTGAAGCGGGAACCGGGAACATATATATATATATATATACATATATATACATATATATATATACATATATATATACATATATATATACATATATATATATACATATATTTATATATATACATATATATATATATACACATACATACACTTTGTATATATATATAATATACACACTTTGTATGTATATATATATAATTACTTTGTATATATATATATGATAGTCTTGATCTTCAGACTCTAGGTACAGCCGCCAGCACTGAAGTTTTGTCAAACCGTTGAAGTTAGCAGTTGCTGGGCTAACCACGAGGGTCTCTGACGGATGCCATGTGGCAATCCTTGTTGAGAGCGACCTTGGCCTGCAAGCTCTGTTATCACTGGGCACCCTTGTTGAAAGGTTTTGGCCTTATCCGAAATCCGAAAGACTTTGTACCAGGGAACAGTTTCCACAATGTCTTATTGCTTGGTTCTACTGGCTGATTGATAGGTAGGTATCTTACAATCCTCGTGCTGGTTCACTTGTAGGCCTGCTCATAGTATACCCCCAATAAGCAACCAAAATTATTTTATTTGACCACTACTGAAGTTAATCTACTGTCAACGATGTCCTGCATTCTGTGCCTCGTGAAAGCTAGTTTTCTTTTTAGGCATGGACCCCCCTAGACACCCTCTATCAAGTCACTACGGGGGGATTGACAATAAGGTCATCATCCCCAGTAGTTGTTTATTTGTAAAATCATACTTGGGACTTTCATAAGACGTTTCAAATGGTTGATTAGCTGAGATGGTTTGGTATTTTCATATTTTTTTAAAATAAACTTGGATAGTTCCTCCAATCTTGATGGTTAGCCGCTTAGCCCCCCAATTTTGATGGTTGAATCAGTTGAATCCCGATTTCTGGATACCGAGGTGTTACATTTGGGACAGCAGGTCGCAACAACCCCGGCAGCCACGACAACCCATTGCAACAGGCACCAATGGTGTCAAAACCTTGTACCCCTGGTGAACATCAAAATAGCTGGTAAATGGATGGTCATTCCCTAATAAACTGTATCTATAGGTATTGATCCATAGCCACATGATTGTCATCATTGTTATTCCCCACCAGCCCGGTGACTCCTTCCTTCCTTGCTTGCTTCGTCCTCCTCCTCTGCTCGTCAGCTTCCTTGCAAGTAGAGCATCGCCAGCTTCCCCGCCAGCCTCTTCTGCATAGCCACTCTATCGTGAGCTCGCAGGCTCTCTGGGCATCGCCAGACCCGATCACTGGAAGGCCCGATAAAATCTCAGACAGAATGCCAGATAGACCGTGAGATCAAATGCCAGATAGAGTGCCAGATAAAATGCCAGAAGAAATCTCAGATAGAGTGCAAGACAAAATGCCAGAAGAAATCTCAGACAGAATGCCAGATAAAATGCCAGATGAAATGCCAGATAGACTGTGAGATCAAATGTCAGAAAGAGTGCCAGATAAAATACCAGATAGAATGTCAGATCAAATGCCAGATAGAGTGCCAGATAAAATGCCAGATAGACTGTCAGAAGAAATCTCAGATAGAATGCCAGATAGACCGTGAGATCAAATGCCAGATGGAGTGCCAGATAGAATGTCAGAAGAAATCCCAGATAGAATGCCGAATAGCCCGTGAGATCAAATGTCAGATAGAGTGCCAGATAAAATGCCAGATAGAATGTCAGATGAAATCTCAGATAGAGTGCCAGATAAAATGCCAGATAGATTTTCAGATCAAATGACAGCTAGAGTGCCAGATAAAATGCCAGAAGAAATCTTAGATAGAGTGCAAGATAAAATGCCAGATAGACTGTCAGATCAAATGCCTGATAGAGTGCCAGATAAAATGCCAGATAGAATGTCAGAAGAAAACTCAGATAGAATGCCAGGTAGACAGTCAGACCAATTGCCAGATAGAATGTCAGAAGAAATCTCAGACAGAATGCCAGATAAAATGCCAGATAGAGAGCCAGATAAAATGACAGGTAGACTGTCAGATCAAATGCCAGACAGAGTGCCAGATAAAATGCCAGATAGAATGTCAGAAGAAATCTTGGATAGAGCGCCAGATAAAATGCCAGAAAGACTGCCAGATCAAATGCCAGATAGACTGCCAGATAGAATGTCAGAAGAAACCTCAGACAGAATGCCAGATAAAATGGCAGAAGAAATCTCAGATAGAATGCCAGATAAAATGCCAGATAGACTTTCAGATCAAATGCCAGATAAAATGCCAGATAGACCGTCAGATTAAATGCCAGAAGAAACCTCAGACAGAATGCCAGATCAAATGCCAGATAGACTGTCAGATTAAATGCCAGATAGAATGTCAGAAGAAATCTTAAATAGAGTGCCAGATAAAATGCCAGATAGACTGTCAGAAGAAACCTCAGACAGAATGCCAGATAAAATGCCAGATAGACTGTCAGATTAAATGCCAGATAGAGCCAGATAAAATGCCAGATAGAATGTCAGAAGAAACTTCAGACAGAATGCCCGATAAAATGCCAGATAGAATGTCAGATCAAATGGCAGATTTTCAGTTGGTTGGGATTTTCCCTTCCCCTAGATGGACAGATGCACCACATTTCACCCGGTGTCTGGAAAGTGGGGAATGGGAAGGGATTGTAGTCAACGTGAGCACGGCAGGATGAAAAAGATAGACCATAATATATATCTATATATATATAGGCATACATACCTGCATATGTGTATATATATATATGTGTATATATATGTATATATATAGTAATATATGTAAATTTAAATACTAGTGTATATATCAATATTTACATATGTATACATACATAATATATACAACACCAGGGCAAAAATTTTTCCTCTTGACTAGCTGCTGCAGCCCTCTCCCCTTAGACCCCTGACAAGTCATATGAATCACATGGCGGATCGCGGATCAGCTGGTTTGCTTTAAAAGAGTTTTAATGAATTCCGACTTGAAATACGATCCGCCACGCAGACTACCCGAAATGATGATAATCGATCCACGGCTGAGGATCATGATGCTTCTAGGATTCTAAATGGAGAAAGCTTTCTCCCTCCTGATTTATTTACATGCATACATACATACATACATGCATGCATAGATCCATCCATCCATCCATCCATCCATCCACCCATACATACATACATGCATGCATGCATGCATGCATGCATACATACATACATGCATACACGCATACATGCATACATACATACGTACACACATACATACGTACACATAGACATACTTACATACATACATACATACATACATACAAACATACACACATACACACATAGATACATACATACATGCATACATACATACATACATACATACATACATACATACGAGCATACGAACATACATACAAACAAACATACATACATGCAGCTGCAGATGGAAATGCAGATACAGATACATACACATACATACACGTACATACACATGCATAGACATATACATACATATACATATCCATATACATACACATACACATGCACATGCACATGCACATACGCATACACATGCACGCATACACATGCACATACACATAGACATACACACATACACATAGATAGATAAATACATGCATGCATGCATGCATGCATACATACATACATACGTGCGTACGACAGACAGACAGACAGACAGACAGACATACAAACACACATACATACATACATACATACGTACGTACATACATACATACATACATACATACATATACATACACATATACATATCATATACATACATACATATATATATACACATACATATATACATACATGCATACATGCATACACACATGCATACATACGTATACACATACATAGATACATACATGCAATCATACATAGATACATACATACATAGATAGTTGCATACATACATACATGCATACATGCATACATGCACACATGCATACATGCATACATGCATACATGCATACATGCATACATGCATACATGCATACATGCATACATGCATACATGCATACATACATACATACATACACACATACATACATACATATACACATATACACATACACATGCACACACATACACACATAGACATGCATATGCACATACACAGACATACGCAGACCTATACATACATACATACACACATACACACATACACACATACACGCATACACCAATACATACATACATACATCCATGCATGCATACATACATAGATAGATAGATAGATCGATAGATACATACATAAATACATACACACACATACAGACATACAGACATACACACATACACGCATACACATATACACACATACACACATACACGCATACATACATACATGCATGCATGCATGCATGCATGCATACATGCATACATACATACATGCATACATACATACGTACACATATGCATACGTACACATAGACATACTTACATACATACATACATGCATGCATGCATGTACATGCATGCATACATAAATACATACAGACAGACAGACGGACGGACGGACAGACGGACACACACACACACACACATACATGTGTCATTACATTACCATTACCATTACCATTACATTCCCATCACATTACATTACCATTACATTACCGTTCCGTTACAATCCATTCCATTCCATTCCATACATACACCTAGACATATATATATATATACATTTGTATTATATATATATGTATACATTTTTACATTTTTAGCTTCGTAGTGCTGAGGTCATGGGAAGCATTTTGACTCTATAAAATTGCACCCATAACTGCTTGATTTTATTCTGACAATGTTTGGGTTTGCCTGAAGAGGGAAACGTATCCTTGAATCGGTTGGAGAAGATCAACATGTAGCCTATGAAAATGAATGACATTTTTTCGGGGAGAACCCCATTTTCAGACGCATCCAAATCATGTCATGTTGTATCTATATCTACATCAATATCTATATCTCCATCTATATCTTTATCCTTATACATATATATACAAAAATCGAAAAACATTATGTCGATATGCTCACTTTTGTTGCTTAAATCTGTTCTTCTTCAGATCCAATTTTTGGAGGCGATCCCTTCCCGGTTCGGAGGCAGACCCTCGGTGCCCAATGCGAAGCAGCGACAGCTGTTGAACCAGGCCCCTTGGTTTGGGGAAGGACTGGATGTATGGGAAAATGCAAAGCCAAAACTGGGAGAGAATATCAGGATCCTAAACCCACATACTCACAATTTAAGTGAACTTCATGGATGCCAGTATCCACAACTTCTGGGTTTTAGCCGCCCCACTGAAATGGTACCTATCTCTCAGTGGATTCACCAAGTGAATGGCGAGAAATCGAGAAATGTGGCGGTGAAATTGACGAGGAACCACGGAATTTTGCACGTTTTTTTTTTTTTAATCAACACGCAATAACTATTGAAGATGGCAATTTATAGTGAGTTTTCCCATTAAAAATGGTGATTTTCCATAGTTATGTTAGTTTACCAGAGGGTAACTAGCACAATGTTTTAAAATTCAGAGACATCCTTTTTGTGAATTGTAGCAATGAAGAGAACTCAAACAGGACCTTCAAATCGAACACCAAATTCAGGACGATAAATTACAGTGTTCGAGTGATCCCCAACAACTGACATTCTATCTCGCACATATTCAGATATTTTATTCTCTGACATACATTGTGGCATGCTATCTCACATTGTATACTGACATGCTATCTGACCATGCCATTTCTGCATTCGTCATCTCACTTTTTCTCCGAATGTTTGAACATGGATAAATTCTGACATCTGTGACACATATATCTGGTTGGTGGTTTCAAAGATGACTGGATTATTTTCCATTTCATATATGGGATGTCATCCTTCCCATTGACGAACTACATCATTTTTCAGAGGGGTAGGGCTCAACCACCAAGCAACCATATATTCTCACATTTTTCAACATACAGACATTCTATGTGGCAGTTTTACAAAACTGTGACGTTTTACAGTGGCATTCTGACATACCATAGTTTTCTGTTGCGAACTCGTGAGCTCGCTCATGGCTTGGCGCCTTGGTACCTGGAACGCCCCGGACTTTTTTGATTGAAACGCTACTTGAATGTGGGGTGCTGCTTAAGGAGACAATCCTGGACAGGCCCTTTAGTTTTCGAATGTTTTCGATAATTCATTGCATTCAACCCAATGAAAGTCGTCATTTGATGGCATTGATAGTTTCATATAATTTCACTCTAGTTCCTTACCGTCAAACCCTGTACATGTTGAGATGTTGAACATTTGACCTTATTTTGGTGTGTCCAAAACGGTCAAAAGTGTAGATTTTCTACACCCGAAAATTGCAACTTTGTTGGGAAACCTGAGGTTTCAAACCATCAAATTCATTCAAATTCTGTGTTTTTCCATGGTTGCCCCATATTTCTTCGACAAATCCCATTGGTTTAAGGGAAAATCAACAGGACATGTCTGTTTTTTTCACATCCATTTCGTGGCGAAGGTGGTCGAGATGGGATTCAACGAAAGTGATGCCAAACGTGCGCTCTCGAGTACAGGCCCGGGAGGACAAGACATCGAGGGGTTTGAATGAGCTTCGAAGTATGATTCACTTTTCCAATCTTTTGCCTCAAAGCCCTACATGATTCAACATTTGTGGATGTATAGGCAAAGTATTTGACTCCCAATGTGTGAAATCAAGTTTTGGTGGTCAGTTAGTAGTGGGGAACCTCGTCAAATTCTGTGCCTCGGCAGAATCTAGATACAGTATATAGATGTATAATTGATGTATACTAAATTATGTATCTATAATATATAGATGTATCCTAAATATTAATATTCTATGTATAATATATATATATATGATAATAATAATATAGATGTATATATAGATATTCCTTGTCTGCTACTGTCCCCTTCAGCTCTTCCCACGGTCGCTCCATCTATCAGAGATCATGAACGGAATGGGCTTATTCCACAGGTGGAGGATCCCACGGTCCCACGGTCCCACGGTGAAGCCAATTGTAAAGTCACCATTTCGTGGGCTTATTCCACAACTATACATCAACTATACATCAACTATACATCCATATACTGTATATACCTTATATAACTTATATAACTGGCTTGTAATATGTTGTAATACAAACTGCTTCTAAAAAACCCGGTTCCTCTAAGCGGGACTTCCCCGCTGGGATCAGGTTGGTCCGGCGTTCAAGACGCGGTGGCCGTGCTCGTGGGCGGCTGAGCCGTGGCGGAGCTGGGATCGCCGGCGGGTGGCTCGACTTGTACAGTGGCTGCGGCCGAAAATGGCGCCTTGAAATGGGTGAAATGGGTATAGATCAATACCTATTAATACCATTTTTAGGGGGATGAACATCCATTTACCAGCTATTTTGATGTTCACCAAGGGTAAGGTTTTGACACACTGCCAAATGGGTGAAATGGAGGAACCTGGGCGACAAGATCCTGAATAGTTAGGAAAAAACCTCTGCGTCCATTGGCGTCATGATCTTTTTTCTACGAACATCTGGAAAAAATTGGGAGGTAAAAAAAACCATTTTGATACAAACTCAAATTGAAGAAGATGAATACTTAGTAAGAATTGGGTCATTCTTCGAGACTTCAATGATTTTAATGCTGCCAAAGGAATCTTATTCAACATGAACTCGTGCTTGTGTTGTTTCCAAAAAAGTTCTACAAGGTGGGCTAGAACTTAGAACTTGCAGATGCCAACTACAAAGTAGAGCTGATGACCTCATTTGCAAACACCTGCCCCCAAATAGAAAGGCTCGGACAGAGAGAAATGTGGCAATTCAAAGTGCCACAATTTGCGGTGTCAAGACTGGTTAAGTTCGCAAAACACTAAAATCTCATCCAAACATCATAGTCCATAGAACAGACGCATGTTTGATATATATATATAATATATATAATAATATATATATATACATGACTCCACGCCCACGGGGATAAAGAGTCACCATATCCATCTTTTTCATGTCCGAAGTGTCTGGCTTTAGCTCATGGTCTGCGCTGAGTGTCGGCTTTTCCCAGGAGAGCCGACCTGCGGTGCGTGCCGGGCAGCGAGCCGGGCCATAGGGATCCTGCGGTCCGGTCAGCTCAGGGCTGAACAGGAGGGCCTTGTTTCCGGGATCCTTCGCATCGCCGTTGCCGAGCTCTCTGACCTGGTAGAGGAAAACCAGCGCACAGAGGGCGCGGCCGGGGCAACAGAAAACAAGGAGGAAGCGAAGGGCCTAACCTCCGGGCCTCTTCCAGGGACTCCCGCAAAGGAGGTCCCCAAGGCAGACAAGGAAGACAGCGAATACACCTACGAGAGCGAGGAGGAGGAAGTGACAGAGGAAGATCGTCAGGAAGCAACACCCGCTCGCGCCAGCGAGGGAAAGGGTGAGCCTGGAGACTCGGCCACTGCTGGTGCAGAGGCCGACCCGGGTACTGAGGTCAACAAAGACAGAGGAGAAGCCTATAAGGAGAAGGTGCGAGGCAAGTTCGACCCGGAGTATTTCACGAAGAGACTCTGCCTGACTCCCGCACCAAAGCCTCGCTCGGGGAGAAGCCGCGACAAGCGAAAAAGGGCATCCCCTGAGAGGCAGCGAGGAGGTGAGGAGCTTGAAGCTGCAGAACACCAGGTGGCGCGGGCTAGCCCTGGTGAACGGGGGCGCTCACCGGGTGCCCATCACGGCGACGAGGATAGCGACAAGAGGGAGCCGTTGCCAAGAAGGCCACAGAGAGAAAAGCGGCCAAAGAACAGAGGATCCAGAGGAGCAAAGAAAAGGGATCGCGCCCGAGAGTTCAGGGCCAAAAAGATCGAGGAGAGGAAGGCCAAAAAGGCCGCAAGAGACCAGGAATGCCACCGAAAGCCAAAGCCAAAGCAGTGGTGAGGGCCAGGGCCAAGGCCGGCCTCAGGCGCCCAGCGGCTGTGGTAGCCCACCCAGGTGGAGCTCCGGTCAGACCCCGCAGGGGGATAAGGCGCCCTGCTGGGCTGGACGAGGAGGGGGCCGATCCATGGAGCGCAGGGAGCGTGGTACCGCTCCACACCATCTCTTTGGATCGCTTTCATCCCAAGTCGTCCTTGGTGTTAACAGAAGCGGACTACTGTGGGGCCCCGGTGGTTGCGGCCGGCAAGATACAGAAGGTCGAGGTGGACCACAACGGTCCGCACCTGTACTTGCGGCTGACGGGGACTACAAGCGAAAGCCTGTTGAGGGTACACACTCAGCAACCCGGTCAGATCTTCCGGGTTCATCTTTGCCCGGAGGGTTGCGGGAAGGTCGAGTGTGGAGAACTGTACCTTCACGGGATCAAAGGCCGCCGAGGTCAAGACCAGGACGAGCCCTGGACGACCAACCTGGTGGAGGCCGCTGCGGGAGGAGAAGACGAGCTAGCGTTGCTTCGGGCGAGAGGCGCGGGGCAAGCGCCGCCAGGGGTGGAAACAGTTCATGCTCAGCGACCAGGTGGTGTGCCCCACTCGCCAGGCAAGAAGAAGGAGTCCAAGAAGAAGAAAAAGAAGAAGGCAAAAACGCGAGAGGAGAAGGTGGCGAGCGGCCGTTTGCCATCCAAAGCTGTGCAGAAGGAGGCGAGCCAGCTGTTCGCGGGAACGGCACTCGATCCAAAAGAGCGGGTGCGGACCCGGGTGATGAAGTCGGCCCGACGCTTTGCCGCCAGAAAGAAGGCGAAGGAATCCTCCTCGAGCACCGGAAGCGGGAGCAGCAGCTCCTCGAGCTCCAGCAGCCAAGGTGTGGCGACGGGAGAGGTGGTCTTCTCCGAAGAGACCAAGACCCAGGCGCTTGGAGAGCGCTACCCCGGAGCCTTGACTATGGAGACCTTGATGCTGATGCGGCGAAACTTGCTGGCCACGGCCGGGGAAGACGGGGAAGAACAGTCGACGAGACCTATTGCTCTTCTCTACTTCCGTTCGGTCTTGGGCCGCAAGTGCAGCGGAGCGCAAGCCCGGGAGTTGCTGAACATATCGTGTGCGATCGACGCCCTCCTTCGAGCCCGTCCTGCACAAGCGCTGGACATCCTTTGCCAGCGACTAAAGGCCCAGGAGAGTGTGCTCTTGGGCACGAACTGGGCAGTTGCTCAAAGGGTGGAACTGGCGTCGCAGGACAGCACTACCCTCATTCCCCGTGCGGAGCTCCAGACCGCACAACGGAGTTATCTGGAGTCGAGGGCCAGGTGGCAGGCATCGACGGGACAGGGGGGGAAGGGGGCTCCGAAGGGCAAGGGCAAGGACAAGGGCGATCAGAGCACCAGGGACGAGAAGAAGGGCGAGCCTCGGAGAGAGAAAGGAAAAGGAGGCGACAAAAAATAGCTCCTCAGCCGACTGAGTCTTTAGGGACGGCTCCTGCGGAGGCTATCAATTCGACAAGCCATGCTCCTGATGTCATGGGAGTGGGCTGGCATGATGTGCGGGATGGTGGTAGCGCCTCCCATGCCCCTGAGGAAGCAGGTTTTTTGGCATGCGCCGTGCCTGCTACAGGGATGGTTTCTCCGGAAGGGCCTGGAGGGCCTGTCATAGGTGACCCGGCCCCTTTTGTTGGCCAGGGCCACAATTTTCCAGAACCTAGCCACAGTGCTGGGGCGCAGTCAGGACCTTTGTGGAGTCCGAGCGGCAAAAGGACGAGTGATTTGGAAGGTCTTAGATTTGTAGAGTTAGGGCCGAGGGTTCAACAGTGGCTGCAGGAGGTTTTACCGCTCCGCAGCAAGCCCATGGGTAGGAGGGATGTCACCACCCTGTTCCCCCTGCCTACCTCTTGTAGTACTCTGTCTGAATCCTTCCCCTCTCTTTCTTCTCTGGAGGTGTGCTGGCTTTGCAATGTGTGTGTTGGTCTGAATTCCATGTGGGGAGATGGGCTCTCCTTCGATGGATCGGTCACACCGGTGGTCTACCGTTGTCTTTCCCGTATTGTCTGCGACATCCAAAGGATTGGTACCTGGTCAGGCAGCTTAGAATGTTTTGATTGGGGTAACTTCTTCCTGACAAGGTCTGTGGACTATAAAGGAGATGAAGTTAAGACTGCTCGTGAATTCACTTGGCAAAACATTGCGCCTGCCCTTCCGGCGGAGATTGGTCGGGTGCCATTGGCAGAGGTCTGCACTTTGGGTGCCAAACATTATGTGGAAAACTTTGAGGCGTACCTGAGGCCGCCTGAGCGGTGGGAACTCAAGCGGCCTCCACGTGTGATGGTGGCTGATGACGCTTGGGCTGAAGTCTGCCGAGGACTTACCTCCTGCGGAATCTGCACCTTCCTTACCGAGGAAGAGCTGTTCCACACGGGAGAGGGGCCACTCCTTAACGGATTGTTCGGCGTCACCAAAGATGAGTTCCATCAAGGTCATGAAGTCTTTCGCTTGATAATGAACCTCATACCCCTCAATGGGATTGTGGAACCTATGAAAGGGGACGTTGAGACATTGCCTACCTGGTCGATGACAACACCCTTTCAGCTGCAGCCAGATGAGTCTCTGGTGGTGAGCTCAGAAGATGTACGATGCTTCTTCTACGTTATCAGCGTTCCGCCTGCCATGGTGGAAATTCCTTGGTTTCAACAAGCGAGTGCCACAGGACTGCCTACCCCCTGACCTTAAAGGTCAGACAGTCTTCCTCGCTGCCAAGGTTCTGCCAATGGGGTTCGCCAACTCTGTGAGTCTGGCACAACACGTGCACAGGAACCTGGCACTGTGGAGTGGCCAGACCCAGGCTTCGGAGGATGACGACATTAATCTGCCAGAGGCGGAGGTCCGCAAGGACCGGCCGGCCACAGTGGCCAGCCCAAGCTGGCGGGTCTATCTTGACAACTACGATCTCTTAGAACGGGTCAAATCGGTTGATCTGAGCCATCTGGAGGGGCGGGAAGCTCCTTCAGTTTTGGCATTGCGGCAGCAGTATGAATATTGGGAAGTACCGCGGAACTTAAAGAAGTCCGTGAGCAGGTCTGCCCTTGCAGAGGTGCAGGGCGCCCAGGTTGATGGTCAACTTGGTGTGGCCTACCCTCGCGAAAGTAAGTTGTTGAAGTATTTGGCCGCCACACTGTCCTTGTTGAGTATGGGCCACGTGACCCAGCGCCAAGTTCAGGTTGTATGCGGGGGGCTTGTCTACGTTTCTATGTTTCGGCGCCAACTGCTGGGGTCACTCAATGCAGTCTGGCGATTCATCACTTCGTTTGACACCCTCAAGGTGCACAAGCAGCGACTCCCACCGGGCTGTCCACTGGAACTGGTAAGGTTCCTCAGCCTCATTCCTCTCGCTCGCCTTGACTTTCGGATGGAGTTCGAGGAGCAAGTCACATGCAGTGACGCCTCCACCAAAGGTGGGGGCGTGTGTGCGTCCGTCTCTCTTAGTAGGGCCGGGGTTGAGGCAGCACACGGGAAGCTTCGAGGTGAGCTCCCTGAGCTGAGACAAGAACACCGGGTCCTGACTCTAGGACTTTTTGATGGAATTGCTGCGCTGCGTGTGGCGGCTGGCTTGCTCGGTCTTCAGGTTTTGGGGCATGTATGCGTGGAGATGTCTGCCCAGGCGCGAAGGGTAGTCGAGTCTCACTTTCCAGAAGCTCACCATTGTACCGATGTACGAGACGTGGACGATGCCATGGTTCGGCAATGGTCTTTGGATTTCTCTCAGGCCTCCTTGGTTTTGCTCGGCGCTGGCCCGCCGTGCCAGGGAGTGAGCGGCCTGAATGCTGACCGCAAGGGGGCACTTCGTGATGAGCGATCAAACCTCTTCAAGCATGTCAGCCGTGTGCGAAGGTTGGTGGAGAAGCATTTCTGCTGGTGTCAGGTTCATTGCCTCATGGAAAGCGTCGCCTCGATGGACAGTACTGACTGCGAGGTCATGAGTGCCGACTTCGGTGATCGCCCTTGGCAGTGTGATGCCGGGACTATGACTTGGTGTCACCGCCCGCGCCTGTATTGGGTCAGCTGGGAGCTGGCCTATCAGGATGAAGGGGTGGTCTATGGGCCAGGGAGCACGGGTGCTCCTCGCCATGTGGTATTGACGGCCAGTCAGGACCTTGAAGAAGTGTGTAAGGAAGGCTGGTTGAAGGTAGACCCTTCCAGGTCTTTTCCCACATTCACAACCTCTCGTCCACGAGACCGGCCAGGCCATAAACCAGCAGGGATTCGCTCCTGTACTACCCAAGATTTGGATCGTTGGGTTCAGGACCGTCATCGCTATCCCCCCTATCAGTACACTGCAAAGAACCTCATGATTAACCGGCGCAATGAAATGCGGCTGCCAGACATCGAGGAGAAAGAATACATGATGGGATTCCCCGTCGGCTACACCGTGCCTTGCCTGCCCAAGGCGTCCAGGAACACTGCAGAGCATCTCGATGCTCGGCACAGCCTGATTGGGAACAGCTGGTGCGTTCCTGTCGTGGCTTGGTTCCTGGCCCAATTGTGCGGGCCTTTGGGCTTGTGCCCTAGGTACTCCCCGCAACAGGTGATGAATTTCATCAACCCCAACCACCAAGTGTTCTTGCAATCACGTTTGTGGAGGTCTCCGCTTCGCCCCATGCGAGGGCCTGCGCCCCCCCCCCCGTTGGCGGCAAAACTTGGAAACTTGGTCAGTGTCAAGGGTGAAGATATTCTCCTGTCTGCACCATCAAGTCAGTTGGTCAAGTTCCAGCGCCTCCGCACGTCGGTGCCCTCCAAGCTCTGGAAGTGGAAAGTTGTCACTGGATGGCAATGGAAGGGTTGCGGAGAGCACATCAACGCTCTCGAAATGAGGGCAGTGCTCACGTCCCTCAAATGGCGCATTCAGCATAAGCAAATGGTGGGAAAACGTTTTTTGCATTTGGTCGATTCCCTTGTAGTGTTGCACTCCTTGTCCCGCGGAAGGTCATCAAGCCGAAAGCTCCGGTCCACTCTGTCTCGAATCAACGCTCTGCTCCTGTGCAGTTCCAACCAGGCCCTGTGGGGCTACGTCAGCACTGAATCGAACCCCGCAGACCGGCCCAGCCGGTGGGGTTCACGTGTTCGTACCAAATTTAGGCATGCCTAAACGCCTATTAGAGGCAGCTACACAGGCAGGTAGAGCGGCTCAGAGACAGCAGTTAGGATCACTCAAGGACCTTACAGTGCAACCGGCAACAAAGCAACGCTACAATCGCGCCATTGATGGCTTCTTAGCCTTTCTCCGAGATAACTCTTTAGAGTTGCCGCGCCAACGCAATCTTTTAGACCCATTGCTTTGTGAATACTTGGAACACTTGTGGAGCACTGGCCATGGCCGGGCTTTGGCCAGTGACACAGTTGCTGGTCTTCAAGACCATGACATTAAGCTTCGCGGGCACTTGCAAGGAGCCTGGAGGCTTCTCAAGACCTGGTCGCTGCATGAGATCCCATCTCGCGCGCCCCCCCTTCGGTCTCATGTCTTGCATGCTATGGTGGGTTGGTGCTTCTTCCACCAGCATGTTACCTTTGGCGTTTCATTGTTGTTAGGCTACTACGGTATGCTCCGTACAGGGGAGATCTTGTCACTCCGGGCCTCTCATGTTGGTAGTGGTACTACTCAAAGTTCTCTTGTTGTGTCCTTGGGGCTGACTAAAGGGGGCAAACGCCAAGGTGCGGCTGAATCCGTCGTGGTAGGATATGACATTGTGGTGAATGTCGTCCGCCACTGGAAAACCCTGGCCCAGCCTTCCACCCCATTTGCCCCAAATGCGGCTCACTGGAGAGCTAAGTTCAATGAAGTCCTAGCGGCTCTCAATCTCACTGAGTATGGCTTTAGACCATATAGCCTGAGGAGAGGCGGTGCTACTTTTTGGTTTTCCAGGCACCATTCGTTGGATAAGATTCTGCTGCAAGGCCGATGGCACGCAGCCAAGACTGCTCGAATCTATATCAATGAGGGTCTCTCTGTGCTTGCCGAAATGTCTCTCCCCCCCTCGCTTCCCTCCCTTCGTCCTTTTCTCCACTTCTTTCAAACCGCCTCCACTCGTCTCACCTTTTCGTCACTTGAGCCTCCTGTTCCAGGAAGTTCAGGGGGCCATGGAAAGAAACCAACCAAAAGATCCGGAAAGGGATCTCCGGCGCGTTCGAAGCGCACAAAGAATGTGACGGATTGTGACTGTCCCTGTTTTTCTTTTTTGGTAACCTAGGCTTGGGGAGTGGTTGGTTTGGCTCGCTTCGCCAAGTAGGTTACTAAAGATGCCGGGGGTTTGGCCAGGCATCTTTCCTATCAGGTTTTTTGTGACTGGTTGTTTCTTTTCTTTTGTAACAAATTCGCTGCGGAGTGGATCATAAAAAGATGTGGTGGTGCGCTCTTTGACTCCACGCCCACGGGGATAAAGAGTCACCATATCCATCTTTTTCATGTCCGAAGTGTCTGGCTTTAGCTCCCTCTTCCTCCCCCCCTTTTTTCTTTTTCCAATTTTTGGTTTCGGAAAGAAACCAACCAAAAGATCCGGAAAGGGATCTCCGGCGCGTTCGAAGCGCACAAAGAATGTGACGGATTGTGACTGTCCCTGTTTTTCTTTTTTGGTAACCTAGGCTTGGGGAGTGGTTGGTTTGGCTCGCTTCGCCAAGTAGGTTACTAAAGATGCCGGGGGTTTGGCCAGGCATCTTTCCTATCAGGTTTTTTGTGACTGGTTGTTTCTTTTATTTTGTAACAAATTCGCTGCGGAGTGGATCATAAAAAGATCTTTTTCATGTCCGAAGTGTCTGGCTTTAGCTCCCTCTTCCTCCCCCCCTTTTTTCTTTTTCCAATTTTTGGTTTCGGAAAGAAACCAACCAAAAGATCCGGAAAGGGATCTCCGGCGCGTTCGAAGCGCACAAAGAATGTGACGGATTGTGACTGTCCCTGTTTTTCTTTTTTGGTAACCTAGGCTTGGGGAGTGGTTGGTTTGGCTCGCTTCGCCAAGTAGGTTACTAAAGATGCCGGGGGTTTGGCCAGGCATCTTTCCTATCAGGTTTTTTGTGACTGGTTGTTTCTTTTATTTTGTAACAAATTCGCTGCGGAGTGGATCATAAAAAGATGTGGTGGTGCGCTCTTTATATATATATACATATATATATATACATATATATATACATATATATATATATACATATATATATACATATATACACACATATATATATATATACATATATATATACATATATGTATATATATATATGTATATATATATACATATATATATACACATATATATATATTTAGGATTATATTGGCTATTTGTGCCGCAGCAATTTTAGCTCTGTATATCCCCCCCCCTTGACACCGTTGCAGCGCCATCAGCATGGCAAGCGGCAAGCCGTCTGTAGACCCTAAGATGGCAACAGGTGAGAGTCGGGCAAAAAAGAGCGCACCTGAAATTGCCCCTTGGTCACATGCGCGGGAGAATATACCTGGTACCGGTAATTTATGATCTCCCCATGAAACAAAGCAATTTTTCAAAGCTATTTTAAATTATGGCAGGGTATATACACATTTCCTGTATTTTCGAAGATAGTATTATCAAAGCGATTGGTATCCCCATCCTCCAAGTTTCGTGATCAAAATAGGTAGCCCATTTTGGGTCCCCACCCAATTGTCATCAATTGTCCAATATCTGTTTTTTTTTGACTATCACACTCATTTCTACATTTAAACCCTATCCGACATATTCTCTTTTTATCCCCATTGTACTATACCACCATATTGGAAAACACGTTCGGTTGGGAAAGCCTAGGCCCGCGTGAACTTTTTGATATATTTTGATCCATGGATGTGTTGGTGTCAGTTGTTTATAATCCCATGATATCCCATGTATTATATAAATAGATGACATGATTACATGATATGAATACCATGTTACATAAGCTAAATGTCCATCTATAATATAATCCATGTATACTGGGGTGTCATATGTTGTCATATGTTGTCATATGCTGATTCCCTACATACTTGGATAAATTAAAGCCATCCAAGCACCCTTGCCTTCACACTGGACCAGGTGTGAAAAATTGAGGTGCCTTCCAGTAGACCAACATATGGAAAACTCACCAGAAATGAAGATCATTTCCAAACGGAAAACCCATGGATTTCTATAGCTATGTCAGTTTACTGGAGGGTTTTATCCAAAAAGAGGAAGTCATCCACCAGTTTATGATTCTGCGAGTAGCTGAAGCGGCTGTAGTCGTTGTAGCTCCAAATGACAAAAACAACAAGAGGGATACCCTCTGGCTTATATTCATACTACTCGTAATGATGTTTTCTTTAAATACAAAGAGTTGGTTAACCATACTGAAATAATTTCCATTAAATCCATACATATTCCATACATCATCATAGGATTTCCCATTCGAAAAATGCTATCAATATGATATGCAATGTTTAATGGAAAAAAACATATGATTGTCAATCTAAAGGTCCATGTAGAGATTGTCACTACAAAGGCAGGGTTCCAACATGAGACCCCGAAAAGTTTTTCTTAACTCGCGTTTTATTTTTGGCAAGAGATTTAGCGAAAGATTTTAACATGAGACCCCCGCGAAAGATAAACGTGGGGTCCGCGCAAGATTCGCGAAAGTACATTGTTGATTCGCGAAGAATGGCCGTTTGCAGATCAAGGAATTTAGATCTTTAGATCAACCACCATATGTATCTATCTATATATTATCAATTATTATGATACGTATATATATATATATATTCCTTATTCATATTCCTTATAATATTCATGAATATTGCTCATATATTCCTGAGATATTTGTCGAATTATTCACCATGACCATCTCTCGAATTCTTCACCATTATCCATTGTGGAATATTAATGGTGAATTATTAATCACCATATATTAACCATTAACCATTTAATATTAACCATGGAATATTCCATATTCCATAATTAGAAAATCATTATTCACCATATTCCATCTCTCGAATTCTTCACATTTCTTCACCATGAACCATCCATTCTCCATGGGGCCATATGTGGCCACATCTCGAGGTCTTTCAGACCTTCCACCTGAACGGTCTGCCGGACCGCGGCCGTGAGGGCTGGGCCTCCGTCAAGGTCTCCTCGCCGCACTTCGCCGTCAGTGACTCGCCGGTGCTCTTCGAGGCCGGGGCCCAGAGGGGCCCAGACAGCCCGGCTGGGGAAACATGGGAAAAACCATGGAACATCCAGCATTTTCATAGGAAAATCCATGGTAAATGCATGGTAAATGCATAGTAAATCTATGGTAAATGCATGGTAAATCATGGTAAATCCAGCATTTTAATTGCAGTAAATCCATGGTAAATCAACATAGCTATGGAAAATCTCCGAAAATCCACCAGTTTACCATATTTATATAATACACAGTAGCCTATGACATTTCAGCACTATGGATGACATTGTGATGGCAAACTAACAGTTGGCGAACTGGAGAATCACCATTTGAAGTACGGTAAATCGACGATTTTCCTGGGCATTTGAAGTAAACTATATTTTCCTGGGCCATTTTCAATAGCGAAGTGTTTTTTCATGACCGGAGGCTATGAGTAGATTTTCAAGTCCATCATGATAGATATCCATCCGGGTACTTAGAATAGCATATTTTTTAGAAGTTACCCTCTGGTTATTTAACATAGCCATGGTATAGATGGCTCATTTAGTTCGATGGTTTACCTATTAAAAATGGTGGATTTTTCCATGGCAAACTGTTAGTCATAACCAGATGGTTTCAGATGCTTTGGCCCATTGTGGAAACGAAAATATCGTTACCATGAAGTTTGGGCCCAGTTCCACAAAACGATCTCTGACTATATATAGTACTGTTGAAAATGGATGAACATGGATGAACGCGTGTTTTTTTTCTCCGGTTAGTTCAGTTTATGAGTTTATTTTTTTGGGGGGTTGTGATTGTGGATAGTTGATGGCGACCGCATAACCTACGGTAACCTCGAGCCCGGACGGATCACCTCAAAGCGGCTGGGTTTTGGCACGGAACAATGTTGCGATCTCCTAGCAGAAATTTTATTGGCTGGTTTTTCATGACACCAATCATCCATTGAATTACTGTAGTTTTCTTTCTTTTGAATCTTTAGAATTGGTATTGTGATACCTTAAATGAGCCTCGAAAATTGGATGGTACCAGTCGACCGTGGCCAGGAAGGAGCAGAGGAGCCGGCAGGTCCAGCGCGGGTTGGGTCCATAAGGACTGGATGATTCGGGATATCCCTATGACTTAGGAAACCTCCATGTTACAAAACATAAAAAGATCATAGGAAACACCAGGAGTTTGGTCAGAAATCTGCAAAGATCAGGATTTTTCTTAGACATATGGGAATGGACATGATCAGTTAGTTCGATGATCAGTTCATAAACATTTCGCAGACAGAATGGGCAGATAGAATTTTCGTGGATAGAATCAAGGCGAATGGGGCCCAACTGAAAGTGGGGATACGATAGTATCATCCTAATCCCCAAAAAGATAGACAAGTAGAATCCTACTAAAATAAGTAGAATAGGTATGAATAGGTTACTTTTCTATCTTTTTGGGGGTCAATATACGTACATGCCGTTCCCATTGATGGTCACTTCCTAGCCACCATCGTCCGTGTCACCGCGTGGTTCGGGACAGAAAAGCTTCCGAGATGTGTTTTTTTTTAGTTTATTTCTTTTTAATTGAATAGTGAATTTGCCACTCTTATTTTTGGGATTTTGCCAATTTCTCCCATTTAGTTCGTTGATTTACCTCTTAACATGGTGATTTTCCATAGCTATGGCTATGTAAGTTTATCAGAGGGTATTTCATCCTTATGTCATGATGTGCTGAAATGGTGATTCCCTTTTGTGCAAGTAATTGATATGATTATGGTGATTATCAGTGATTTTCTCTATTCCTGTAATTATCTCATTATTAGTATGTGCAACTTGAGATTTCAATCACTGATAATTACAGGTTCCTGTTGATCAAATGCTCGGCAGTTTCTCTGATGTGAGATCTTTTTTCGGCAAATTCCGAGGGTTTTGGAGGTTTTTGACCACGAAGACACATCATAGATCATCATTTTTTGTTACCACCCCAAAAGATATAAAAACACATATAAACGTTGGAAAGAAACGTGAAGTACCCTCTGGTAAACTAACATAACTATGGAACATCACAATTTTCAATGGGAAAATCCACTATAAATGGCCATTTTCAATAGCTATGTTAGTCATTACCAGAGGGTAAATATCATCTACAACATCCTGGAAACACTGACGATCTTTTTTTGGGGGCTATAAATCAGCTGGGATGAGCCCTGAAGTCATCTTTAACCTCTTGGCGATACCCTAGCGTAAACGAAGAATCGATGTGAAAAATGGCATGCCATGGCCCATCTATGGATGAATTAGCTATTAAAATTGGGGGATGTTCCACATTTGTGTTAGTTAGCTTGCCCCAGGGTATAAGGGTGATACAGTATATGGCCATCTAATCTTATCTTCATGGTAAAGACACCCTATAGCTGGGTTCGAGTTTTTCTGTTTTTTGAATACATCTTAGTCATAACCATAGGCTAACAGCCAATACGTTCCATATATCAAAATAATGGAATGGGATACCCCCAAAAATCATGCATTTCATCTCAGTGTTCATTCCATCAACTATCTCTGGTTGGTGCTTTGGAACATGACTGGATTATGACTTTCCATTCAGTTGGGAATGTCATCATTCCAACGGACGAAGTCCATCATTTTTCAGAGGGGTAGGTATACCACCAACCAGACATATATATATATAATTATATATATACTGGATTATACTGGGATATATCATTGGATTATGTGTGGGATAGAATGTGATTCATTGGGGGTGAATGGCTAATGGGAAAAATCAACTATCTTCAATCATTTTTACCTGATATTTTTCTATCAGTTCAGCGCCTAAGTGCACATTTCTTGGTGGTTCATCCCAGGCTGGTAACCCCAGTTGGGATTTGCTGAGCTGCACCCCCCAGTTGAATCCTCATATTCCCTTAAGATTCGATAGATTCCAAGATATTCCACAAACATCTGAATCTGTCAAGAATATGGAAATACATGGTCTTCCATGAATATATCCAAAAATAAAGTTAAGATTCGCCCTCCCACCCCCAAAAATGGAGGTTTCCTAAGTTATGGGGGTACCCCCAAGTCAGCATGGGTTTCAATACTAACATGGTCTAATTTAGCCGCCTTCGGCGTGGTCCGCCGGCCACCATGGAAATGGCTATCCAGCAAGCCGCAAACAGCCCTTGCACAGGCCCAGCAAGAACATTGTTTTTGTGTAAAACATAGTGTTTGTATGTGTTTGTGTATAACACGGTTTTTGTGTAAAACAGCTCTTTGTGGAAAAGACGGTTTTGATGCAAAACCATTGGTTTTGTTCAAACCACAGTTTAAATTTAAATCAAAAGCATGTGTGTAAACCAGGGTTTTGGAAAAGGCCATATTGAGAAAGGTTTTGGGAAAGGCCATATTTAGAAGGTTATGCGTGTAAAAAGTGTCTGGCAAAAGCCACATCAAAAGCCAGTGGGTCAAGTAAGAAGCGGAGCAAACCGATTGCAAACAACAACAAAAAATGGAAACAACCATCGACATGAACCAAGCCGGTGTTGAGTGAGGCGTGAGCAGGGTTGAGCCCAGCAGACAGTACAACTATGAACAAGCAAGATCCAACAAAAAACACGCCGGCAGGCCGGCGGATTTAGGATGATTTGGGGTACCCCCATGACTTTGGAATACCCAACTATGACCGTGATTTTGTCGAAAGTTCTTTGACAATTAGTGGCTTTCATGTTCCAGCCAACCAGCTCATCAGCTTAAATGTTTTTCTTCAACCAACATCAACCATCATAAACCTCCATTTACCCTCTGGTATATTAACATAACTATGGAAAATCACCATTTTCAATAGGGTAAATCCACTATTTCTATGGCCATGTTCAATAGCTATGTAACAAATTACCAGAGGGTAGTTCGGGGATTTTCCAGCCTTTCCTGCCAGCCACCTTTGATTCGCAAGTTTCACATCAGGCAGAGAGGTGCGCGAGCTTCAGCATGTGGTGCATGCTGCCGCTGAAGTGCAGCGCGCCACGCTTGGGGGACAAGCCGCATCGGCTCTTCGGCGGAACGGAAGCGGAAAGTCGGTCGGAAGGTCGACGTTTGACCTCCAAAAAATGGGGAGTTTACAGCATTTTAATGGGAATCTCATCTATCAACATGGAGCTTTGAATGGGAACATCATAATTAAATATGTATATATATATATGGATACACTAATATAGAAAATGATGTTTCGAATGATCATCTGTCAACCGGGATTTCACCATGAGATATGGGTTTTGAACCATCAACTAAATCAAAATCGTCAGAATTCTTGTTGGTTCTTAACTCAAAGGGATGTGGAGAGAGCAAGATAAGCTATTGTGGCTTACTATATATATAATTATATATATATCTCCCTCTACACACACAAATGTATATATATATATACACACATGGGCTTTGACCATCAACACATGGTCATATTATGGGTATGTAGTCCAGAACTTTGACAATTTTTCCGAGGTTATATATATATATATTACATGTATGCAGGTATCATGATCTGTGAACTGTAAACCGGGAATGCTGGGGAATGCTGCATGGAAACCAACTATTGTTTGGGGATGTTCCTCTAGGTGTTTGTCACATGTCACATGGCTTTCTCTGCTCGGCTTTGAGCAACCAAGACACCACCATCTCCATCCAAAAGTGGGGACATTGATGGGGGCAACAATCATCATGTACGAATTGTATGCGCGTTTTTGCCAAAGATTGGAGGTGACTTTCATTAGCAAAAGTCGATCATCATCGAAGAAGAACAACGTGATTTCACCAGCAGGAAGGCGGGTTGAACCCAAGAAACATGGGAATTTTTCACCAGCAAGGAAACTGAGATTGGACCAGCAACATTTGAGACTCAACTCGTTGTTCACCCTGACTGCTGGAGGTAGACTGACCTTTAGAAATCCGTTTGTAGAGGTCACAAACGGGATCGAAGCGTGCGGCAGTTGACCAGTGTTTGTGATGGATGCATATTTCATATCCGTCATATCCTATCCCGAGACCGGAATCAGTCACCCACTAGCAGAGTCAGACCACCCTGAGTCAATCACCCCCCAAGTCGGAGTCAGTCACCCTCCACAGCCCCACTGGGGGGGAGGGGTGACTGCCCTGCGGCGTGCCTCGTGGGCCATCAAAGTGACATGGTTTGTTTTAGGGTTGGTATAAAGTTTCTTAGGCTTGGTTCAGGGTTGTTTCAGGGTCTATTTAGGGTTGGTGTTGCGGTTGGTCCCACTCCAAGAAGACTCTGTTTCTTGCAGCGGATCGAAGTTTACCCATACTGCATGGAAGAGGATTTTCCGCTTCAACATATCTTGTTTTGGCCACATGTTTTGTTGTCACATTATTGATAGACAGTTTATACTGTAGCAATAGCTCCTGAAGATTTTCTAAGGACATATAGGCCCTCTAGGTGATATGTTTGTCATCAGTCTAGCTGAGGGTGGGGTGCTCACTCTCATATTGGATTGTATGGATTAATCCCATCCCCCGATCATATTGAATGCCAGCTAGAGACCCCAAGTCAAGCCACCAGGCTTTCTAGGCTTTCTAGAGATCAGAGGACTTCTCACCTTGATCAACATCTCCCACATCCCCCACATCCCCCAGTGGCCATTGAAAAAAACAGGAACCGGGCTCACTTTCGCCGCGCCAAGGATGTGATCTCTCTACTAAGAAAAGGCTGATGTCCTTCGCCGCAAAGCCGCGAAGCGGCGAGTAGCGGCGGCCAGGGGTCATGATAGCAGCAGCTTTTCGTGAAGCGAAAATTGATGGATCCAGCATGTCCAGGCGCGCAGTCAAGATGTTTCGGAGATGTCCGGATTGGTATACCCTCTGGTAAACAGCCACATAACTATGGAAAGATCCACCATTTTGAATGGGTATATCAACTATAAATGGCCATTTTCCATAGCAAACTGTTTGTTTACCAGAGGGTAATAAATGTGGCGGTCGGATTTTCACGGAACGATTGGATTCATGACCTTTGGAGATAGAATCATTCTCCAGCGGTGGATGTTCGCACCCAAACTTTATCAAAAGGTGAAGTCTGGCAGCAAGAGCAAGTTCGAGTTGACCCAGTTGATGTTGCTTTCCTCCATCATCTCCATCTGAAAGATCTGGCGGATTTATTTTATCGCAGCTTTTTTCGATGCCACGTGTCGAATGATGGTTAGGAAGTTAGGAATACAGTAACTATCCCAACATGTCCGAAGTCTTGAGGTTGCTGAATTACAAAAAAGATCAGATGTCCTTTTCCCAATCAGTCACTAGTTGATGAAACTAAAGGGTCAAGTCGGTTAACCCCCATCAAACAACCATTTGACGTCAGGCTTGAAAAATGCTATGCTCAATTTTGCGTCTTGCCCCCCCCCAGTCTTGACCCACCTGTCTCTCCATGGACCTGTGAGCAGTGTTCACACCTGTTGATGATTAAAGGCGGTTATACAGTTATACTACACAATATGTTGGGAACTATCATAGTCCATCATGGGAATCCCTGCTAGCCAGTGAAAAAACACGGAACAAAAAAACAGGTTTTGGACACTGTTCATTTGCTAAGTTTCTCACCAGCTGCATCAGTGCCGGACATTAACTTCGATGTTTTACGGTTTTTATGGCCATGGTGATGTTCCATAAACAAAGAAAGCCAGAGGGTGTCCCCATTCCAAGGTCCCAGAAGTTGGGCTCAAATCCCAGCAAAAATCCCAGCATCGAATCCCAAAGAAAAGTTGAGCCCATTATAATGATGGTCTCAAACATATTCATCCCGATTCATTTTTTATTGAATCAATCCCACTAAAGATCCCAAAGAGAATTGTCCCAAACTTCTTTGGGGTTGGTAAAAAAAACTCGGGTCGAAAGCTTTGTCTGGCACCCATGCAGCACCCATGCAGCTGGCTGAAAGCCGTGTCGCATCGCCGCTGACCTCGTCCCTGCGTCAATGGCGACACCTTTTTTTTGGGGGGACAAAAAGTGGCCAACACTGGATATGATGGGGTTATCATGTGTAAGATCTTGATACAATATATATATATATGGTATATATATATGGAATAATGGTTCATCATTGATGTTTTCATGGGATACATGTATGTATATATTGGATCAATCATTCAATGATTGAAATATCTTACATATGGATAAATATATCATACAGTATATATATATACAAGATATAAATACGGTATATGTAATATTTATGGTTCATCCACCTTAAATCGTACATAGAAATCAACCAACAGTGAAATTTTTCAGGGCCCTGGTGAGTCGAATGTTGGAGCGAAGTCACCAACGGATTTTTTTTTCACCTGAAATGGTGATAATTTGCATGATGTAACATCATATGCCAAACATGTGTCATTAATATTGTATCTATATATATATATACTAACTCGCTGACTGACTGACTGACTCACTCACTCACTCTCTCTCACTCACTCACCCTCCCTCCCTCCCTCCCTCCCTCCCTCCCTCTGTATATATATATACACATACGTATATACATATCATGTATTATATTTTACCTACACAAATAATTCAATAAACGATTGGTCAGTCGACTGGTGGAGGGCCGGTTTGAAGGGGTTGAGTTCTTGAGAAGGAAATACCAAGAGATACAATGAAGAGACAAGAAAAGGGAAGCTAAGATAAGATTAGATACCATTCGATGGATGGATGGATAGATGGACGGATTGATAAACAATTTTGGTTTATCATTTAGATTAGACTAGATCGATAGATAGATCATCGAATAAATGATATAATTATATATATATGTATATACATATTCAAAGAGTATATTATTGCAATCCTAAACCATCTATATAAATTCATCTAAATTCCAAGTTTGCTGTACCTTTGCGCCCTATCCGTCCAATCTTCTTCGGTTTGAATGGTTGACAACGCGTTACAGCAACCCGCAAATAGACAAAACAACCAAGTTGCAAGCCTAGAAATTAGGTTACATGGTAACTTTTGGTAACCACCTAGAAATACTTAAATAGACGAAAACTCTGTGGTGACTCCTATACATGATGTCTTTGCCAAGCCCAAAAAGGGGATATGGCTGCATATTTCCAGCAGTAGTCATGTTCCATCCCAAATTGGATGATGATCCCCAATTGATCAGGCCTTTTTCTTGGGGGTGTGTGGCTTACCAAGCAGCTTTGTATCTTGGGGCTGGTGACAAATGCCCCATGGTGATGCAGTGTGTAATTTCTTGGCTCAAGATGATGAAAGGGTTCACTTACTCAGCAATTCCCACTGAGCTAGTTTAGGAAGCATGCCTGATATCCAACTGAAATGCGATGTGGACGTATATTGTTCTGGATGAGACGTAGGATGAACCGATTTTGTTTGTCATGCTGCCACCCCCCATTTACAAGGATTCCGAAGACCAAGGCTTTGACCATGCCATGTAGTTTTTTTTTTTTCCCCGGACACTCCTGGGGTTGGAGTTTTCAGACCACTTATTCTTTTTCGACGTCGAAAGATCAGCAAAAAAGGACTCGATCCACTTTTTGGAGACATCCGTTCCAGCAATGGATGCAGCCAAAGTGAGCCGGATCAAGGCTCCACGGAAGGATTTGCCCCAAAACCTTTGGAGGCAGGACGGCCGTGACGTGGCCGTGACGTTTTTTGTGGAGGCCAAGATGGTGACCTTTTTCGATGCAACTGAACAACATCGGACCAGAGAAAGGATGCTTTTATGGATGCAATAGAAGGTACACCATTCAGAAGGGTTACAGAATGTTACAGAGCCGTTGAATCCTCTTGTTTGCCAAGTGAGATGAATACCCCGCCTAAACCATTGACGTCCTGGATTTTCGCGTGTCAGTTTTACTTGTGACATCACCCTCCATGGCCAAACCGCCAATCTAACCATCCCAAATTCAAGAAATTGCATGTCTTCACCCCCACTTTAGCTCCAAAAAATAATGAACAATCCAACAGTTTCATCCATTTTTGTCCGAAACAACAAGGGCACATCAAAACACCTCCGAGTTGTTTCATGAAAAAAATAAGGTCCTGGTGGGAACGAGGGCATGATCCATAGTAACTAATAGTAACTATGAATCATCCCAGCAACCCCCATTCCCATCCATTCCCTATGAAGAAAAATAGGTTTCTTAATGCTTCCTTTTAAAGCACCAGTAACTTAAGTTTTTCATAGCATTGAGGGAATGGAATTCACTTCTAACAATTTTTCTGTCTGGTTGCTATTCCCATATTCCCATTAATAGGATTAATCATCAGTCAGATTAATTAATAATCACTGGTGACCCAATAATCATCTCAGTATTCTGATTGGTTACTATTCCCATTAAGCACCAGTCAGAATTAGTTTTTTCTATTTCTAATCCCATGAATATTCCCCATTCATATTCCCATTGTCCTTACTACCCTCCAGTATACTACAGAACTATGGAACATCACCACTTTTAATAGGTAAATCAACGAACTTAATGGGCCATTTTCAATAGCGAACTGTTAGTTTACCAGAGGCTATATACCCTCATAAGTTCCCAGTCAGGATAATTCATGTTCCCCAATATTCCCATTCATATTCCCTAATAATTCATATTCATTAGGTAATATTACACAGGGAATTTCCATATATTAGGTCGGTAACATATTGATTAATATCCATATAAATGGGATTTTCCCCAATATTCTGTTTTCATCTAGATTCCCTATTAATTCCCATTCCTAATGTCAATGGGTAATAATATTTTCTAAGATTAATGTTCCCTACAATATTCCATAATTCCCTAATCGAAGGAAGTTTAGAAGCTATACTTCCGACAATATGGACAGTTGAAAAGCAGAGGTGAGAAGAGTCAGAAGAGAAAAGATCAGAAGAAAGAAGATGTAGATGCGCGAAAAGATAGGAAAGTCGCGATTCACTGTGTTTTTCCAATGATTTGTGGCTCCGGAGGGTCGAAAAGTAGGCTCGCTAAAGCGGCGGGTGCGGAGCCAGCTGGCCAGATGAGACATGAAAAAGTGCACGCCGTTGTGGCGCGAAGCACATTTCCAAGTCAAAATGGACAAAGCACTAGAGGAGCGGACCACTTTTGGAAGTTGAGATGTCGAAAAAGTGCACGCCGTTGTGGCGCGAAGCACATTTCGAAGGCAAAATGTACAAAACACACCAATGTCGGAGCACTTTTGGAAGTTGAGAGGTCGAAAAAGTGCACGCCGTTGTGGCGCGAAGCACATTTCGAAGGCAAAATGTACAAAACACACCAATGTCGGACCACTTTTGGAAGTTCCGATGTCGAAAGTGCACGCCGTTGTGGCGCGAAGCACATTTCGAAGGCAAAATGTACAAAACACACCAATGTCGGAGCACTTTTGGAAGTTGAGAGGTCGAAAAAGTGCACGCCGTTGTGGCGCGAAGCACATTTTGAAGTCAAAAGTGTTAAAAACTGACGGTCTCGGACCACTTTTGGAGGTTCGGATGTCGAAAAAGTGTCGAAAAAGTGCACGCCGTTGTGGCGCGAAGCACATTTCGAAGTCAAAAGTGTAAAAAACTGAGGTTTTTGAGCCTTTTTTGACGTGAAGATGTCGAAAAAGTAGACACTGATTAACTTAACTAACTTCACTAACTTAACTACCTTAACTTCGACGACAACAACAACAACAACAACAACTACAACTACAACTACAAAACAACTACAGCTACAACTATATGACTGCAACTACACTGCACTAATTACATTACACCACAGCTACAACTCCACTACGCTACAACTACAACTACAGTTGCAGTACATCACACTACATCCAGCAGTTGTGGGTGAGGTGACCACTGCAACCATTGCAACCACTCCAGCAAACACAACTCCAACCACCTTTCGGTCAATCAGTGGATTCGCTCTGCCATCCGTGATTCACAACAACCAACGTCTCCTATAGGTTTCCTATTCTGAAACTTCCGCCACCGCTTTGCGCGGTACTACTGGTATTCCCTATGAATAATAATTGCCTAATCTTAATATTAATGGTAGTTTCCCTAACATTACCTTGCCTTAATGTTCTCAAATAATCAACTCATATTTCATGGGTCCCAGCGAAATTCCGCAGGCCTCCGCAGAAGCGCCTTTTCCTGGGCCCCGCCATCGAGGCGACGCTGCAGCGGCGGCAGCTGCTGCAGCCGCTGACAGCCAAGTCGGTGCCCAGCTTAAGGCGCCGGCTGAGCTGATAGGCTGATAGGCTCCCTATAAAATATCAGATTGCCATGGGGATAATATGGAATAATATGGTATATAATAAAATCTTATATAATGTAATGGGACACTATGATATCCCATTTATTATATTAGTTATCCAATTTATTTTATGAATTAGCACCCATTTATAGCATTTATTTTTAATGGGGACCATATGCTATAATGCTATAAGATCCCCATATTTGATGAATTATCCCATTACATTATCCCATTATAAATTTTGGCGTAAGAATATCTTTTTGACTTAATGATCTCATGGCGATAATAATGATAGTCTGAATAATGCTATAATAATGGGATAATGGGATAATGATGGGATCATAACATGATAATCATAAGGTTTTTTTCTGATGATAATATGGGAAAGGGTCAAGTTACCTCTGAAATTACCATACTGGGGGAAGTTTAACATCCAGCTATACCAGCTATGACTTAGGGTACAGTTTGGGTGCTGGGGACTTAGAGATATGGAATTTGTTATGTTTTTTTTTTACTGTAATGGTACTTACATAATAGGATTTAGTAGGATTTCATTGGGATACAATGGGATATATCACCAACCATAACTTGAAATATGGGTGTGGAATAGAACATGGGGCATATCCATAAGATGGACATGATTTTTGGAAAAATGATGATGGAGCAGTAGATTTAGGGATACCATATTCTCAGACAAACTCATATCGGTGTGTCCGAAAATGGAGTATACCCTCCAAATAGCCATCTGGTTGGTGGTTTGGAACATTTTTTATTTTTCCATATATTGGGAATGTCATCATCCCAACTGACGAACTCATATTTTTCAGAGGGGTAGGTACACCACCAAGCAGATTTGTGAGAGGTTTTAGGGCAGCCTATTTCCAGACAAAGCCTATTTTATGGAAGATATGGAGATTGGAAGATTTTTAGGGATTCTATGCTGATTTGGGGCAGTCAAGGGATACACAAGCTACATAGGGATGCAGTTGAGTTGAAACTAGTGGCTGTAACCATCGCAAAATATAATCACCATAAATTGGGATATAACCCAACAAATCTATTGATATGTATATATATATATGATTATATGATTATATATGTACATATCCATTTATAACATTTTATAACAAGCTGTGGCCCGGCCTCGAAATCGCGAGTTGTTGACAAGTTGACACTTGGTGAAACTTTGGTGAACAGTGAAGAGCTGGGGCTTGAAATATCTGGATCGCAGAAGGCTGCGGAGGTCTCAATTTCGCAGATTTCTGGGACTCAAGAGATTTCGATTTCGGGTGAAAACTCGGAGATGACTGGGGACTTCATCTCAATGGCTAGGGTGATGGGTTGAAGATGTTTGATCATGGAAATTTTCTGGGTATAACTCGACCATGTAAACATGGAAATCCACCATGACATCATGGACAAATTATCATTTTTTCCATGAAAATTTGGGAGTAATGAGCCATATGTTCAAAACAAACACACGTAATTATGTTGGACCTGAAAATTCAGCATGGAACGCGTTGTGACGTGATTTCACCTATTTTAATGGTGATATTTTTTTGGGGGGGCCCATCTGGATGATTGGAACATTGGAAAACTTAAGATGTTTTTTCAGTGAAAGGGGGAATCACTATGGAAAAACCCAGGGAATTGACCAACGGAGAAAATCTAAATCAGCAAGCGATTGGTTTGCGATTAACGATCGGGGTAAGAACCATCCAGGGTTCTGATGGGAGTTAATAGTCGTTATTAATCTTGGTAATGACCGTTATGATCTTGGAAACGATCATAACGATCGGGGATTATCATGGGAGTTGTGTTTTTTTACCATCCAGGGGACTGGGCTTGGAGGGAATGGAGATGGTAAAGGTGGCAAGGTTGTTTGGTAGGGAATCTGAATGACGTTCGCGACATATGTCTGGTAGGTTGAAATATCTAAGATGGGATGATCGGATGATCTAGCTTCAGCTTCTATGGGACGTTTAGTATGTTTTTTTAGAACCTAAACTGCTTTGTGATTCATGTTCAAGCAACAGAGAGGGGGATGTGACCGCAATGGACATCTCATGAGCCAGATTTTTTTCGGGGAAACCTCAACGGTGATTCTGGGTTCATGATCGGTGGCATTCTGATGTCTGGAAATCTTTCCCTGGTCAGAGTATCTAAGCCCAAGCTTGTGAGATGAGATAGGAAGCTGGGAGAGACAAGTTTCCAACGGCTTATATTCATAATCTCCCAGATTGTTATATATAATCATTATTTGATGCTTATATTCCCATGATTCATGTTATAACATGGTTAACATCCATAATCTCCATAATCATGGGAGTGTGAAACACATGCTTGTCACATGCCTATCTTTGCCTGTGTGTCGATCTTACATCTCAAGGATTCAAGGGCTCAGAATGAAGCTGTGGCATGCCATAGGGATCCAGCTGCTATCGGTGCTGCTTCGTGAGCAGAGCAAGCCGCCAGCTGCTGATCCTGACATTGACCGCTGCAGCCTGACCTGTAATTGCACTGGCATTGAGGATCCATTTGCGGGGAGATACTATCCATTGTCTCTGGTTCTTGCAGGGCTGGGTGTGGGACTGGCAGTTGGGGCACTGGTGACCTCTTGTGTTGTTCTGCGTAAAGTGTCTCGAAGTTCTTCAGATGACAGCTATGGTGGCCGAGGGTCTAGGAGACGTGGTGGAGGAATTCTTTCTGTCCCTCAAGCCGGGAATGCGGGTCTGTCTATGGTACAGTGATGATAATGTCTGGCATGAAAATATCATAGCTTACTTGGTTGGTGGAGAAGAAGTAGTGCTTTACACTCCTGATCATGATATGTACATTGAGCGTGTTGGATGCAAGGGTCATGAGGGTCCTGTGAAGATGAGGGGTCTCAATGCAAGCGGGAGAGTGCCTCGCTTTGCTCAACCTATTTACCGTTTCAAAGATGCTATCACAGATGACATGCTCAAGAAGATCATTCGTCAGGGCCGTGAGTTGGTAGTCTCTGAAAGGGGTATTTCTCCTGTCCTTCCTGAAATCGTTGATTCCTCAAACAACATCGTCAACATTGATGTTTTTTTTGGAGGGCAGTTTGTCAAGAAACGCATTGTTGGAAAGAATGGGGCTGGTGAGCTAGTGAAAACCACTGTCGAGCCGACCTCGCCGAAGAATGCAGTGCGTGTCCGTCCTGCTGGAGCAGATAGCGTATGGCTGGCGGCTGAGCCTCTTGGTGGACTTCAGTTAGGACAAGAAGTTTCTTTGAATGGTGACAGTGACGTTCAAGTAGGAGACAGAACAGCTCTGGCACTTCGTCAGGGAACCTGGGTCAAGATTGAATTAGTGCTTTTGTCAGCTGCTGGGGAATATGCGAGTTCGCGGAGAAAGCTTTTCAGTTTGGACCCACCTGTGAAGCCCAATGTCGAAAAGGTGGTCCTTGACAAGAAGGACATGGAACTGTCAGCTGATGAGGGTGGGCAGGACAAGGGCGAACATGGTGATGTGCGCACACTTTGGGTTGACTTTGATGAGCATGGTGAAAGGTTCAAACGTTGGAGAGATGTTTGTGCTGAGTCGTTCACCCCCGCTTTTGATACAAAACCAATTGAGGGACCATGCACTGCATTGCACCTGATTAAGCACACTGAACGCCAAGGTGGAGATCCGCGTCTTTGGTTGCAGCTCTGGCTTCGATCCAAGCACATAGAGCCCAGTGACCGCACATGGCATGAGACAAAGGTGCTTGTTGATGTTCTTTTCTATGCAGGGACTTTTGACCAAGTCAACATTCCAGGTCTTATTTGTCTCGAAGTTGTTTGCCATAGGCTTCAGGCAATTGTTGATGCCTACACCAATGCCAAACAGCCCAGTTGGGAAAATGCGAAGATTTTCACTGGCCAAACTTCCCCAGAAGACATTGTATCCCCAGTTTTCAGGAGCTATGCAACGAAACGAAACAAGGAGGAACTGGAGTTGATGCAGGCAAGGCAGAAGGTTAGGGAACTTCGTGGCTCACCTGGCGTGTCTTTTGAGGACGCTTCAGGTGACATTACTCATGCGCTGCCCAAAAAGCCATCCAAGACCCCAAAGAAAGGTAGGGGCAAGGGTGGTGATGATGGGCAGCAAGATGGCTGATTTGGTGTTCGAGACTGGCATCGAGACCTCGGGTGTCAGTCAGGGCAACTTTAATCGAGGCAGATACGTGGGGTGGCCTGGCGATCGAGCAGCAATTTCTCGCAAGGGTCGTCAGATTTTTCCCCTTCCAATTTTTGCATGTCCTCCCAAAAAGCAGGGTGTCTCAAGGACGGTTGCTAAGAGGAGAAATAGAATTCGAAAGGTTGTTGAAAACTGCAACTGTGCTATCAGTGCTCTCAATTGGCTGTCTGGATGTCGCACAGTTTCAGAAGGTCAGTGCAATGGTATGCAACAGATGGTTCAAGCACGTGTGGATGGTCTGGTGTTTAGTCAGAAGCCCAGTGGTGCCGTGCCATCGCCGCAGGAAGCCTTGGAGGCGCTTCTGCGTGGTGCTGGGCCTTACGATTGGTCCAGTGCCAATGAGATGCTCGCCTCCTATCGTTCAGAGCTCGTGTCCCTGCCTGATGACATCTCGGGTTGTTCCTTTTTGGTTGACATTTTGGGCAGTGACGACCGTCTGTATTTGAAGGAGCAATCAGAGCAGATGATGAGAAGTGATTTGAATGGGTCAGCAGATCTTGTTGTTCCATATTGGGATCCAGTGTTGAAGCACAATCGAAAAGAGTACAATAGACTTGTTGAGCGACTCACATCCATTGGGTATTTCAACTTCACTCGGCACCCTCTCTGTCAGGTTGGCATCTTCTTTGTCTGGAAAAGTTCAAAGACGAGGCTGCGCATGATCACTGATGCCAGACTCTCCAACATGAAGTTCAAGGATGCGCCGCCAGTCTCGCTTATGACTTCAGAGGGACTGGGTCGCATTGAGCTTCAGTTGGATGAGGGCCTATGGCAGGATGAATCTTTGTGTCTGGCCTTATCAGTGCATGTGGGCTTATCTGACGTTGAAAACTGTTTCCATCGGTTGAGGGTACCTATTTGGCTGTCTAGATATTTTTGCTGGTCAGCGGTCCCCGCCAAGACAGTTGGGCTAGTTGGAGTTGAACTTGAGGGCAAGGTGCTGGGTCCTTTAGATCCGGTGTATCCATGTGCTGGGAGCCTTTGTCAGGGTTTTTCATGGGCATTGTTTTTTGCGCAACGTGCAAACGAGCAGATGTGTCAGAAGATTTCACCGTTACAGGATGCACGGTTGTCATGCGATCGGGGTTGTCCTATTGTTTTGCATGTTGGGAAGGATCATGACACGCTGGTTCATTACTATGTCTATGTGGACAACCTGGGTATTATTCATACGGATGCTGGTGTTGTTGAGAAGGCTTTGGATGAACTGGTTTTGGCTTTCGATGGCTGTGGTTTGATACTGCATGGTAGTGAGGTGTCTAGTGGAGAGGTGAAAGCACTTGGATGTCTTTTAGAAGGCAGTCGCATGTGCACACGTTTGACTGGCGAGAGACTGTGGAAAGTCCATCAGGGCATAGCAGGTTTGGTCAGACGCAAGAAGTGCACTGGCGTGGCTCTGGAGAAGGTGATTGGTCACTGTACTTTCTGTGGCCTTATGAATCGCATGTCTCTATCCTGCTTTCATGTGGTTTACAAATTTATTCAGCGTCATTATCATGAAGCGGCATTTCTTTGGAGCAGTGTGGTTGACGAGTTGAGGGCGTTTCAAGGGTGCTTGTTTTTGACAGTACAAGAGTGGGACAGACAATGGCATAACCTGGTTGGCTCTTCAGATTCTTCCCTTAGTGGTTATGGAGTATGTCATTCATGGTGGCCGAAATCCCATGTCGCCCAGGTTGGTCGTGTCCTTGAGCGTTCTCGCTTCAAGCGGGCCGAAGCACACTCTGCGAGGGAGTCCGCTTTGACTGCTGCTGGGCTGGTCAATGATGCTGGCAAGTGGCGAGCTGCGGATGGCGCTGATTTGCGTAGACTGCATGAGGAAGGCTGGGCTTTGGATGAAACTTTTCCAGAGGTTCCGTCATCGGGGTTGCGTAGAGAGCTCTGGGCCCCAAAACTTTGGGGGCGATGGTTTCACAAAGAGAACATCTTGATTCTTGAAGCACGAGCTTTGCTGAAAGGGCTGAAAAGGATTGCCTTCACTCGATGGGGGCATTCGCTGAGACAGCTGCTTTTGTGTGATAATATGTCTGTAGTCCTTGCGGTAGCGTTCTAGAGCCAAGAATTTTAAGTTGTTAGTAATCATTAAGGAGATTGCAGCAATTTGCTTTGCACGGAATATTCATCTGGCAATCAGGTGGATTCCGTCTGAGTTGAATGTCTCTGATGAGCCCTCACGCATTTTTGAGCCCGGCAGTTCCGATTTGTTAGTTGATCTGTTGCATGATTGTTGGCCCAAAGGTTTTTTGGCCCCCTACACACAGAAACATGCCGCAGCAGTGCACACGGCAGCTTCAGCTGGTGAGTGCCGAGACGTCGGTGCAGAGGCCTCAGAAAGGCCGAAAGAGGGAGTTGGTGCTGCCAGTGGAGTCAAAGTCAAAGGAGCCAGTGGTATCAAACAAGCGGACGCGAGGCTTGGACTTTCAGGCCAGTGTTCATTCCCGACTGCTGGAGAAACGACTGACCCATGTGAAGTTGCCGGAGACAGAATCAGAACTTGCATTGATAGAGGCAAAGATGATCACACCTTTCAAGGACTTCAAGCTCGATCTGGCAGAAGTGAACAGCTCAGACAGCAACAGCACATCGTCAGAGCTGCAGGTCGCCAAAAAAGGAGGGAGGAAGCGTTCTTTCGAAAGCAAGCCAAAAGGGGCGCTAAAGAAGATGGTGGACCAGTTGTTTCAGGATCCATCTCGGAAATCACCTCTGGAAATGGCGGCGGTCTCAGACAGGGTCCGTCTCAACTATGCCAAGCGCCTCCAGGATTTCAAGGACTTTTTGACACAGGAGAGACTTCCCGCCAGAAGCGACGAGGACATGGATCAGGCTCTGGTTCTGTTCTTCAACAAAATGGTTCCTGGAAGGGGAAGGAAGTTCAACGGGGGACTGCACCTTGGCAGCTTTGATGGATCACGATCCAGCATTTGGAAGACTGGGGAGTCGCCGTATCCCACGTGCATGGAGATGCATCAGGGGATGGCGGAAGCTATGTCCTGTTCGTTCTCGCCTTGCCTTTCCTCTGGCTGTTTGGGCGGCAGTCTCTTGGCGAATGGTCAAGAGAGGCCATCTGCAGAAGGCCATCTTCAACTTGATCCAGCTCAGCACTTACCACCGTCCTGGAGCACTCTTGAAGCTTCGGAAAATGGGTCTTGTGAGACCAACCCCTGGCATTTCAGAACATTGGGCGGTGATCACAAGTTTGACAGAAACAAGCGATGTGGGGAAGACGGGGGCAAAGGACGAGAGCGTCTTTTTGGATTCAAAGTGGATCCGATTCCTCCACCCACTGTTGGAAGAGTTGAAGAAGGGCAAGAAGATGGACTATGTGTGGAACTTCAATTACGGAGAATACCTATCAGTCTTTCGGAGCTGTTGTCAGGACCTCAAGATCGACTTGGTCCCGTACCAGGCTCGCCACTCAGGTCCGAGCATGGACAGAGCCAGCAATTTCCGTACCCAAGAGGAAGTGCGAAAAAGGGGAGGATGGGTGTCACGTCAATCTGTGGCCAGGTACGAGAAGGCGGGACGGCTAGCAGCATCGTGGCAGAAACTGGAAAGCAGTGTTCAGATCACGTGTCGTGCTGCAGAAACGAACCTAGAGGCCATCATCCTCGGCCATCATTATCCCGAGATCGGACTTCCTTGAGCTGGCGTGAAGATGGCTATGTGGCAGATCTGTTTGCTGGCACCGGTGGTGTGGCGCGTGCTGTGAGGAAATTGGGTTTCAAGACTAGGAGTTGGGAGATTGAGAAGGGCAAGCAATATGAGCTTACCGATAACTCTGTGATCTTCAAGGTTTTACAAGATATTCGCAGCGGAAAGATTTTTGCGGTTATGCTTGCTCCTCCCTGCTCCTCATTTTCCCCTGCTCGTGATAGGACCCGTGTGATTCGAACTAAGTCATTTCCATATGGTCTTTTTGGTCTGCCTCCACATGAGCAAGAGAAAGTTGACCTTGGAAATAAGTGTTTTAGATCTGCTTTTCGAATCATCAGGGAGTTGGACAAGTTCAGCATTCCATGGATCCTTGAAAATCCTCACAGTTCCAAGTGCTGGTATTTGCCAGAACTCATTCGATTGCTTAGTTTGGAGCATGTGCACACGCGTGTCACTGACTTTTGTTGTCATGGTACTCGGTGGCGTAAGCGGACTCGTTTTCTGATTGGCAATGTAGCTGAAAATGATTCTCTTCGACTTCAAACTCTTTGCACTGGTAAACATGGCATTTGTGGTCGCACTAAGCGTAAACATTTTCAACTGACTGGATCAGGGCCTAAAGGAGTCCCGTGGACTCGCATAGCACAACCTTATCCTGCACAACTTTGTCATCACCTAGCGTATGTGCTCACTGCCTCCAAGCTTGTGATCCCTGCCGATTGACCCCTGCAGCCAGCTTCAGCATTCACACACTGACCCCCCCTTTTGTTGGTTTCCCCCTCTGTGAACACTAATGTTTTGGGTCATTATGATTTGGGAATTGGATTGATGCCTTTGATTAAGTCATAGATGCTGAATGATTCGCATCTTCGGCTCATTCCGATCCAATCTCATTTTGCCGAGACGCGTGAGCTTGCTCTAGAGAAGTTGGCTGCAAAAAAGGCAGATGGCAGAGTTGTGACATGGGAGTGTGAAGCACATGTGCTTGTCACATGCCTATCTTTGCCTGTGTGTCGATCTTACATCTCAAGGATTCAAGGGCTCCCAGCCCAACCCCCCCGGGGGAATTGGATTGATGCCTTTGATTAAGTCATAGATGCTGATTGATTCGCATGTTCGGCTCATTCCGATCCAATCTCATTTTGCCGAGACGCGTGAGCTTGCTCTAGAGAAGTTGGCTGCAAAAAAGGCAGATGGCAGAGTTGTGACAAACATATGTTGATGGTTACCTTCTGGTAATTTAACATAGCTATGGAAAGATCCACCATTTTTCATGGGAAAACTCCACTATTTCTATGGTCATTTTCAATAGCTATTTTGACATAACCAGAGGGTATAACACGGTTAACCACCATGGAACTCCCATGATTTCATGGCGAAAAATTCCGGTCGCAACCTTTTTCAGGCCTACGGAGGCGCAGTCAGTCCGTTGGGTGACGATACGGTAACCGACTCGTGGGGAACGGGACGCATTATGACGCAGCCAACTTGATGGGATCTGATGGGACATAATAACGATGGAAAACTCACTATTTCTATGGAAAATCACCATTTTTAATGGGAAAATCAATGAAAATCAACAATGGGAAAATCAATGAAAATCACCCTCTGGTAAACAGCCACATAACGAACTGGAAAATATTGGAAAGATCCACCATTTTTAATGGGAAAACTCACTATTTCAATGGCCATGTTCAATAGCTTTTTGTATGTTTACCGGAGGGTACCTCACCTAGGGCAAGAGTTTACATCGATGGGGGGGAAGTTTTCAGCATTTGCAGACGGTTTTCCTGGGGAAACCTGGGTTTTCCACACCTGTGTAAATGTTTGCCCTAGGGTAACGCATTAAAAACACCTATCATGTACATGCAACATAACTCTCTTCTACCATATACACATATGTACACACTATTTACTATTTTACCCAATAGAAACCATAAACATAGTTGGCCATGACGCCCATGCTGAAGTTGGGTATCGGTATCGGTCAGAATGATCAAACTCTCCAAATGACAAGATTTGACATAGGCCCACAGATACAAGAACTACCAAGAATTCATAGTCAATATGTGTCAATATCACCCATATATCTAGATATATCCTGAACATTGCTGGTTTATTTATGTTTATTTTGTCCCCTGTAAAATGTTGGTTACTGATGTTACTGTCACCATCAAGGCCCGGATACCCCATCCCCTGCTTTGACCGTGGCGGCGACGAAGAAATGCTGAGCCATAAATTACCCTCCGGCACTCCAAGATGGCAATGGCACATCCCCCATTTCGATGCAGAATTACATTCACTTAGTTCGATGACACCAAAGGGTGTAGAAACGGTTTAGCCACTTCTTAGTCGGTGCTCCCCCAGACTTGATGATACGAAGGGCGGCGGCTTCCCGCCCTAAGCTGCGCCATTTTGCCCCGATGTTGGAGCATGTTTTGACAAGAAAAGGCCATGGGTCAAAATTTAAGGCCCAAAAAGCAACAGATTGCTTAGTTCATTTTTAGTATTAACCATCCCTAATTTTAGGGCGACCTAATTGTTGACCTCGTACCAATAAAAAAACATCCATGTAAAACTTTGGCTTCAGGAGGACCTCTACAAGGTCTGGGAATGGGGGTTTGGAAAAAGCTACAGATGTTTGCCTAGCAATTTATGGGTGGTTTAATCATAATGTTTCATCAACATGGGGAAATGATGGGATTATACAAGCCAAGTCACATGACTTGGGAGGGCCATTTATTTAGTTTTTTTTTTTTAGTTTAGGGATTTTTTTTTGGATTTCTTCCTGCTTACTCTATTGCCTCCTGCAGTGCTTCTCTGCTTCTTTGCTTCTATTCCTTTTTTTGTTTTTTTTGCTTTTCTTTGCTTTTCTTTGCTTTTTTGCTTCCCTTGCTTTTCTTTGCTTTTTTGCTTTTTTGCTTTTTTGCTTTTCTCGCTTTTCTGCTTTTCTTTGCTTTTTTGCTTTTCTTTGCTTTTTTGCTTTTTTGCTTTCCTTGCTTTTCCTTGCTTTTCTTTGCTTTTTTGCTTTTCTCGCTTTTCTGCTTTTCTTTGCTTTTTTGCTTTTCTTGCTTTTCTTTGCTTTTTTGCTTTTTTGCTTTTCTTTGCTTTTTTGCTTTTCCATGAGGTGTGGAGCAACATCTTCTATCCATCTATATCCATCTATATCTATCTATATCTACGTATCTATATCTATCTATGTCTATCTATATCTGTATCTATATCTACATCTATGGCTGTATCTATATATCTATATACCTATATATATATATCATATATCTATATAATTATCTATATATCTATATATCTATATATATATCTCTATATATATATATATCTATATATCTATATATATCTCTATATATCTCTATATATATCTATATATTTCTATATATCTCTATATATATCTATATCTAGATATCTATATACATATATATCTATCTATCTATATATCTTTCTACCTATCTATCTATCTATCTATCTAATTATCTATCTATCTATCTATATCTATCTATCTATCTATCTATCTATCTATACATATCTATCTATATACCTATATATCTATATCTCTCTCTATATATATACTATATATCTATATATCTATATATATATATATCTATATATCTATATCTCTCTCTCTATATATATATATATTTATATACCACCATATATCTATATATCTGTATATATCTATCTATATTTCTATATGTATATATACATATATCTTTATATCTATATATCTTTAAATATATATATATATCTATTTATCTACATATCTATATCTATATATATATATATCTGTATATATATATATATCTACCTAAAAGGTTTGCATTATCATGCGGATGATATTCAAACCCCAAGCCAGCCCTGAACCAAACCTTATATAAATAGATCTTAAACCAACTCGATGATAACATCAAATGAAACTATTGTGCATCGTTGTGCCTTAACCTACATTCCACATGTTTCCAAGGTGCATGTCGTGTAGTATATACACCTTGAGTATCACATTCAACCTAGCACCTTGCATGTGAAAATAGGTGTTTCCAATCTGCTTTGGGGGGGAGGCGCTGCGCCCTCCCCCCAATCCCCCCCTCCCGTTTTTTTTAATTTAAATTCAAGCTTGCACACATTTCAATACACTACTTTGGTTAGAATATATATATATATACATTGTATATATATATATATTGTATATATATATATTGTATATATATATATATATTGTATATATATATATATTGTATATATATATATTGTATATATATATATATTTATATATTGTATATATATATATTGTATATATATATATATTGTATATATATATATATTGTATATATATAACAACACTAACAACACTAACAACACTAACACTAGCAACACTAACAACACTAACAACACTAACGGTAACAACAACAACAACACCAACAACAACACCACCAACACCAACACCAACAACAGTAACAGTAACAACAAACAACTGTTGGAATGTCAGCCTTCAGCTCCAAAATCCTGCAAGTACTGTGAGGAATGTAGCTGTAAAGTGTTGCACATACGGTGGAAATGCAGATTCCAGCTCAAAAATGCTGCAAAGAGCATGGAAAATGGACAGAACATGCTGCAAACTGTTGCAAATACCGTGGAAAATACAATGGAAAATGAGAGGTTCGAACTCAAAACCGTTGCACACACCGTGGAAATGGCAGTTTCCAGCTCCAAAATGCTGCAAATAGCATGGAAAATGGTGAGAACCGGAAATCCAAAAAAAAATCCCCAAACTAAAAAAAAAAAAACCCAAACAATTTCCTACCCTTGTGTCTGCAAATAGGGATTATTGTATTCTATTATTCCCCAAGTTGTGGGCCATCAAATAATAGGTAAAATGAGGGTTCTTATCCAGTGGATGGAAGGGGGTACCCGGGGTAGGCTATTCGAGTCGCTTCGCGAGGAGAACCGCCCGCACCCAGAGAATTGGATAGAGAGGGAAGAGGTGGGCCTACTTGGCCCAATGAAAAGCCGACTGGGGTCAAACTTGGCCGTCCTTGGCCTAAGTTTGGCCGAACAGGAGCCCACTTGGGTCCAACAACTGGGCGTAGCTTGCACCGAACTTGGGCCAGTTGGCTCCAGCTGCCCAACTTGAGCCCAATTTTTTGGCCAAACCCGTGTATATATGTATGTACATATGATGATGGTGACGATGATGATGATGATGATGATGATGATGGTGACGAGGATGATGGTGATATGTGTCCTAGTGTGGGTGAAACTCCATCATCATCATATCGTCAAAGACTATATCCTTAGTTGGTTAATCCCCATTACCACAGTTGGATATCAGTTATTTCTCCACTTGTATGGAAAGTGCCTGAGCATGGGGTAATTACAATATGTTTGAAATGGGAAGGCATTGAGCAAAACCACTGGAGTGGTACCCGGCTCCCGGGTAGCCTGTTTTCAGACAAACCATCCATCACTTTAATGGGGATCCAATTCTATCCCCGATTCCATGTTGATTCCCATGATATTGCCATGATGTTCCCAATTACATTCGCATTCTAATCCCAATAAAGTCCCATGAATCCCCCATTATACTCCCATGAAACCCCATTATCATCCCATTGACTCCCCATTGTCATCCCATTAATGTGGGAAGACAATGCCATATACCACCCATGACTGGGAATGGAACCCATACCACCTATTGATTTGTTTTGCCCACATTACAGCCTATTATGATCCCCACAACATCCCCATGGATCTTCCTGGCCGCCAGGACACGTTGACCAAGGAGAAGAGCAGCGAATCACTGTGGGGTCAAGAGGCGTGGGTAGAGAAATTTGGGCCAGAAATGTCCATGAAATACATCCAATTGATCTGGTGTATCATGGGAGTATGATGGATTAGTTTGGGATTATTTGGGGTTTATTATGGATTACTATTATGGATTATTTGGGGTTATTACATGGATTACTATGGATCATAATGGATCATGACTGAGATTATTGGAGAATGGGGATGTTCAAAACACTTGTTGATGAATTACATAGTATATAGTGGGATGTATTGGTGATACAACGCTCTTTCAAAACAAAAGATCAGTGGTTGTTCAACCCTCTTTCCATGATGCTTAAACGCCCCTTTTACTGACTCATCATCCAAGTCAATTGGTGACATGGCTTCACGTGAACGGTTACATGTGGGTTGATGGTTAGTTGAGTTCTCATAGAGGGAAATACAACATGGTTATGGGAGTTTCAATTGTTTAACCATGAAACACATAGGGCTGAAATTGGGAACTTGATGGCTGATGAGTTCGGGGGTTACTTATCTACCCTTTCTTGATTGGGAATTATCATCATCCATGATAGGAATCCCGAAAAGAACCAACTCAACCAACTAAAGATCGAGGATGTCCAGAAAATCTGGTAAGGGAAAGAGCACATGACTTGGGACCTCACAGTTCAGGTGAATTGTGATCATCCAGATGAAACAATTCTTGGACCTTTCTTTTTCTGATCTCTCTCTCTCGCTCTATACCCTTCACCGCTTCCTCTGAAAGGATTGATGCAGCTCCACATGTTATGACGTTGCGCAGTTCACACTACAGATCAAGACAAGGTCTGAACGCCTTGAACGCCTTGAACGCCTTGAACGCCTTGTTTCGGAAGATCCTGATTGCCTTTGACCTGGCATTATTTTCAAATGTCTTGGTGTGGCAATGACCTCTTGTCTAGGGTTTGTCCGCGTTCGCTGGTCACAAACCATTTTCATGGGTGCTTGCAATCAACGCTGATCGTTCGTTGGTAGTTTTCGGCATATTTCATGGGGATATAGGGATGGGTCAAAACCGTTGTTGTTACCATGTGACTGGGTGAATTTAAAGAAATCCATAAACCAACTATTTCAGGGTACCATCCGGGCACATCCGGGTACCATATCTTTTCCCAATAGCCATCTGACTTGTGACATGATCTGACGAGGCAGAGAGGGTGAAACCGTGAAACCTCACCTGGTGGATCGGTATTTTGGTTGATATTCCCATATCGACCAGTTAACCCCCTTCGCTCATCATACATGAAGTTCCCAATCATTTATCCGATTCATCCCTATATGTTTTATGGTTTTCAACAATCCAACAAACACGATGTTTCATGGTTTTCAACATTGAAACAACGCCTGAAACTGCACAACAGTCTCGCTTATTCCCACCGCAATTCGCAGGCGTGGTTGAGCATCCTGACCGGAGAGAAGCGTGACCCGGACCCGGTGGAGGGATCCCCGAGGGGATCCCCAAACAACTGAACTTCTCAAAATGTACCCTCTGGTAGACTAACACCTGAGAAAATCGAAAAACCACCAATTTTTGTGGACACTCTTCTTCCCCATATCTGGCAGGGTCAAGGGTTAACTACAGTTTTGACCCTGAGAATCGCTGATTTGAAGCGGAAAGTAGTATTCTAAGTCCCTATTTGGCAGAGGCGATGTTGGAGAGTGTCTAATAGCTGCAGAAATATGTGCCATTTCCATCCGTTTCCAACAGGAAAATCATCCCTCAACCTCCTTTTTTGGATTTGGATGTGATTCTTGAAACCCGCAATGGAAAACTGTGATGACCTTAGACGCGCTTATATAGATGGCAGTAGATGGCAGTAGATGGCAGTAGATGGCAGTAGATGGCAGTAGATGGCAGTAGAATCTATCTATCTATCTACCTATCTATCTATCTATCTATCTGTCTGTCTGTCTGTCTATCTACCTATCTATCTATCTATCTGTCTATCTATCTATCTATCTATCTATCTATCTATCTTATTATATACCTTTTATTTATTTAACATATATATCATTATATACCTGTTAAATATTTAATATGTATATACATATATATATACACTGTATATACTTATAGATTATGTATATATATATATAATGTATATAATGTATATATATATATAGATGCACACATATGTAAGTCTAACTATCAAGATGCACTCGAATAATAAATTCAGTCTGGTTTGCTCATCCTTCATGTTTCCCCCATGTTTGAGGTTTAAAATGGTGGTTAAGTAGTGGGTAGTACCCCAATGTTGGTGATGTGTATCGAGGAAATGTGTCAACTCACTACGCTTCACAGTGAACCATGAAAGGTATTGGGTATTCCACAGCACAAGGTGGTGCCTCGACTTAGAAATCAGTTTATAAATCCACCCAAGTGATTGGAGTTATCTACCAGCTTAGTGAAGTCAATCCCGCATCCAGCAGAAATGACTTAGATCGCCATAACTTTAAGCCGGTAGACTCCATCCAGAAAACCTATGCCTATGGGAACTTTCAGTGGCAGCACCTAGGTGTGGAAATCCCCTTCAGTGAGATTGGTGCAGCCAGCCATGGCGAGGAGTCAGAAAGCAGGGAAATCCAATCCGAACAGCAGTAGAAATCCTTCCGGGTGTGTGGGTAATGTGTGGGACGTGTGGATAAATCAATCGAAATCAGCTGGCATATGGTATCCTATCCGATCCGGATTTATTCCTATAAACATCGAAGCAAAATGTATGGGAAAAAGAAGGCATTTGTTGGGAAAAGAAAACCTGAACCAAGCGATAGTTTAGGTTATTTGAAAGATGAGGAACTCGCCCAGAGGTGCATCGGCCAACATCAATGACTCTAAGTGACTATATCGAGGAACAAATATCTATTACTTATAGAATATGATATCGACTATATCTACTAGTATTCTATAGTAATTTTATGGATATGGATTGAAACTAGCAACATGTCTCTTCATCTTTCTGGTGGGTTTCCAAGTTTTTCATGCTCCCATATGATGGTCCTTTACGCTATCGTCTCGACATTTTTCGGAGGAGTACATCCAGTGGTATGAAGAGCAACGTGCCCAAAAACGCGCGGCCGAGCCTAGCGACTTGTCGACTTGGTCGAGTGCGTGGGAGGGATACCCCCATAGCTGGATGGGTTTTAATGATAGAAACTGCCATCTATAAATGGATGATTTTTTCCGGGTACCCCCGTTTCAGGAAATGCCACATATAATATATATATATTTATTATATAATATATAATATATATATATATGTATATGTATACCTTTGACCATAGCACTATTTCTTGGGCCCCACAAACAGTGGCTTCAGTGTTTCTGTTGGTGAATTTCATGTGTTTTTTTTTGCGGTTTACGGTGGAGATATCGAAGGAAGCCGGTAGTCAATGGGGTTGAACACATCCTGTACCCTCCGGTAAACATACAAAAAGCTATTGAAAATTGCCATTTATAGTGGATTTACCCATCAAAAATGGTGATTTTCCATAGTTATGTTAGTTTATGAAACAACTTACAACTGGGGGCCGCCCTTAAAAAAATGGAACGTTAGTTATGAGACCATCATCATGGATTAGCCAACAAAAACATGGTGCCGGGCATCTGAGGAGGCCCCGGCTGTTGTCACTTTTCAAACATTTTACAGGGGGGACCACAAAACGCTGAAAAACGAAACTTTAGCATCAGGAGCAATTTCATCATCAACAACATCATCATCATCATCATCATCATCATCTGCATGAGACCAGTGCATGAGAACGTACAGCAGCGTAGCATGACGTATGTGTGCAAGTGCATGAGAACGTACAGCAGCGTAGCATGACGTATGTGTGCAAGTGCATGAGAACGTACAGCAGCGTAGCATGATGTATGTGTGCAAGTGCATGAGAACGTACAGCAGCGCATGACGTACAAGCATGACGTATGTGTGCAAGTGCATGAGAACGTACAGCAAATGACGCTATATATCCCACCCCACCCCCACCCACCCCCCCCGGGGCCCCCCCCACCACACCCCTCGTCTATGATGTTGTTTTTAGTGTAATGTCAAAAACTGACAACAGCGGGGGCCTCCTCAGATGCCCGGCACCAAAAAGGTGCCGGGCATCTGAGGAGGCCCCCGCCAAAAACATGGCAATAATTTTTACTTATGTCCCCGAAATCTATAGATGTATTAAAACCACCATTTCCAGGGGATTTTTTTCAATGCAACGTTTGATGACCAGGGCAGCAAACTCGCCCAAAAATGGGATGAAGGGATCCACACCAGGGTGACTCAGGGATTTCCCGGATTTAATCGCGGAGCCACTTGGAGATTTGGATTCCAATCAACTTACTGCAGCTTACACTCTGGTAATTTAACATAGCTATTGAAAATGGCTATTTATAGTGAATTTTCCCATGAAAAATGGTGGATCTTTCCATAGTTATGTGGCTGTTTACCAGAGGGTAGCTCCAAAATCCATTGAATTATCATCCGTCATTATCCTCATCGACAATAATGATGGATAAGAGTCATAAAAACCCAGACTCATTAACAATAATGACATATTTTTTTTGGATCATCTATTATCTAGTCAATGACTCATTCTCCTTTTTTCTGTTGGGGGTACCCCACGAAACCTCCATTGACCGTTCTTTTTACAAATGGTGGATCTTTCCAGAGCGATGTAAGAAATTACCAGAGGGTATGACTTCTGATTGACTTTAATGGACTCACTCATTGGATACGAATCGATAGGTGGTTCACCCGCAATTCGAATGTTCCAAACAGGACTGGACAAACAGAACTGGTTAAGAATCATTGGTTATCCCCTGGAAATCAAGGACTTTCTTGGGACTGCAAACAGCTACTGGTGCAGCTAGTAGCAGCTATTACGAAAAACCCAGGGGACCCAGGGTTTTTGCTGCGCGAAAAGGACCAGGCTTTTGATATCAGAAATTGTTGGTTATCCAATGTGGTCACATATCCAGATGTATACATTTGATATCCAAATTGTTGGTTATCCATTTGATATCACATATCCAGGGTTATAAAATCTCCACATGCAAGCGGTATCCAATGCTTGCAGGCGCACGGAGAGGCCAGGGCGGGGGCCGGAAAGTCGACCTGGCGCCCATGATGAAAGACCCTGGTAATTTTCCCTGGGAAAACATCGGAAAACGTAGGAAAATCCCCATAAATATATACTGTATATATATATAGTGGTATATATATATAATTATATATCTATCTGGTTGGTGGTTTGGAACATTTTTTTTTATAGTTTTTCCATATATTGGGAATAATCATCCCAACTGACGTTCATATTTTTCAGAGGAGTAGGTATACCACCAACCATATGTGTGTATATACTGGGATATATCATTGGATTATATGTGGGATAGACCGTGATTCATTGGGGGTGAATGGCTGGAAAAATCATGATGGATATAGGAACATCCACTGTAAATGGAGGCTTTAAAGGGAAAATCAACTATAGTTGTTGGATTTGCTGAAGATGTCTTTTTACGATCCCAATCGGAAATCCACTACTTCGGGAATCTCTAGTGAATATGTTTTATTTTGTCGGGGGTTGATAAAGCAAATCCAAGTATTGTTTCTAAGATTTTGTGAGATTTTCAAAAGTATGATTATATTCCGTCTTACAAACATCTTTATCATTTTTTATATACACATTTGGTTATATATATATGTTTTAAACCGGACTTGGGATGGTTGGTTGAGATGACCAACCAGGATATATATGCGCATTGAATTTATCCCGAACTTTTGCAACATCTTTAATACAGGAAATCATAGTACCCAAATAAAATTGCGAGCTGTTGATTCTTTTCCTATCCTTTTGGGCACTACTCTCTCTCTCTATATATAATATATAATGAGCACACATCTAATTTACTATATGTCTCTTCCAAATGGACATATCTATGACCTATTCTTTATAGATCGAATGAACATACCTCCATAAATTTCAAATTTCCATAGGTCACAGGCATATTTTTAATATTCAATGGACTATGTTTCCGTCCACATCTAATTGATACAAGAGATCCCCCAGCAATTTGTTGCTGGAAAGCATATGTCCCAATGTTGCGTGCTAGTTTTCTCCATTTTTTGCGAGTATTGTCCAATAGAAGCCTTGCAGGTGTTCCCAATTTTTCGATGAGACTTCCATGAAATCATGAAGATTTTTTTATTTATTTAGTGGCAAAATCCATTAAGAAAATCACCGGAAATCCGAAAGCAAAAGTATTGTCCACTACTCCAACATGGCTGGAAAATGGTTAGTTCAATGATGAATTCCCATTAAAACTCCCATTCACAGAGGATTTTCAATTGCCATGTGCACGATGACACCAGGGGGTACTGACATTATGCCATTAAATATTACCCTCTGGTTATGACTAACATAGCCATGGTATAGATGGCCCATAGAAATAGATGATTTTCCCAGCTAGAAACCTCCATTTATGGTTGGGATTTTCCATGGCTATGTTAAATAACCAGATGGTAAATTATTCAGATATCCATGATATCCCATTAAATATACATTCTTAAGCCATTATGATCCCACTTTTGTTGGTTTAGATCCCCAGTCTCTCACATTAGATCCCCAGGAATGACATCCCCAGTTATCCCATGAAAAACATCCCATGGATTTTGCTGGCCATTAGATGAGCCTTAACTAGTTGGTTAATCCGTTAATCCATTATTTCTGGCAAAACTGAAAGTGATAGAAGAGGTCGACAAGTACTGTTAATTGGCTTAGTAATAGTCATATTGACTTCGTTATACATCCCATTATATCCGCATTGTGGTGATTTCATTAGATATTCCAAGATTTCATCCCTTCCTTAAGGCCTTATAGTCCCATTAGATCTATATGGGGGTTTCCTGAAATGGATCCTCAAAATTGATGGGTTATAAGGGAAAATATGGGAACATCCTAAAAATCAATGGATGAGAACTGGGGGTATCCCCTTTTAGTCCGGTCTAATCCTGGCGAGTGGTTAGATCCTACTCAGAAGAAACATGTCGCTTTGTATTGGAAACCTTCCTTCGACGTTTTGTTGTGACTGCTCAAAGTTCACAGTCTCCTGCATGTTGACCTGTCCTAATTCAACATATCGATGATAACGTCTCCAGATGTTGGATGCATCATTCTGACACTCTGGCTGGATTGATCCCGTGCGGAACCTCTATATGGCTGGAAAAAAGGGGGTATCCCCTTTTAGGACCCCATCTCTAAGTGATTTCCCCTGGAGGATCGCTGATGCCGTTGGGCTTCTGGCGTTCCGCCCTGACGGACTTCGCCCTCTCCTCCCTGCAGCCGTCGCCAGGCGGGAACGGCTTTTTACATGGAAAAAACATGGGAAAATTGGGGTTTGAAGCCAGAGAAATGAGAGGTTTTCACATGATTTCACCAACAAACCATGATGGATGCAGCAATCATGATGGTTTGAGCCACGAAAATGGCGGTTTTTTCGAATATGCATGATGACACATGTGAATTTGACCAAACATGTGGACGTAAACAACAGTTGGGAATATATAACCTGTAATAGTACTCACAATGTGAGGAATTTGCTAACAACAAAGTTATAGACATATGGGATTGGGCCAACACAATGATAGGGGCATACAAAACCATATGAAACCATTGGAATTCATTGGAATTGTGGGTTAGTTGGGATTTAACCATCGAAGCTTATGATTCAAGTATGAAACATATTGCGCAATGGTGAGATACGAAGTTTTTTGCTGGAAACCTGGAGGCAACAAAAATGGCAATTTTTATGATCCACGATGCCGGCATCCCCAACCATCAACCATGTATATAGAGATGACCGGGGATGATCAGAAGTCCCCTACAGTTGCAGATCTTTTTCGTTGGCGATTCGGGACACAAAAAAACCCGACCTGGCCTGGTAAATTCACCATCACCGGGTCGGATGAGATATAGGAATTTTGAATGGAAGATTCCGATAGAAAATGGTAAGAATTCAATAGAATTGTGGCTACTCTAGTTTGAGACAGAATTATTTATGGGGAATTTTCGGAAACATGGCACATTTTTTGAATTCAGATACTTCCTTCGAGATAGATTCATGGTGGGGCAAGAAAATTGGGGTACTGATGAACCCACGATTGAAAAAAAAACGTGCCATACAGTAATAATATAGTAGTAGTGATTCAACAAACCATTTTGTGTCAAGAATTTTGACACCCAGATGATGGATTTACCAAACAACAGCCAGCATATCGCGTGACAGCGCTGGCAAACACCATGGTGGATGGAGAGACGAGACGAACCGAAAGCTGTTGCCACGTTTTTCGCCATGGCGATGAAGCCCTGCAGTTGATCATCCAGTGGCCAGTCGTCCCAAGTGTCGATGAACTCCAGAAACTTCTTGCTGAAATTTATTATTGATCCCAAACATCCCAATTCTGAAGATGGCTTGAAGATGGCTGAAGTATCCTTTTTTGTTGGAAAAACAACCATCATCTGGTTGGTGGTGACTGGAACATGAATGGATTATGACTTTCCAGAAACAGTTGGGAATGGAATGTCATCATCCCAAGTGACTTTCACTCCATCATTTTTCAGAGGGGTAGGTTGAAACCACCAAGCAGAAAATCATTGTGGGTGGTCATCAACCCTGGTTTAATGATTTTCTGGTTAATGGTTACATCCCAAATGATTACATTTTCTGGTTAAATCAAAACCCCAAATTCGTTACATCCCAATTCTTTGTCATTAAACCCTCAATTTCCTCCCTGGTGAACATACCGGCCAGGTGAGTGCGTGCAGTTGAAGGGAAGAGCCTCTCTACTGAGGCATCTCGAAGCCAATGCCACTGCACAAGGCCGGTTTTTCGAAAGATGCCCAAAAATCCATGGAGATATCATGATATGTAACGTATATGTTGTCCCGACCCCGGGAGTAAAGAATGAATCCCCCGTATTTGTTCCTTAGCGTTTGGTTCGAGCTCTATGTGCACCAGCTGCCGCGGTCGGTTTAGTCTGCCCGTGGTTTCAGCTGGCGTTTGTGAGGTGTGCTGGACCTTGCAACGCCTCAACCGGGTGATTCTGACGAGGCACCCTCGTGAGGAGTCATCCACGCTGCTGAAACTTTTGCAGCGGCTGGTGGGCAAAGTCGAGGGCTTCGTTGAGGAGCACGAGGCAAATCAGTCCCTGGGCCGGGGGCAGGTCGGGGGTGTATCCCTTGGAACCCCTGCAGGGTCGGGGGCAGAATCATCAGCCCCTGCGGCACTTGCTCCGGGGTTGACCCCTGTTGCAAAGAGGTCTACAAGACCAAGCCACCCGAGGAGAGAGCAGACACCCGAGGAAGATAAGGAGCGCCGAGCAGAGAGGCGTAGAGAGGGAGAAAGGCAAAGAGACGAGAGTGCGAGAAAGAGGAGCCCATCGCCAGAGAAGAGAAAGTCCAGATCAAGAAGGAGGAGACCTGAAGGTGAGGTAGACAGGGATAGGAACAGGAGAAAAGAGAAGCCAGAAGAGGACAAGAAAGCAGAGCGCGAAGGTTCAGAGGAGAGAAGACGCCTTAGAGGGCAGAAGGCTGCAGAAGAGACCGACGAGAGTCCCACTAGAGAGGACAGAAGGAGTCCCTTACGTCGCCACGGCGAAGTATCAGGAGGGCAAGGATCGGGAGGCCGCACTACTCCTGCAACTCCATCGAGGTCTCCACCAGGATACAGACGAGGAGACAACCATCAAGGGGAAGGAGAAGCGAGACCCCATCAAGAGAAAGAGAAGAAAGACAAAGGATACAACCACTACTTGCGAGGCGTCCAGTTTCGCGAGAAGTACGGGTACAACCGAGGCCGAGGAGGCCGAGGTAAGTGGTAGAGATGGCGCCAAAAGTTATGATGCGGCCAGGCGCGGCCCCCAAAGCGCTGGCAAAAGCAGTCGGGGGAAGAGCCCTGAGACGAGGCCTGAGGCGGCCAGCCGCGGGCATAGAGGTGGAAGCTCACCCCGCCCTAGTGAGCCCTGGAGACATCGTGGTGATGGACCATGTTCACTACTATGGGAAGGAGGGCCAACTGGCTGGGAAAGCTGTAGAGGAGAAGTTAGAGGATGGGAGGAGGATGCTGCGGCTCGAAGTTACGGGGACGACCCTGGATGGGCTGCTCATGTGGGCTACCCAAGGTGCGGGACCCTGCCAAGTCCATCTATGCGGGCCGGATTGCCTGAAGGAGTTGGAGGGGGAAGGACTGGTACACGCTACCAAGTCTCGAGTAGTGAAAGTGGAGGACCTGGAAGGAGTGGGCTGGGCCACAAACGTCCAAGCGGTAGTCCCCCCAAAGGAGGACGAGAACGCAGCTTTGAGGCGGCGAGTGGCTCAGCTGGAGCGAGAGGCGGGGGCAGCCCCTGGAGAGAAAAGGGAGGAAGTCAAAGACGGTCAAGAAGATCGCAAAAAGAAGAGAGAAAAGGACGAGAGGAAGAGGAGGAAACGCTCAAAGAGATCAGACAGTCGAGCCCGGAGCAGGTCCGGAAGAAAGCTGAAGGAGAGAAAGAAGAGGAGCCCCAGCGCGCCGAGTTCCAGAGGAGGAGAAAAAGAGAAGAGGTCAAAGAGCAGTGCAAGGAGAAGGAAAGCAAAGGAGAGGAACAGGTCCAGCTCTCTTTCATCGAGCGATATCGCCGAGGGGCAAGTGTCTCAGAGGAGGATGTTTCGGGGGACAGCCCTGGAAGTATCTTTGAGGAGACGCCGCAAGATACGCCGCAAGGCCGAGAAGTTCCTGAAGAAGAAGAAGAGCTCCAGCTCCAGGAGTTCAGAAAGCGAGGATTCGAGGGAAGAAGCCCTTGGGATGGCCCAAAGTTCCATCTTTGGAGACGAGTTGAAGGTGAGAGGGCTGGCCGAGAGATTTCCAGGTCTCCTCTCCGCCGAGTCCCTAGTCAACATCAGGAGGATGGTCATGACCGAGATGGGCGATCATCCCGCTTCAACACGGGGGTGGCCACCCCTGATGGTGAGGTACTACCGCCAAGTACTAAGCCGTCGAGTGTCAGGAGCGATGGGGCGAGAGATGCTGACTCATTGCTCGCTCATCGACGCGCTTTTGGAGGGGAAGATTGCGGTAGCCCTAGATGTGGCTTTACAGAGGATAAAGGGGCTGGAGTTGCAAAGCCAGGGCACCAGCTACTTGCTGTCCCAACGTCTCGAGGTTTTACCCTCGGAGGTCGGGGTGCTACCCTCGCGTCAGGAGATGGCCATCATCACCAAGGAGAGGAATCAGGAAGCCAAAGCTTTCGGGGGGAACAGCTACACAGGAGCTGGGAGCCCTGGCAAAGGAAAATATCAGACGAGTCAGGAAAAGGGCCAAGGGAAAGGAAAGGACAAGACCAAGGGGAAGACAAAGGATGCGAGAAAGGGCGAGGATGCAAAGAAGAGCTCATAGGAGGTGAGGCAGAACGAGGAGTGGCACCAGGTGTGACACGTGCACCTGTGCGCCCGCAGAAGGTAGCCATCACCATGCGTGGGTTTTTTCCACGGTACAGCGGCCCCATGGCCGACAAGAACATTTTGTTCATAGAGGACGTCCAGGGGGGCGCTGGAGAAAACTATAATCCAGCCACCTGCACGCCCCGTCCTAGCAGTTTTTCAGACACGCTGGCACCGTCCGCGTCGGGTGAAAAAGAAGCTCCCTTAGGGGTGCGCTTGGGGCTGTTGGGTTCTTTGATTAAAGAAAGGTTCCTAGAGGTCACGCTTCACAGCCAGTACACGGGAATGGGAACAGTTTCAAAAATTTTTCCCCTTCCCACTTCTGGGAACCAAATTGCACGGTTTTTCGTTTCTGCTTTGCCACACGAAGTTGACTGGGTTGTCACCATGTGCCTTTGTTTGAATTCCTATTGGGGTGGCCCCCTTTCGAATGAAAGCGAGGTTACCCTAATGCAAGGTAAAGTTTTGGAAGGTTTTTTGCATGAGGTCCACCGACTTGATAAAGTAGTTGAGACGGTGGATGAATTTGATTGGACTCAATTCTTTCGGTGTAGAACTATCGACTATCGAGGCGAGGAAGTAAAGACCGCTAAGTCTTTCGGGTGGGCGAATATTGGCCCTGCCCTCCCAAAAGAGATCGGGGTTGTGCCCCTGCGGGACTTGTGTGAAAAAGGTTGCCAGTTTTACGTGGATCATTTCCCTGAATTCCTGAAGCCACCTGAAGAATGGCCATTGTTGAAGAAGGGCCGAGTCATGGTGAGCTCGGATGACTGGCCAGAAGTGGCCTGCAATTTAGTACGGGCGGGGATTTGTAAAGTCATCCCGGAGTCTGAAATATTCCATGTGCATGGATCGCCGGTGCTGAATGGCTTGTTCGGCGTTGAAAAGGGTGAGGAATGCAATGGCATTCCCACCTATCGCTTAATCATGAATTTAGTGCCTCTAAACTCCATTTGCCTTGGATTAGATGCGGATATTAGCAGCTTGCCTCACTGGATGGGCATGAACCCTTTTAGCCTCAGCCCATCAGAAGGGTTGCTTATATCCTCCGAGGATGTTAGATGTTTCTTCTACACACTTTCCCTTCCAGCCTGCTGGCTTCCTTTTCTGGCCTTTAATAGGGAGGCCCCGGGGGAACTTCGCCCTGAGGGATGCCATGAGCGCTGCTATCTTAGCTCGGCCGTTTTACCCATGGGATTTTTAAACTCCGTGGGAATTGCACAACACGTGCACAGGATCTTGGTGCAACGATCTTGCCCTGCTCCTGCAAGAGACTTGGCCAGTCGAGAGATACGCAAGGACCTTCCGCTCCCGGCGAGTGATTGCAGTTGGCGAGTTTATCTCGACAACTATGATCTGCTCGAGAAGTTTCCTCATGAAGTCATTCCGGATTTGGAGGGGACCATCGCCGAGGAGGTGAAAGGGCTTCGGGGCTCTTACGGCATCGTGGGCATCCCACGCCATGAGGGGAAGAGTGTGTCACGCAAACAATCGGCCGAAGTTCAAGGAGCAATGGTTGATGGGCAGTTAGGTGTGGCGTACCCAAAGGGCGCAAAGCTCATCAAGTATGTGGTCATGTCGCTCTTTTTCTGTCAACTTACAGCGTGCAGCCAGCGTCAAATACAAGTTATTTGTGGGGGGCTCGTTTACTTCACCACTTTCAGAAGGCAATTATTGGGATCCCTGAACCAGTGTTGGAAGTTCATTGAATCTTTTAACACGTCGGGGAGGCATCGGCTGACGGTGCCGTCCCTGGTCAAGATGGAGATCCTTAGGTTCATTGGACTGGTACCGCTATGTCGTATGGACTTCCGTCTCCCTTTGCGGGGCCAGGTCACATGCAGTGATGCGTCAACCTCCGGTGGAGGCATGTGTTCTTCTGTGGGATTATCTCCCTGCGGGGAAATGGTGGCGGCCGGGGAGTTGCGGCTCGAGGGATCACCCTTGGATGGACGCCCGCGAATCCTTAGCATTGGCTTGTTTGACGGTGTAGGTTGTTTACGACTGGCGTTGGACTTGCTGGGGGCCCAAGTGGCAGGGCATGTTTCAGTGGAAAAGCAAGCCGCTGGCCATCGTGTGGTGGAATATCACTTTCCTGGATCAATCCTTTTGGAAGACGTCACTGCAGTTACAGAAGACGACGTGCGGGGCTGGTCCCTGAGGTTTGGACAGGTCGATCTCGTGTTGCTCGGGGGTGGGCCACCCTGTCAGGGAGTATCTGGCTTGAATGCCAGTCGCCGCGGTGCCTTGTTAGACGAACGTAGCTGTTTGTTCGTCCATGTGTCGCGAATACGAGACCTCCTCAAAAAGCATTTCAGGTGGTGTCCGGTGCATGTGATGATGGAGTCGGTGGCCTCCATGGACGATTCCGACAAGCAGCATATGAGTGACAGCTTCGGGGACTCTCCCTGGTTGATCGATTCTGGATCTATGACATGGTGTCGTCGTCCTCGGCTTTATTGGGTTTCGTGGGACATCCACGCGCAACAAGGGGCCACCGTGCGGGATGATGGACAAGTCATGTTAATGGCGGAGGCAGATCTGTCGGAATTTGTCCTAAAAGGATGGGACAAGGTTGACTCGTCAAAACCTTTTCCTACGTTCACTACATCGCGGCCGCGGTCATCTCCGGGGCATCGCCCTGCAGGGATTCAGCAGTGTGACTTAGACACCCTTCGTCGATGGGAGCACGACAAGTACCGTTATCCGCCTTATCAATACTTGCCGGGGAACTGCCTTACAAATCGATTGGGACATCTGCGACTCCCGGACATCTTAGAGAAGGAGCTTATGATGGGGATGCCACGGGGGTACACTTTGCCCTGCGTCCCAAAATCGCAGAGAAAAACGGAAGCACATTTAGACTTGAGGCACACGTTGGTAGGCAATGCCTGGTCTATCCCGGTGGTAGCTTGGCTTTTGGGCCAACTTCTAGGACCACTGGGGTTTACAAACCCCTTCACGCCGCAGCAAGTGATGGATCGTCTGGACCCGCGCAAGGTGGTGGATGTCCGCTCAAAACTTCTACGGGCGCCGCTCAACCCCGTGGTATCATCCATGTCAGGTGCAAGCAATGAGGCTTCATTGGGGCATTTGTTGACGCGCCTGGTAAGCACAAAAGGTGATGACATCCTCATCAGTAGTGGAGCTGATCAGGTTGCTCGTTATCAACGACTCCGTCAAACCGTTCCGTCGCGATTGTGGAAATGGAAGATTGTTTCAGGGTGGAAATGGCATTTCTCAAAGGAACATATAAATGTGCTTGAGTTGCGAGCTTTGGAGGCTACAATTCGTTGGCGAGTTGAGCGAACCGGTGATTTTCACTGCCGGTTTGTGCACTTGACTGACTCTCTTGTGTGTCTCCACACTGTGAGCAGGGGCCGGAGTTCTAGCCGAAAGCTCCGTAGAGTGATGTGCCGTCTTAATTCTGTCTTGCTGGCCTCGGGGGTCTCCCCTGTCTTTGGCTACGTGCACACGGACCAGAACCCGGCAGACAAACCTAGCTGGTGGAAGGTCCGAACCAAGTTTAGAAATGTCAAAAGTAGTCTTAGAAAATAAAGACCCTCGTACGAGGGCCCAGCAACGGCAGAAATTAGGCACACTCAAACAGCTCACAGTCCAACCAGCAACTAGAGCCCGCTATGACAAAGCAATTGATGCTTTCCTGAAATTTCTGACTAGCAACAAGTTACAGCTTCCTTATCAACGCGAGCGAATTGATGCCCTGGCTGCAGAGTATTTGGAGCATCTATGGTGCACGGGGGCGGGGCGAGGTTTAGCCTCGGATACCCTGGCGGCCCTGCAGGACCAAGATCCACGTCTTCGAGGGTTACTGCAAACTTCCTGGAGGTTACTGAAAACGTGGCACAGCCATGAAATTCCGTCGCGGGCGCCCCCGTTCCCGGAATTCATCCTCCAATGTTTGGTAGGATGGTCTTTGTTTCAAGGACATTTTAGTTTCGCCGTAAGCCTAATGGTGGGCTTCTATGGAATGCTTAGAACGGGGGAACTCCTAACTTTAAAAAAGGAGCACTTTTCTTTGTCTGTCGCTACAGGTGTTGCAGTTATTTCGTTGGGATATACCAAAGGCGGCAAGAGGATGGGAGCGATGGAAAGCGTCACCCTCACTCATGTCACTGCAATTTCATATCTCAAGCAATGGCTTCAATTGGCATTACCTGGACAGAGCCTTTGCAGAACCCCGTCTGCATGGCGAAAGATTTTTTCAGATGGATTGCAGCAGCTCAAACTCCACTCCTTTGAATTTCGCCCGTACTCTTTAAGAAGAGGCGGAGCAACCTGGTATTTCACAAAGTTTTCTAGCCTTGACCGAGTAATGGTCATGGGGCGCTGGCAAGCAGCCCGGACCGCACGAATTTATTTGAATGAAGGTCAAGCCGCCTTAGCTGATATGCATTTTGCACCACAAAGGGTCCATTTAAATCCGTTTCACCGTACTTTTCTTAATACCAATCCCCTTAAGCACCAAACCCTTGAGCCGCCAAGAGGCAGTGCTGGGGGACGTGGAAAGAGATCTAAAAGGTCTAAACCACAGAAAAAGGACAAAAAACGGAAGCCGAAAAAGGCTAAATCACACAGGAAATGAAAGGACCTCGGTGTCCTAGGGTGCTAGGGTGTGGCCAGACCCTAGGGGGGTTTCCTTTCTCAGCTTTAAAGGTCCCTAGGGCCCTTGTGTTTAGTGTTTGGACTGACACCGGGGGGGGACCCTGAAACCTTGTTTCAAAACTGTCCAAAATGGACATCCGTTTCATCTTTTGATTGACACTCCAGCTGTGAAGCGGAACAAAAAAGCGGGTCCGATTTATTCTTTGTTGTCCCGACCCCGGGAGTAAAGAATGAATCCCCCGTATTTGTTCCTTAGCGTTTGGTTCGAGCTCCCTACCCTCCCTGGGTTTTTCTTTTCCCCGCTCTTCCAAACGAAAAAGATCTAAAAGGTCTAAACCACAGAAAAAGGACAAAAAACGGAAGCCGAAAAAGGCTAAATCACACAGGAAATGAAAGGACCTCGGTGTCCTAGGGTGCTAGGGTGTGGCCAGACCCTAGGGGGGTTTCCTTTCTCAGCTTTAAAGGTCCCTAGGGCCCTTGTGTTTAGTGTTTGGACTGACACCGGGGGGGGACCCTGAAACCTTGTTTCAAAACTGTCCAAAATGGACATCCGTTTCATCTTTTGATTGACACTCCAGCTGTGAAGCGGAACAAAAAAGCGGGTCCGATTTATTCTTTATATATATATAATATACAATATAATTATAATATAATACAATATATATATATATAACATATATATATAATATATATATATGTATATATATATATATATTATACATTTCCATGGTGGAGGTGAAGGACTCTTAGTCTTTAAGCACCGCCCCAAAGAAATAGGCATATTGGATGAGCGGGGCAATTTTTTGATGTTTTAAACCATCCCCTTGGGGAGGTCCAAAAGCGCTGGCTGAGAGCATCAGCTTTCGCTTTGGGGGTGAAAACAGGTGCGCCGGTGTCGTGATGTTGGCAGATGTTGGCAGATGTTGGCAGAATGCCATGGGAGCTGTTGAAACAGAAATCCCCAAATGGTCAAATTGGATTAGATGGAAGCCCCTTTGATGATGATAGATGATGGACCCCCAGGTTTTGGGGATGAGAATCATTTCATCCGTTTTCAGAGGGATTTCTATGCCCATGTTTGGATTCCCACTGCGCCCGTCCCTAGGGCAGTCCTTGCTCTGAAGAAAAGCTTCGGTGAACAGGTGGGTGGCGTGTGAATCTCGCAGCCGGACGTAGTTAGGGAGTTATTGTATGTTATCCTCCACTCATGGGGATTCCAGCCCAGCTAATCTGGACCAACAACATCCAACAACCACGTTTGTAAGGGAGAAGCTTGAGATATCTAAACCACCTTTCATGGACTAACCATTTTTCAGGCAGGAATTCTCCATGGCAGGTGATCCATGCTACTACGCACCCATCTTTGTTGGTTACGTACTCATGTTTCAACATGTTTCTTTGTCATCTTCCAATCTTCAGAACAGAATGACAAGAGGAAACCTAGAATAGAGAGACGATGATAGACGCATTACATACATTTACATACAAATCCTTACAAATTCATTGCGATGCACTTTTCTATCTCTTTAAAGGGACCACTGGAAAAGGATCCCCAGGTTGATATTTTTTTCAGCATCTGCATCAACATCCGGGGAGTTCCAGTATGATTGTGGCACCTCTATGTCCCCATTCTATCTCCGTTGTATCCATAGAATGCTTACCGAGAAACTTCGGATTGATTTCACATTGAAACATCCCCACAGTAACGAGTTTCCTTTAGATCTCGGTGAGATTTTACACGAAAGTAACGTAATTGATTTCAAGTTTTAATCAAAACTCTTCAGAGACATCCATTCGATTGATTTTCCCTTTCATTTCCCCAGCTTTTCCCTTTTTTTAAACCCCAAGCTCCCACCCTACTAACAAGCGCAGCTGCCTTTCCCTCCGTGCAGATGTCATTGCTGGACTTCGCGGCAAGCTGCGGAGTGCTCGACCTGGATCTGGACCTCTTGGCCGGGGAAGATTCACCCAGACTGCTGGCACACCTCTTCCCAGGCAGGGACGGTGGTTTTTTCACCCGAAAATCCACCGGATTTGATGATGGCTTTGTCATGTCAACCCTGGATTACCCTCTGGTTATGTCAAAATAAATAGCTATTGAAAATGGCCATTTATAGTTGATTTTCCCATTAAAAATGGTGATTTTCCATAGCTATGTTAAATTACCAGAGGGTACTCCCCAGATAGTGGTAATCTGTGGTACTCAAATGGTAGCTCCCCAATCAAAATAATCAAACAGCCGGTCGGGGTTTATGAATCCGGGGTTGACATCGATTGGAAGCTTAAGATGAGATATTTATTTATGTATAATTATATATATATATATATTTATGGGATATTTCATGGAAGCTTGATGGAATAAATGATACCCCTCCGGTGGAACAAAAACAACGTGGCGATGCCTGGGAAATCTCACTCAATGGAGGTTTATATCTGGGGAAATAATCTATATATACTGTATCTATGCTTGGGGATTTTCGATTGCCATGTTTGATCACCAGAGGGTAAATGATTTTTTTGTTGCATCCTTTGGAGAGTTGTAACAAAAAGATTCTATAGATAATGGACAATGAATTTTGATGTCAAAATCTATCAGAAGATGGGGTTGGAAGCGGTTTCACCATGACAGTTTAAATTACAGATTGTATAAGTTGGTATCCCTTTTGAGAAAGATATGCCTCTGCTTGGTGAATGAATGTTTGGAGGTATACTGCATTACTCTCTGAATATTGGGGATCAGGAACTCAGAATCGGAATCATTGAAAATCTATGAATCTTTTCGGCTTCATTTCGGGATCGAACTTTTTCGGGTTACGAAAAGCAACCAGACTTGTCAGAGTGGCTCATGGCCCATCAGTTGATGACTGAAAATCACCATCGAATTGTCGCTATTCTTACAGCTCAAAGATGTGAATATCTGTTGAAAAAACAGCTGCATGTTGAAACATAACGATATTCCATGATATTCCCAGATTTGTTTGAAGCACGGATTGATATCCACATGTCAAACATCCTAAAAGCGAAGAACAACTATAAGAATATCCCCAGGTTAGACATAACTTTGCAATGAATAGTTGTTGAACTGGGGAATCCCGAGCACATCCGAGGAAATAAAACAACCTATGAAGTCAAACTGGTTGCTAAACCGCAATCTATGAACTCCCCATCAACATCCACAAACACATTAGATCACATTAGTATGTTGCAGCAATATCCACATCAACAGCACCCCATGAAATATCAATCCAACCAAGAATTAATATCCCTATCCCAGAAACAACAATTGAGCACTTTGAGCAGTTTTCAAGATCCTTATTGGTGGATGATTAGTTTGCAGATGTTTGGGGGTTACATTTCCATATAGGGATTATCATAATCCACGAACTGGGAATCCCGTTCTGATTCATGGAACGCCACTTTGGGTTTCGAACACTGCTCAATCACTATCCCTATCCCTATGAGTTCCCAATTCAACATCAACAACTCACATCCCCATCATCTAAAACTGAACTTTTACAGGTGAACAAAGGGTTAACAAATAACAATTAGATACCATTAAAGACAATTTGTTTATGCCATGAAACATGCCATTCATATCATATTAACCCCAATATTAACCCCTTATACAGAAACCAGAGACTTCCAGTCCATGTTAAAAAAAACTGGTTGGTGGTGACTGGAACATGACGTCTTTATGACTTTCCATGAAAAGTTGGGAATGTCATTAATCATCCCCACTGGAATAATGGTTAGTAAGGGTTAACCATCCCCAAATGGCTGGTTGGTGGTTTGGAACCATGGAATTTGCCATGACTTTCCCATCATATTGGGAATGGAATGTCATCATCCCAACTGACTTTCACTCCATTTTTCAGAGAGGTGGGTCAACCACCAACCAGAAGAGATGGAGGTACTGTGACTATCGACTGCGGCGCAGCACTGAGCATCCACGGCGACTTTGAGACGCCCAAGCTGGAGTTCCAACGCCTGCAGGTGCGACTTTGGGGGAAATGTACCACGAAACATGGGGAAAAAACATGGAAAAACACATAGAAATTGGGGAAGTAGAAGTGAATGATGATTTTGTTCGGAGGGGTCTGAAAATGAAACAGTTTTTTTGTGTCAGTTACAGCAAATAACATGAGTGAATGATGAAAAAAATCGTGGGATTTTGGTCCTTAGACCTGGCATTTAAGGTCCTACATGACATTAAATGACTAATTATATAGTTTGATCTTGGGGTCAAGATCAGTAGACTTCAGACCTGGTGGAGGTGTGAAAATTGATCTGGTTGGTGGTGACTGGAACATGAATGGATTATGACTTTCCATTCAGTTGGGAATGGAATAATCATCCCAACTGACTTTCACTCCATCATTTTTCAGAGGGGTAGGTCAACCACCAACCAGTGATGTATGAGCCATGTTTTCAGGTCATTTCTCTTGATTCCTGTTCTCGATCATCTGGTCTTGCTGGTTTTTGGTCTTGTTTTGGCGACAGGACCCAAATCGATGTACTTGGACATGCATGCCAATGGCTACTCGTAGTTGTAGTCAATGACCGTGACTACAACCTGTGTCAGCCCGGAAAGGACTCATCTACTTCCAATCATGGGATAAGTCAGTTGTATCCATCAAGCTCCAAAACTGGGATTTTCCCTTCCAACCACACTAAGCAAATTTATTAGCCAGGTACCTGTAGATACGGACACTTCGGATTTGTAGATGATTTGTTCATGAAAAACAGGCGCCCGTTTTCGCTAATCCGCTAATCAAAGATGGCAATTGGACATCCATAAATCCCCTACAAAAAACAATGATTTTCAATTGAATCTATCACAATCCCATTCCATTCTGGGATAGGATGGAATGATTTTCACTTCAAAAATCTACACGTAACTCCAATATCTCCAAAATATTCCTATCCTATTTCTAGACGGTTTTCCCATAAAAAAACACATCTGGATCCTGATCCGACAGGGGAAGTGGTGGCTGCTGGGTCGTTACTTGGCCCTGTCGGGCCTCCGGCTGGCTCCAGTGGCTCCAGGCCTGCAACTTGAGCATGGGTGTATCGTCTATATAGATAGATAGATAGATAGATAGATAGATAGATAGATACATAGATAGATAGATAGATAGATAGATATAGATATACTATGTATAGTACACACACATATATAAATTTAATATATATATATATACATATATATCGAAGTACGTAATTACAATACATATACACATAAAATCGCATAAAATTATGCTGGTATTTTTGAAATGTAACTGATGTGCATATAGCAGACATTATGTGTACAGGTATATACATATAGAGAATGCGTCTATCTGAAAATATGGCTGCGTCAAAGGATGGGATTTTATTCTGCTGCCACTGGCCATTGACACATATCAAAACCATGAGATTGTGGGGTGTACTGTTTTCCGACAAATCCATATCATTTAAGAATTCTATGAGATTTTGGGTCAAATATTCAGATTCAGGGAACAATTCCTTGGTCATTTTTAAAAAACATGAAAGCATGGATGCTGAAAAAAAAACAAGTCCTATGGGTTGGCCAAATTCTGATGTTGAAACTATTCAAGTTTGAGCCATCCACAATTCAGGCTGCCACAGTGTTTTTGACTATATGGAGACCCTATCTCAAGACGTACAGATGATAGCAAGAGTTGGCAAGGACCCCAAGGTTGCGGAGAATTGTATTATATCGTATTATTAAAACTGTTTACATCACAAGGCCATCATCATCATCATCATCATCATCATCAAATCATGTGGGTTTGTCTGAAAATTGGTGTACAGTTAACGCCCAAATTCCATGGTTAATCATCATTTTTTAAATAATGCTTTAACACCATTCTATTTTATCACCATTTTTCAGGCAAACCCACATCATATTGTTGGTTACATCCGGTACTACATATTTATACGTGTGCGTATATATATATATATATACACAATCCATTGTATTCCCATGGTTGTTGTTCTGCCCCCACTTTAGGCCCCATTTTAGGTATCCAGGCCATGGAGCATTTCGGTTTAATCTCCGGTTTTGTTGGTTGATTCGTCGTGGATTCCGCATGATTCGGGGTTGGTCCATTTCATATTAAGCAATGTTTCACCCATACCTTTCGGGAGAACCCCCATAGCAGGTCTTACCGTCCAATGATTATTATGAACCTCATGAACCGATCGGGTTCAGTACTTGGTTCATGCGGTCCCATTTGCCCAATATTGGTGGTTAACAGCCATGGTTATAATCCAGTAAATCCGGCTATGGGGCAACCAATAACACTCAAGCTATTGGCTATTCACCACTACAGGAATGGGGACCCAGTTTGGAATTGCTAAGTTGGTTTATAACTACTATTCCTACTTGGTGGCTCATCCCACTTAGTAAGTGGGTTATAACCCCAGTTATAAATGGGATAAGTAGGGTTAATCCACTTATAACTGGGGTTATAACCCACTTACTAAGTGGGATGAGCCACCAAGTAGTATTATTGTAGATGCATCGACCTAGTAAATGGGTGCCAAAAAAACCAGCAGTCACAGAAGTGTCTCTCCCCGCATCGCAGGAGTGGCCAAATCATCCCAATCAAACATGTCAAAAAAAACAAGCAACATGGGGTAGAAAAACCTACGAACATATGGGTATGGATCAATACCTATTAATACCATTTTTAGTGGGATGAACATCCATTTACCAGCTATTTTGATGTTCACCAGGGGTACAAGGTTTTGACACACTGCCATATGGGTTTGGTGTGTTTTATCAATGAATTATGCAACTCTTCATTGAATAACTGATGGATAACCTCATGACATATTGAATTGCTGTTCATGATATGCATTTATCAGTGTTACAACAGGGGGTCCCTTCCTGTAACTCTTCGATGCATCCGTTGTTACTCGCCAGGTGACAAGAGCCAGAGCTGGGAGGAGCGACTGTCGAACTTATAACAGGCTCCACAGGCAAACTTCACCATCTTCACCATGTTCCGTATATATATACACATAGATTTATAATATATATATATATACATATTATATATGTATGTAATATGTATGTATATGTATGTATATGTATGTATATGTATGTATATGTGTATATGTGTATATGTGTATATGTGTATATGTGTATATGTGTATATGTGTATATGTGTAAATGTGTATATGTGTATATGTGTATATGTGTATATGTATAAAATGACGTAAAAGTACATATGTACATATGTGTATATATATAATATAAACACACATACATACACAATGCATACACACACACACACACACGTACTATACGCATACATAATCATATGTATATATATATATATTTATACAAGTATTATGCACACATAGAATAGATAGGTATACATCCTATTGAATACAACTGGTCACATGAAGCTTCGTTCGATCCGGCAGGACCTGAAGCTCCGACTGGACGTGCAATTGAAACATCTCGAGCTGTGCATGAAGTGACTCCGACTGTTCCGACTGGGTAGACTGAAAAGGGGGGGTCGAAGGGTTCCAGCCCTGAAAAAAAAAGTTCCCTTCCCACCAAACCTCGCCCCAAATAAAACCTATAAAAGTAGCGGAAGAAGGAATTCTCCGGTGGTTTGACATTCAGTTCTTCACCATGGGCGACGATCGAGTTGAACATGCCATCCTACCCGGGATGATCCGAACGACTGTCGAGTTCGCACCAAGGAGATCTACCCTTTGAGAAAGCCGGGTGTACAATGTATTGGATCTATATATATATATATAATTATTCAAAAAATTGGCTATTTTATAGGGGTATTTAGAATGAATTTTCATATCAACTCGATCTGATTCACGGGGAAAGGGGTTCCTGCCAGGCATATTCCCATTTTGGCCTTCTGTTCATGGGGAAAATGATGATCAGCATGCGATTTTTTGGATACCCTGTCTTCAGACAAAGTCGCAAAAAATTTAAGATGGAGCATCCCATACTATCAGCTGAATCAGCTGTGCTGCTATAATCAACTACATGAAGCTGGCGGTGATTTATAAATATTGATAATGTGAATATATTTTTTCCAACAGCTCCATGGATGATCTAGGTATAGACCTCAGATAGATATGTTCATAGTGTTTTTTTTTTTTTAAATGTTTGTTGTATGGTACAATGTGAGGCCCCCCAGTGATGTTTGTTGGTTTAAAAGCCCCTGTAACTAGTTCGTTATAAGTACCATAAACCATAGTGAAATTGGAGTTATGTTCACCAACTTATATAGCTATCTTGGGGGCCTCACATTGTATAGTACTGGTATGGTAAATCCATCATTTCTGGTGGGCTTTTATTTATTGGGCGGCTGCGAAACTTCGAGGCCTTGCTTCATGGCCAGTATCGGGCCAAGAGAGGCGGGATCACCGCGGCATGGTGGAGCCACGGTGATGCCAAAATGGAGAACTCCCAGGGTACCCTCTGGGAAATTAACATAGACCCTGAAAATAACCTAGTTTTAGTGGAAACTAATCTTCCAACCCCTATCTGCCAGGGTCTATGTTAATTTACCAGAGGGTACACATCCGAAATTCCATGGGAAAGATGGAAAGTATACTTAGTATACTTGAAATGAATAGAACATACCGATTTCAAACTATTTCAATCCTAGGTTTAGGGGTTCTATCCATGCTTCGTAACAGGCGAGTGTTGGGCTAAAGCTGGTAATTTCATGGGATAAGCCACGACATGGGACTTCATGATCTGATCTTCCAAGTGAGGTAAACCCAGTATCAACATGTATCAACTAGATACATACTGGTTTACCATGATACCATCTTGATATGGGTTTACCTAAAGTGATAAGCTAATTATAATATCAACCACTGCTTTCTGATTTTATGAAGCTAAGATTAACAAAAAAGGTAACACGTGTTGAGATTGGGCCACTGGGTGTGGCATAAATGGCATGATTTTTCAATGGCATAAATGACCACATGACAGGGGATGTCAAAGGAGTCAAACCGAGATACTCTGAAAATGGAACATGCTTTATGGCGGATTTTTGGACACTGAGGACTTCTGAACTGTGTTTTTTTTTGCATCATATGGTTATGGATCAATAGTTCTTTCAATACACTATCCATAACAACCAGCTATTTTGATTTGAACTCCCCTCTGGTAAATCTGGTAATTTAACAGTTTGCTATTGAAAATGGCCCAGTCCAAATAGTGGATTTACCCAGCTATAAAATGGTGGATCTTTCCATAGTTATGTGGCTGTTTACCAGAGGGTACAGGGGACCCCACCGTAGACATGCCCACAGGAGCCCAGCTAAAAAATCTCTACTGTTGCCACAGTAAAAGACGACACGAAGCTATGGGAACCGGACTGGCTTTGTCCGCTACAAGAAGGGTACCCCCCAAATTTGATGGTTTTTTTTAACGTCACATTTCCTGAAAAACAATTGCCATCAAGTACGACTAAGTCACTTTTGTATCCCTATTATTTCCCCATTTCAGTACATATGTCATATACATGTAAGTTGGACTATTGTATATCCCCATGAAATATCCCGATTATAGCTACATATAGCTACATTAATTGTCTATATACCCCATGATATCCATATGTCTATTACATGAATATCCCATCAAAAATCTTCCGTTTTTGTTGGAGTTGAACGAATTCCATGGTGCATCCAACGGGGGCTGGTAAATGTCTTAATTGAACATATCCCAACTAATGTGGTTAAAACAATCATAAGCCACCCATTTGTGAATGGTTTATACCACCTATTTATGGTGACTTGGGGGATGGTTTACTATTGTTTAAACCACATTATTGAAGATATAATCTCCAACACTCTTTCAAGTGATGTTCAAAATCCAAAACGGGACAAATTTATCGACCTTCGTTGTAAGCATTGGACGCGAAACCAACCCGCTGGGGGATGCAAATCCACTGAAGAAGTTGGCATATGACCATTACCTTCTGGTAATCAAACATGGCAAGGGAAAATCCTCTATAAATACAGGTTTTCATGGGAACAACTTCTGCAAATGGATAGTTGCCTATTGCAATGTTTAATTACCGAAGGTTAATCATATTATATCATATCCATATGGGGGTTTCCCTATCCATTTGGGTACCCCCATAGCTGGATGGTTTATTATGGACACTCCATCTATAAACCAGCCATTACGTCAATGGCCATTTCAGGAACCTAAATTGGAGGTACCTACCATATATAAGGCCTATGTAAGGGAATATCCCCGCAAAAGATGGCCTTATATGGTACAGTACCTCCATTTTAGGATCCTGAAATTCCCATTGATTACGAAACGTCCATCGCACTAGCATCACCATAGGCCGCCAACGGACCTGCGACACGGCAACTCTCGCGGTGCCTCGACATGCCGAGCGATGCAGAGCGTCAGAACTTCCGGTTTAAGGATGAGATCAACGTATAGCATAATATATGATATATATATATATATATATATAATATGAATATATATGATATATATATATATAATATGAATATATATATATATATATATGATATATATATATAATATGAATATATATATATATGATATATATAATACATATATATATATATAATATGAATATATATATATATATATATATATGTATAATATATATATATATATTATACAGATTATACATGGTAATAGAAAGGTGGTTCATATGTGTATATATATATAGACATATGTGGCTACATATACAGGGACTATAAATATAAATGTATATATATATACACACTATATACTTATTCATATTTAGATACATGTCACATGCAGCCTATTTGTGCAATAAAAAGTATATATATATACACCCCCAAATAGATAGAAACGTGGGGAACCTGGACAATATGGAGAATTATCATCTATACCATCCTGGAAACACGTTTCTATCTTTTTGGGGGCTGTTTCTATATGATAGAATATAGATATGATTAGATGATATATTATATATAATTGTAGATACAATACATGTACACCAAATCAATGTTCAGTGATATTTAGGACATGGTTTGTTCTTGGTTCTGCATTCATGTCTCCACTCAAGATAATAGATTAAGGTAAGCAACACAACCAAGATCAGCGCCAGGGCTGTTTTCAGCAACCCAAGTTTTAGGCTGCTTTGAGGTGTCCGTTGAGTTTTTGCTATTCAGGGTTCTGGGCGGGGGGCTTGGCAGGAAGGTTTGGGGAGTGTTTGAATTTGGTTTGTTGATTATGATGGTAACTCCAAATATCTTATGTTTCATGACACAATCCTATGTGACGGACTTGAAGCAGTAATCATGTTAATGTCAACCCCGGATTAATAAACCATGGTTTATTAATTAGGGGGTATTCCCCCAATAGTCATTTCATCTGATACTTAAATGGTATCCCCCCAATTCAACAACCGTTTGGGGTTTATTAATCCAGGGTTGACATTACACTTCCAGTCACAATTCGCATCCCCGGTCCATCCCCAAGAAATTTCACCATGGAATCCCAACCACAAAATGATTCACGGTGCCCAAAAGGAAAGCTCCGGAGTCAGCTTTTCTGAACTTGGATATGTCACTTTTTTGGGTTTCCAAATCAGTTTAGGAGGTGTATTTATTGTAACAACTTCCCATTTGAAAAGGGGTATGTCAAAAAGGTTGTTTGGGGATGGTTCGTGGATCCCACATTTGGATCGATTCAGATTGCTGGTGATAATTTGATACTTGGAACCAAAGGATTAATTGGCTGTAGTATGACAAAGAATTTATGGCTGATCATGGCTGATTTGTTACAGGGGCTTCGGGCTTCATGTGATCGTAATCGGCCACTTGCGGCCACTTGCCCTGCACAACTGCTGAAAGGAGGCCCTTTCAATAATATAAGACTGATGAATCCAGGATTGGTAGGGCTGGGTTGAAACATGAGCAGTGGCTGCGTGAGTTCTACCATGTTCTACCCCTATTGGTTGATGATTATGAGCTGGGATTACCCAATAAATTTGGGATTCGAATCATCCAAGAACGCGGAATCCGGTTCTTAACCCACCCGTATTTCATGACATTTCGGATGTTTCTAAAGTGTGACATCTCGAAATCTCGACAGCGAAAGCTCCGACAAAAAGCCCATGGCATGGGCTTTCCAAGGGACGAATGGCTTCTTTTCTTTCAAGACTTGGGGGAAGTGGATGCTCGATGGCGACGCCTATTGAATGCCCGGGCCTCCCAGAAAAAAATGGCGGTACGGATGGCGTGGGAAGTGTTGATTCACCTGTTCTGGTGGTTTTCCATACTTATGTTAGTTCACCAGGGGGCAACTGTTCTTGTAATAATTTACATCGTTCACTGAAAAGAATTTGATCATCGTGATCATGGTTGTGAGATTCCCGACAAAGTTTAGGAGGGTAGCAGTAAGGTGAATATGATACAAAATTGGTCACTCAACCAATACCGTGACAGCAAATCTACGCAAAATCCTAGTGCAAAGCTCTTGACTGAGGGATATGGCTCAAAATCTTGGGGATTTTTTACCATGAAAATCCATGAAATGAAAATGGTGGTTTCCTGCAAGGATTCAGACTGGTACCATAAGTTTTTTGATGGGGTGGACTCCAAGAGCCAACTAGATGAGTCGGGAATCCGACACATACCATATATCTACCATTGGTGTCATATCCCATTCCATGGATATCCCGTATGCCATGAACATTTATATATATATAGTTCTACATACTTATGTATACTATACATATATGATTATATTATGCATACAATATACATATATAATGATTATATGTATATATATATAATTACTAAATGTATGTATGTTTACATATTATATCTATATCTATGTATATGTACAGTATACATATTATATCTATGTATATACATATTACATCCACATGGTCCATACCCCCCGGTTTGGGGTTTACAGTTTGGACCGTGCAGCGCAGGAAGCTGTGCTCCAGCAAGCATTCGAGAAAGCAGCCGACGAGGTGTTTTGTAGCAACATGGGCAATGCCAACATAAAATTGCCATAAATTGGCATAAATTGCCAGAACATAATCATAAGTGTTATAACTACCCACCTTTAGTTATCAACAGAACTGTAGCAACTTTAGGCAGTGACTTTGACAACAACAAAAAAAACCCTCCGGTGTTATCAAAGTCATCAAGCACGGCTGGGAAACCCCCTATAGATTACTATTTAGATGGAAACATTCCGTTAGAAACGGGGATGTTCCCTCGGCATATTTGATTACCAGAGGGGATGGTGGGGCAGATACAGCAATCATACTATCATTAGCCCAGTATTTTCACAGTATTCTTATTAATTATAGGTTATACTACCGCATCACTAGTACCACTGAAACTACTTATTAACTACCATGCTACATTGTTACTAATAATGATAATGCATACATATATATATATACATATCAAGATAATTACTAAACTAGCAACACCTGCAAAAACTAAACTACCATCTTAAATGTCAACAACTAAGATACTACCAAAGATAATAGGTCATAGATATGCCGGGATTTATGATGGGGACATGGAATATCTTTTTAGAGATCTAATCAAACCCAATATATCAAAAGATGGCGTATAGCCCAATCGATGTCAATTTTAATGACATTTTGCTGAGAAAACCAGGTGGAGGGGGCAGCCTATTTTCGTAGTTTGGAACTTCCAAGATCAGCGATGGTATCCATGAGACAAGATCATGTAGATGGAGGTGTCCAGAAATGGGGGTAGCCCCACATCATCCATTTTAGATTGGGATTTCACCTTGTAAACCATTCCATTTTGGAAGTACCCCCCATTTATGGAAATCCTCCTATATGGTACCACTGAGTTTGACCATGTACGTCTCCAGAAGAGCATCAAAAATAGATCTTGGGGGGGGGCTAGCATATATATATATATATACAGATGCACCTTTAGGAAGAACGGGGTATTAGGGTCAGAGTTGGATCTAAGAGTCGCCACTTTTTCCCGCTGAGAGTTGATCTTCTGCCCCTTTCTGAAACGACGAGTTACCTTCTTCTTGTCTATGCACATGTATATTCTGTATATGTACCCTCTGGTTATTTAACATAGCTATAGAAAATCACCATTTTTAATGGGTAAACCATCGAAAATGGGCCATTTTCCATGGCTATGTTGAATAACCAGAGGGTATATATACTTTGTGACCCTTTGTTGCAATCCACAATCAAAGGAACTGAAGTTACAAAACATGCCGCTTGCTGCTCAAGAGATGGAACGGTCCACTGTGATGTGCCTATAGCATTTGAAGAGTGTACATATATGATAACCATATGAGCTTATTAGGTAAATATTGTATGGGACACCATCTCAATTTATCTCATGGCTGTATGTTATTCGATTCAGAACCCCCTTTTTTTGGGGATACACACTAGTCATTTTGAAGCCTGTAACATCCTGTAACCCACTTTCGCGATCTTTGGCGATCTTTGGCTCATCCCAGCCTTTTTTTCTCAGGGAATGTTGACCTTCGAAGCATTCAAAGGGGCCTTGAAGAATGTCGTGGAGGCCTGGTCCGACACGTAGGAGATAGGCTGATTGGAAACCGTGCAACACACAACACACACACACACAACACA